GCAAAATCGGCTGCCAGATAAGCTGCTCGGCAGAGTAGACTCTACAACCGGTCTGTACTCAACGCCATTCGAAGCATATTTCCCGCCTGGAGGTCTTCATCCGAGATTTCTGGAGGGCGGCAATCCAATAGGGCACTAATCATTCCGTCGGAATCCATGTCATGAAACTTTGACCTTCCATCCATGCCGACAGGCTCGGATGCCTCAAAACATGGAGCTTTTTGGCGGGAGCTTCGTTCTCGTGGTACCATCGATGAAGTTTGGGTATAGATCGAGGGTGATCAAGGTTTGGGATGACAGTACGGGGACACTGCCAATGGTGATTCCCCAGCCCTGTCGCCTTGGAATCCCTCATAGATACATCCCATTGCTGTGGACCACCAAGACTTGGCTCAACTTCCACAGAAAGTAACCTTCAATCTCGGAAGAAGTGACACACAGGTAACCCGTCACAGAACCTTGTGTTCAGGCAACCCGCCAGAAAAGTATGGAGCCACATTGAATAGGGTTATCTTTGGAGGTAGTAGTGATAGTGGAGATGGGACTGAGGACGGATTTCATTCCATGGCTCCGCAACTGCCATTGATTGCAGTTAGTTAATATCCCGCGGTGTCTCAATATAGTATGGGACTTGATGTACTAAACGTCCAGGGTTAGGCTGATCAATTTGCCCGGTCAAATCCGGTGGATGTCTCGGGATTGGGGTTGACTCGGCCGTTGCGCGTCAAACTCTAACATGAAGGTCTCAAATCAACGAGGCAGCCAATTCATTGTCCATGCGACTATTTCCATACCTGGTAAACATTTGGTAATGTCTCCCCGAGATGTGCGAGATTTTTTTTTCCTGGTTTCGGTTCTAGGTCTGATTGACCAGGATGTGTGAATTGGGGGAAAGGTGGGCATTACGGATCCTATCGGGCATGTCGCATTCGATATCCTAGATGAACGGGCATTTTGGTAAGGGAATCAGACAGGACGACAGTCTAGAATAGCACTGGTTGATCTTCGAAATTTGCGACCAGGTTTATGTGACCAATAGCGGCTGTGGGTTTCGCTCTCCTTGTCGATCTGAAAATCAAATCTCACGAATGATAATGTTGAGATTTCCATCCCGGAATCGGGATCAGAATATGCCTCAATCTCGACCGTTGTCTGCCGAGTGGTAACTTTTCAACCCCTGGACTTCCAACCGGCCGAATGCAACCAGTAAGAATGGCATGACATTAATCACGGATTTTACTATTGACTTGCAGCGAGCGATAGTTGCACAAAGGTATTTCTCGCGTTGAGATGTCAATCTCTAGGGCCATGCTATGACACGTGCCCTCCAGGGAGAGGTAGGGCCTTTGAAGGATCCATTGAGACGATTGCAACGTCTCAAAGTTTGTCGGCCTGTCAGGGTTCTAGGATCCATTGCCAGCACAGCCATGGTTGGGAGCTTATGCAACTTCAGTCAGAAATCGGGAAAGTCAAAATAGAAGGGACTCTTAAGGTACCTGCAGTGAAGAAGGTATCCACGTATCGGACAATTTCTGAGCACTCGTTCTCTTTATGTATCCCATCCAATAGTACCATGTACAAAACTTACCAATGTGATGAATCGCAAAAGTGGTGCGGGAGAGGCGGGTAACTAAGTGGAACCGATCTGATAGTGTGCTTAGTTGCAGTTTTGAATACAGCCCTAACTGGATCAGAACTGTATTCCCTCCCAGGTCTATACACTGTATATTCAAGGTATACTCTAGACACTTTGTATATTCTGTATACTTCATCGACCATGCTCCGTATTGAGCAAGGCTAGAAGCCAAATTAGGGCACGTATAACAGCGTATACTTCACCGCCCCCGCACGTGCCGGGCCACCGCAAGGGGGTTGATCTCTCCCCTTCTCTCAATGTCAGTCGGACCCGACTCGGTATGGATGTATCGCCGATCCATCTCTTGGCCTAATCTGGCTAACCTACCCTGCACCTAGCGCCGATTCTGGTACCAGCACGGTCATCGTCTGTGGTTCGTGGGGGCGAAGGCCCTGCACAACATACCCCTAACCACTCACTAGATGACGAAGGATTCAACCTGAACTTCCAACCTGACCAATCAGGACCTAAGAAGTGCTTTCTCTGCCTTCTCTTTGCCAACTTGCCCAGCCTCCTGCGGGATGGCCGATCTTCCAGCCACTAATGCAGTGCTGTCGAGATGATCAGGACGAGATCCACTTTTCACCTGGATTTCCGAATCTGAGTATTGAATCTAGGAATCCACGGCCCTACCCGTCTCATTCTACGGAAATTGTGGACCTAGTACGGAGCCACGACTATTAAGTTCTGGAAATAGCTGCCGGGTGCGGACCGCACCACCATTGCATCAATTGGATTTCTGACCCCATCGCACCTTGCTGGGGTTTCGTGGCGGGGTTGTTGGCACCATCCCTAGGGCTAAACTCTTATTTCCACAAAGCTGGGCTTCCCGGGGCTCTGGCTGGTTCTCTCCGGTTGGAGGGGTGGAGGGCTCATCGCTCTCGGTTTGTCGGTGAACACTGCCAACGTCGATGATGCAACTCGCTGAATGAAAAAAGTGCCGATCGCATGATGTTCCTCTTCTTCATGCGAGAACTGCTGCTCGTGCCTCGAGCCTCTCAAAGTCAAATTTCAACCAGCGAGGGAAAAAAAGCGGAATACGCCTGGGACCACTCCGACAGGCCCTTTAGGTAAAAAAGAAAAACAAATCGGAAAAGGAAAAACAAGAAAAATCGAATCACGGGTCCTGGTCCGAGATCTCTACTCCATACTCGTACCAAGTATCGTACTCTGGATGCTCTGGTTTCCACTGCTACTGTTTGTTTGTTTTTCGTCATTGGCCTGCGGATCCCAAAAGTCTGATACATCAATCACTTTTGTCATGGGACTGGGGTCTCTGCACGGGTATCCCGGGGGTTGATCATCTCCTCTATCCTTTCTAGTTTCATCTTATTTCGTTCTCCTGCAGCATCCCGTCTATCGGGTGTTCGCACTGAGATGTCTGATCTCGGCATTCCAATGTAATGGAAAATACATCCCCCTTCATAGATGCATACGGAGTACCAGTTGCCGTATCATGCCTTACCCTAACATCACGGTCCGTGCAGCCGGCGTCGGGTCTCAGGGCACGCAACATGGGGGGGGATCTTCCGGCCAATGCCATCCTCCTGGAACAATCAAACTGTCTGACGCCAAAGCCAGTGATTCGATGGTCTGGCTTGAACTCTAGAGACCCACACCCATTACGCCTCAGTGCCGGAAAGGATGTAAGAAAAGAAGGAAATAAACAAATTAGAAATAAATTACCATTAACTCAAACCGGAAATTTCGAATTTCTATCTCTTCAAAAGACGAGAAATGAAATTTTTCTATAAAAACACAAAGTGAAGACTATCCAAGATTCGGAAGTCATTATCCGCTAGCTGGTTGGACCCCTATGCAAAAGAAAGTCACCCTCTTCAACGCCTCCCCGACTACGGAGTACTCCGTACAACGTGTCCTATCCTGTTCCCTTGTGGGGCCAGAGTCGTTTTTCGGCATCATTTCGACTGGTGAGACTGACAACCTTAACGTGGTATACGAGTATTCCGTACACAGTACTAAACACCAATTAGTGACTTTATACAAGTTAGTCTAGGCACAGAACCACCCCGAGAATGCCCTTACCAGCATATGAGATAGGCCACAGTACCTGCTCATTTGCATCCAATATCAATTACATACACACCGTCTGCTTTGAATACCTATTGCTCATAGTACATATATCTACTCCATACTTCAGGTAAGCCACAATCTACCGATCCTGCAACCTGTCAAAAGAAAAGAGAAATCTCAAGCACTGTGCGTTTCGGCACTTTTCTTTTGTTTGTTTGGTAATTTCTTTTTTTCAAAATTTCCCTCTTATTTTTTCTGAATCCGAATGATTTTCATTGCAGAATGGTATGCTTCATTACCTCTCAGATACACACTTACATACTACATATAGAAAGCTTGGTCTTTTATTTGTTCAGCTTGTCACACTAAAGATTACATCAGTCTTTGGTTTCCTTTTTAGGGTCCTATTTGGTTTATTATTTTTGGTTTTTTTTTTATTAGGAATAATATTTATTTCCCTTTTTTTTTCTGGGTATTTTTATTTTTTTCATTTTTGTCCCGTTGGCTGTGATTGCTATTACTATTCAAATCAAGAGAGTATTGCCAGTATTGCCAGTATTATTGCTCTTCTCTGTCCCTATGTCTGTTTTCGGTTTTTGCGCCTATTCTCTCTACCCTCCTCTACCTCTCTGAATAGAGCCTGGTCCAATCTATTCTCCTCTTCCCTTTTTTGTCCGTCTCTATGTCTTTGTCAGGGTTCCCATTCAGGATGTCATGTCTATCCTGGTGACGCACTCTGGCTCCCGGACATCTACTTCTTTCCCTTCTACCAACGTCAGGCCGAGAAAGGCATCATTCTTTGGATGTTATAGCCCTCACCTTTATAACCCTCTGATTCTTCTTCATTGATTGCATTCTTTATTCGCAGTCTAATCCCGCTACCCCACGGCAACTATTCAAAGTGTTCATATTGTTCACCTCCTCGCAGCCTCTCGTTCGTGAGATCTATTTATCTTATCCTTATTGTCTTTCCCTGTCTCTTCAAGACCCGGTGGATCTTTCTGTTTCATCCTTCAATTTCTTTTCCCAATCGGTCTTTCTCATAGGCTCAAATACACTTACCTTTGGAGTGTTCTGCACGCCACGAGAGAGGTATCACTTCAAGTACTGTGAGGGAATTTGACGGCGTTGCAGAATCGTTGGGTCTGTTCTCTAACTCTGTTGTCGTTCTAGACATCGCATTCTTGCCACCCCAGACGTCAAGGACCAGCCGACGGCTTGGGCGTCTCGCCAGTGTTACCTCAGTCAAACCAAGCGTCAGGGTCCTTTGAGGCACCTGGCATCAGCACGCTCAGAATGAATCCCTGTAAGCTCCCTCACGTTTTTCTACATGTTCCCCCATACGATCTATATGAGGCCATCTCTAACCCCCCACGCCAATACACCAGCTCTACTCGAGTCATTTTCATTGAACGACCCTGTAACTTCGGAGGGAGACTATATCAGCTCCCATGTGACAGGGTACGCCGACGAAGACGACAACAGCCAGCGAGTCGGAGGCCTCGCCTCCATGCCCGACACCAACGGCGCGAGGTACCACGCACAGCAGCCTGCGATGCAGGATTTGCAGTAAGTTATTTCTACTCCTTTCAATATGGACCGCACTTGCGCTCTCGGTCAGTCTCTCGACCCCTTGTCACTGCACTTCCTCCGGGTCCGGACAGCTTGGACTTCAGTCCAGGCTGTTTCGGTACCTTCCATACCGATCTGCTGCCTGCATGTCTTTCTTCCGATGTTTTATTCGTTTCGATTTTTTTTTGGGTGTGATTTCTTTTTTTTTTTACTCTGAGCTTGTGCTGTGACTTGAGGTCCTTGCCTCTTTCGCGCCCGTTTCGATTGTCTCTTCGCGCATCAGGCTGCGCCCGGACTCAATGCGATGCTTTCTGGCTTTAACTCCCGGCGACCTGGTATATGTGCTGTGCTGAATGACTCCCTGCTACAGATATAACGGCTCAAGCGCCCTTGCCATGACCCCACCAGACTCCTGTCCCGGTAAGCTCTCATTCCTTATTTGTACCTCTCTGATGACCTGTCTTGACTGACAATTGAGGTTTAAAGACTCCTTTTCACCTACATCTGGTACCATTTTCCCTCATATCTCTCGTCTTCAGCCACCCTTCGATAGGATGACAGACTATCAACGAGTTCCAGCTCTGTAAGTGTTGTTATCCTCTGTCAATTCGAGTATTCTCTATACTGACCTTGGTTGGATCATCTAGTCAACCTCCCAGTGGTATGCTGACAGGTATGCAGAGCTCAGGGCATGGTTTGAACTCCATACCAGCCCTCATGGGCCGCAACAATGCCTATGGATCATATGCTCTACAACGTGGGGTTGGAAACATGGGCTTGCCCCTCATGGGAATGAGTGACATATCTCGTAATCATGGGTATTCGGGCACTCCTCGGGCTTTGGAAGGTAGCCTCGATCGATCTCGGGGGACTATGTTTCAGCAGTCTATGGTGGAGTCTTCCCCACGATCACAACCACAAGTTGAAGCTCCTCCTTTTGACGACACAACTCATCTCGAGACAATCGTGGCCGAATTCGGTGGTCAATATCAAACAGTGAAGCCCGAGGTCCAAGCAAAGATGGGTCGTGGATTCTTCCCATCTGACAACAAATGGACTTGCTATCGACGTAACTATTTCGCTGTGACCTGTGGCTTTGGTCTTCACCCTTGGTCGCCCACTGCTCCTCTCTATATTCGCTATCATGACCAACAACTTGAGCCAATCCATGGATTTGCTATGGCCATCTCGGCAATTGTCAATGGTCAATATAACGAAACACGAGAGTTAGTTCAGCACACCCCAAAGCGCGACAAACAGTCCGAGAGAAAGCCAGGACGTGTTGTTCTTCAGCCCTCACCTCCGCCATCCTTTACGTCAAACTCGACCGTGAATGGGAATCTCTCGGGTTTCGCAATCGGTTCGCAGTCAATGGACTACAACTCCTCATTCACAGGGGCACCACAATCATGCCAGCCTCCAACCACCCATATGTTCGAGCGTATCCAATTCCAGAAGGCAACCGCCAACAATGGCAAGCGCCGCGCTCAACAGCAGTATTACAATCTGGTCGTTGAGCTTTACGCTCAGATTGCTAGCTCGGTCCCAGGTGAAACTCAGTGGGTACAGATCGCCCGTCGCCACTCTCACCCCATGGTAGTCCGCGGACGCTCGCCGGGCCACTACAAAGACGGACGCCGAGGCAGCACTGGCAGCATGGGTCCAGATGGAGCCGGCGGAGATGGAAACGGAGGGATTCTTCCCCACGGCCTAGGACAAACGGGCCGTTCCCACCCCTTCATGTATGACGCATCCCATCGGAGCGGCATGTCTTACGGGAGGGCCGATCAACGACAAACGACCGTGAACGATCATTCTCCACTCAGCGACAGCCCTTTGATCTCATCCTCCTCCTCTTCCGGATTCGAGTATTCCATGATAGATACTATGGATCCCATGGATACCATCAAGTCTGATACGTATGTCAAAACGGATCCTTGCCTCCGGTCAATTCCCTACCAGGAAACACACTATGGCGATGTGCCCAACTACCAGCATCGTCATTCCAGTACTGGGGGCTACGATCCAGTTTATTCCACGACTTATGGCCGTTACGATCCCATCCAAAGCTCACAGAGTCTATGCACGTAAAATGTGGGCTCTTTTACTCCCTTTTCTTTCCCTTCTTTGCTTGTTTTATCTTTTATTTTGCTCAATATGACCTCTGAAATGGATTTATGCACTGGTGCAGGACGGCGTGGGAGGACTGAGAGGCAATCTTCATTCGCTGTTTTTTCTTGGTTCGTGGTGTGGCTATGAGCTTCGGACTTTATTTCTCTTTCGCTGTTATTCTATTATCATCATTACTGGCTCTTTGCTTAACCCCAGACCATTCCAAATATTTTATTTTATTTCGTTGCTTCCCTTCTCTGCGTTTTCTGCTACTGAAAAGATGCATACAGAATGCCATTGGAGACTGCGCTCCCAAAACGACTAAACTTCTTGCTTGTTGAATCGATCGAGGAATTGAGATCTGGACTTGACCAGATTATAGTAATCTAGACGGTGGCAGGGATCCACTGTATGCTCCTGCAGATAATTAATTCCATCTGTACGGAGTACATTCGGTATGAGAATTGGAGTTCAATTATCCACTATTCTACATGGATCAGAAACAAGCGATGTAGATATCCCCGAATGCACCTGGATGGCATGTCAACAGTTCTGCAAGGCTTCAAAGTTAAAATCTGCAGTTTCAAAGTCCATCAAATGCATCAAAGTTGCTAAATTTACTCTCACCCTATCCCCAGTCAATTGTAATTCCCCGATTTGCCCTGATCTGTGGCCAGGAACCGTTATTTGCTGCACACCTGGTCCCAGTGTTGATTGCAGCCCGGTTTCGTTTGCAACGGACATGGGGTTCTGCGGTCTTGCCTTCTTGCCTTTTTTTTCCCGTTGGTTTTTCTTATTTTCTGTTTTTTTTTTTTTTTTTTTTTTTTTTTTTTTTTTTTTTTTTTTTTTTTTGGTTTTTTTTTTGTTTTTTTTTTTTTTTTTTTTTTTTCTTTTTCCTTTTTGCTTTTTTTTTTTTTTTTTTTTTTTTTTTTTTTTTTTTTTTTTTTTGCCATTAATTTCTTATTCTGACCTGGGTGATTTTCAGGTTATTAGTTAAGTACGTTTATTCTCTCGTCCAATCAGGCTTGAGTCTTGGAAGTATATGAGCTGAGTTGAGATATATACCTGGCGACTTTCGTATCCGATGACTACATATACTTAAGTACCCTCAGAAGAAGCAGGTTATTCAGTTATTGGATGAAACATATTGATTATGTATTTTGAAAGATTCCCACAAAGAGCCTTGGAGTAAATACTTAAGTAGTAGACGTTTAATGTATTTCCTAAATACACCTACGGAGGCTTGTATGAAACCAAACAGAACATAAATACCGTACGAGACGGGGAAGATGGCACGATGCAGACTGGATCGTTAGATCAGAGCCAATCACAAAGCCCAGCAGCAGCCTGTTTGGGTAGAGGGTTTGGTGGTTTGGTTTCTTTTTCCCCAGGCAGCAGGGTAGCAGGGATGGATTTGTCCATTAAAAACGAAGATATTCCACAGTCAGCATGTCTCCAGGGCTGCCGTCTACCCAGGTGTTGCCCAGGTGGATGTAGGTGAACTTGGACCCGCAGATCAGGATCTACATTGCATGTGCAGGTGATGCCTTATTGCATGTGAGCTCAGCCCTGGCCATACTAGAATATACTTGAAACCAGAGCGCAATCTCAAAGTATATCGAGTGAAACAATCCGGAGCACGGGTCGTGTGATACTTGGCATCGTATGCCCAGGTGGAAAAGATTCCTCATCTACTTGCCACTGACTTCCATGGCTGGTTAGATTCAACGATATCTTCGTATTGCCCAAGCCTCCATGCACCTCGGCATATTCCGGTGTTTTGGAACACCTGGGTCCTTGCTCATAACGTCCTTCCTAATGGCCAGGGTTACCGCATAAGGCAAGAGATTCGAAGAAATAAAGATGTAGGGGGCTTCCAGACCTGTTTTAACTTTCGTCCGAAACGTTTTGGTTCAAATCATTGCAAGTTCTGGCTTCGCACGTTTGCCACCGGGGTACTTCCGGGGGGGTGAAGGTAGCGAATACATGGATTTCTGACGTTGGAAGCGCTCAGACGGACTTAGACATCTTAAACTTGATTGGTTTTATTTTCCATGGCCGGTTGATATCTACTTCTGCACGTCGTACAAGGGAGGTCGGGCAAAAGAGGAATCCTGGTCTTTATTATTCAACATCCTCAACGTAGTGGCTTGATGCGGGTTCCGAACTTGTTTGGGTCAGACTTTCCGGTATATTCTGTATAGAATCAATTTGCCTTGCTTTCTGTACCTCTAAGGTTGGTAGACCCCGTATCATTCCCCCTCGTGATATCATCGTGAACCGTGCCGCCAACGGATATAGATCATTCGAATGTTGGGGTGATCGGGTTGATATTTCACATTTCCTTTTTCTCATGATTAAATCCTTTTTGTATCATCTCCATGCGGCAAGAGCAAGGTGGCTCCATTTGATTTTCAAATATCTTCAATGTGTATTTCACCTACTAGTATAGAACAAGTACGAAATACCTCATGTATATGAACATTTGTAAACTCAGAGCCAATCATATTTTTAGGACCTTGTAGTGTCTAAATACCGATCCAAGCTACTAGACAGATTTAACCAGCAAAAGACACATGTAGCCCTCCCACTCGTCCAAATGGTCCTGCGAGCACATTCGAGTATACTACAATCCTTGTTCGAGGTGCGGTTCAAGATGAACCACAGCTGGAGCCAAACAATTGCAGGTTATGCAATACTTGAGTGAACAGTCAGTCTCGACGCACGGTCTTTCCAAGGTTCGCATGACACCCCCTGTGTACTCAGCAGTACTCGTTCTTATATGCTACACTCAATCAAAAGTCGAATATGGTAAAATGATAACCCTAAGCCGTCGAGGTTCAGCCATATTAGGAGAAAGGTCGCTATCTCCACGTTCCACGCTAACGGCCTTTCAGCATTGTGCCTGGTCTGTCGCACTTAAAATGCCACATGACCAGTGTGTAGACATTGGCTGGGTTTTGCCCAGGTACCGTGCCCGACAGCAGTTGGTACGTTTGCAACGCTTTGAACATAGACCATATCAACTCTCTTGGAAAGGGCTGCTGGAGATGGTACAATTCCACATGGTGTGTCCGATTCCGATGGCACACAATTCTCATTCACTGAGATCCAAGGGTTCCGTGTGCAACATGGATCATCCAGCAGCCTGGGAAAGGTATTGTTCATTTGGCCATGAACGTGAACAGCTCCAGTCATATCGACACCCAAAGGTTCCATGTTGGCCTGATTTGTCCAGTATGTTGCTTGCAACAAATATTGAAATTGGAGTCAAGGCTTGTACGCTTCTGGCCAAGGTCCTCCTTAGCTTAATTTTGAGGCCAGGAGTCTGTGGATTCTATGAATTGATTAGGGCTGACCAAGACATGTATTCCAAATACTCAAACAGCATGTCCCCAAGCCCCAACCAGACCACCTGCCCCTCGCATCACTTTCTCAATCGGACAAAACATACAAAGGTCGGAAAATTAAAACCACCAGCATTGGCCTCTCGCACTAAGAACCACCTCACGATCCAGACTAGGCTAAGCAAACATCTACCCTTCAGCCGCAGCAATTCCTCCGAGCCACATGAATGCCCAAGGCCCACATACAAAAATGAAAAACAAGATAATAACGTCCGGAGAGGCGGGGGAGGGGCCCGCTGCTCCCCCCTGTCCCTCCCCTGCGAACAGCAGTTGAGGCCAGGGTCGTTGGAAAAAGCCGCACAGACGTGGGCAAAACATGCATTAGGCCACTCCCCGTGGACATTCCGATGATGGTACACGGCAGACAGGCTCTCAGAGTCAGCGTCAATAACTGGCCATTGCTTGTTTGGATTCTGGTTTGCTTGGCCCAGTATGCGGGTGCTATGACCGCTTTCGCGTGCCCGACAAACCGGGTCTTTTTCTGAATGCCGAAATCCGGTCCCGGATCCGAAGGTGTATACCTAGGAAAGGTAGGAAGGTAGAAAGGGTGTGATCGTAAGCATGGGCAATGAGCATGAGCACACGCGCAATCAAATATATACGCATATGCATGCGCACTTGAGCAGGATTAAGACGGATGTTTGGATGCAGCAATGGTAATATCCTCTTTTAGTTGAGCATGATTTCCCCAGCAGAAGAGACTGCTATGCCCCGACCCATCGTGTTCCGGCCAGTCATGTTCTCGCCCGTGGTTCCGTGGTGACTGCGTACTGGAATCATGAAGGGATCACATGGATTGTCTTGCGCCTTGTTCCCTTCGTCAACAATTCAATCCTCATTTCGCCTGGCTGTTTTCCTCTTCAATGCGCGACACCCGCACCGCCAGCTTCCGATCCAGCGCTTCCTGCTCTTCTTTGGAGGGCTGCATTCCCAACGCATTTTCAACCTGAGGTGAGGTCCACAGTCCAATGCCTGCCCAGGCCATGACGCCGATGCCGAACAGGGCCCGGGTTTTGGGGGTAAGGCCGCGGTAGGAACTATGGGAAGGGGTGTGTTTTCAGTTTTGTTTTCCTTCATATGGAGATATTGTGGACTCGGGCCTGGTTTCAGGGCTGTATCACCTACCTCCAGAGAGACATTGTGTTATTGACGTAGTATCGTAGTATGGAAGAAAGAGCCTAGGTATGGGCCTCAAGGTGACTTCGAGCTAGTGGGGTCACGTGGTCTCATAGATCACGGGGTGTGTACCTGGAGCAAGCTCTAGACTTCAATCGTACGAGTGTGACAGGTTCAAGCGTGTGTATTTTGACTCCCTGCCTAGGTTCTGCCAGGTACATGTACAACTTGAATACATGTGGTTAGAGGGGGGTGTGGTGTAACTGTGGCTGATCAGGGTACTTTTGTGTATACGGCTCCAGTGGATATGAGCGATGGTAGTAGGACTCAAGGTAGTATATATACAAAGCCACAGTAATTTTCAGTTCTGTGGCCCATTGTTCAAGCCTATCTTGTCTACATTGTGCTGCAAAGCAAGACTAGACCAGCAGTACTCCGTACAGGGGAGACAATATCAGCAAGCGAAATAATCGCAACATAAATTTAAACAAAATTAACAGTACAGAGAGGGTCTCAAGGGGCAAGCAAATAGAACACAGGAATAAAAAAGAGGTTAGTAGTTCATACAAAGCTTCGGGCGCTCCTTTTATTTCTTGCCGTAAGCCTTGTTGATCTCAGACTGGTAGTGGTTGAGAATCTTCTTGCGCTGAAGCTTCTGGGCAGCAGTCATGAAACCCTGTGATGATATTGTTAGCCAAGTCATTCATCTTTTATCTGAGATATAGTAACTCACGTTCTGTGGGGTCCACTCCTCGTCAGACAGCACGACACCGTTGATGATCTCGATGCCCTTCAGACCACCAGCACGACCAGCGGACTGCAGTTGCTGGAGAATGATCTTGTTGAGCTTCTCGTTGTGGACGAGGGTCTCAAGGGTATCACCCTCAATGCCGTTGTCATTGGCAACCTTCTTAAGTGCCACTTCGACAGGAACAATAATGGCAATGGGCTTGTCTTGGTCCTCTGCGGCGTAGACGCAGATGTTACCAACCACGGGAGATGAGCGGTAGACTGACTCGAGCTTCTCCAGGGCGATGTATTCACCGTTCAAAGTCTTCACCAGGTTCTTCTTGCGGTCAATGATGTTGAGGTGACCGTTGCTGTCAAACTCGCCAATGTCGCCAGTCATGAACCAACCGTCTTCGGTCAGGGCAGCCTTTGTCTCCTCCTCGTTGTCGTAGTAGCCTGATGTCACACTACCACCGCGAATGAAGATCTCACCCTGAGGGGGCTTGTTCTTGGTCAAGTAGCCGGCATCGGGGAAGTCGACAAGCTTGATCTCCACGGAAGCGGGGATATCACCCAGAGCGTTGGGGTTCCAGGCCATAGGGTCGTTCAGGGCACCCATGGCAGATGTCTCGGTCAGACCGTAGCCACTGATCATGGGTGCAACGGCCATCGACAAGAAACGCTGTGTTTCCTTGGAAACGGGGCCACCACCGTTCATCACGATGCGGAGGTTGCCACCGGTTGCCTCCTTCAATTTCTTGAAGACCACGGCGTCCAAAATGGAGGCACCAATGCCCGATCCAGGAATACCAGTAGTCATCAGGAAGTTCTTGGCCGACATGGCACCCCAGAACATACCCTTGACGATGAAGCTGGCCTTGTTCAAGTTGTTCAAAACACCCTTCTTCACAGACTCCCACACGGCTGGGACACCGACCAAGATGGTGGGCTTGAACTCCTTGATATCACCCTGACAGTTGCGCATAGAGGCATCGGACAGGGTACGGGGGTTACCGTAACCCATGGTACCACCCCAGAACAAGCAAAGGTTCTCGAACATGAATTCCAAGATGTGAGATTGAGGCAGGTAAGTCAGCAATGAGTCCTTGTGGTTGATATAAGGACCAACGATCTCGTTCACACCGGCGGCTATTGTCAACTATTAGCACACTCCATCTGGGACCTGAGGTTCAAGGTTGTAACTTACTGGCGGCGATAACGTTGGCGTGAGTCAGAGGAACACCCTTGGGTGGGCCTGTTGAGCCGGAGGTGTACATGATGCAGCAAAGGTCCTCTGGCTTGGGAGGAACGGGCTCGACATTGTTCTCTTCGCCCTGCTTGCGCAGATCCTCGATGCTCAGGACATTGAGGTGAATGAACTCGCTGTGCAATTGGTCAAGCAGCTTCTGGTCCACCTCGTTGTCGGTGTTGTAGATAATGTGCTTGATTGAAGGCACACTCCGGAGAATGTTGATGAGCGACTTCAACAGGCTGGGGTCGAGGAAGATGGCAGTGCTCCCGGTCTGGACGAGGGAGTGCTTCAGACCCTCCTCTCCGAGGGTATCGTAAGCGGTCACGATGGTCACGGACTGGGAGGCAGCACCTAGGGGTAGTTAGTGGATCGATTCCGAAGGGGCGCATCGAGCGAGGATTTGAGTGAACGAACCGTGGGACATTGCGAGCCAATGGGCGCTATCAAAAACAATTTAGATTAGTATCGTTGTTTCGTTCTCCCGAGCCGCAGATGTCTCTTACCTTGTTGCGCCGTACAAGTGAATCCGGCTGTCCTTCTCCAGGCCAAGCTTGCGAAGACCACAGCCCAATTCCAAGCAAAGCTTCTCATACTCGAGGAAGCTCTTGTATGTGTAACCGCTCATCTCGAAGTAAGTCCATTGCTTATCGACCTCCTTCTCCACGCCATCCACGATCTTCTTCACCTTCTTGTTCTCAACGTGGGTCTTGATCAAGCGCCGACTGCCGACGGCTTTGGAGTTCCCGAACACGCGGGCAGAGCGGCGGAAGTTCTCGTAGGTGGTTGTGACGTCTTCGGAAGGGCGCAGTACCAGGCCGTCCTTGGCCGCGGGGTGCCGACGCGGGATTGTCTCGCCGTCAACGGGTTCATAGCCGGGGGCCTCGATCGAGAAAGGCCCCTTCTTGACCATGCGCGGCTGGAGGTGGAGTTCGCGCTTCGACATGATGGGATCTCTTACTGTCGATAGAGAGAGTTGTGAAACGACGGAAAAGGAAGAAAAGTTCCTCTACTTTGGGGCGGAGGTTAGCTAGTGCGGATGGCCAAAGCGCTAAGAGCTGCGCAACGCAAGGGATGAATATTTTGACAAGAGCTTACCAGTCAATTATAAATGGGATATTCGGAGGTAGTAGAAAAGATAGAGAGAGAGAAAGAGAAGAGGACAGTGTTCCAAGGTTAGGAGGGCGGTGCCTGAGCTCTGCGAAGATGGCTGGGCGGCAGATGACGCAGGGAAACCTTGAAACTCGACTCGACTCGAGACCTTCAATTTCCCGACTTTTTTGTTATTTTTTGTTAACTTTTGTTTGGACTTTTGGTCTATCTGTCTGCTTTAATACTCCGTATACATATGGATATTTTCAAATTTGCGAATCCCTGTACCGCGGCTTAATTTTAGGGCCTGTGCACTATACAATGTTGGTCTAGTAGTTAGCACTACGATGTTACCAGCGTAGCTTTTTTTTTTTACCCGCGGATCAATGCCGGTTTCTCCTGTTTTCTCCTGTTAAGCCATAATCCACTATTTGAAGATTCTGTTTGGGCTACAGAAGACTCCATATATAAAATGAACATTTAAATGATCTTTAGATCTAGTCCCGTGATCATAGATCTGGAAAAAAAAAAAAGAGGAAAAAAACCCTCGTATCAAAACCAAAATATAGAAACTCTACACATATACGAGTCACCAGACTTCGTATACTATCCCGACACAATGAATCAAATCCCCGGTCTTGCCGATATGGGCGAGGAAGTGCTGGACGTGGAAGAAGGTGTGCCAGCCCCGAATACCAAGGATCTATACGAACTAACACACCTATAGAAGCATTCCTCCTCTTTGCCCAGGAGGTTCCAAGCAATAATCTGGGGATGATCGATCCTCGTGCCCCAGCCGTCGAGATCCCCATCAACGGCAAGGACTACACTATCCATCAATCCCCATCATTGCTCTCCTCGCATCGAGCGGGAGGCACAACTGGTGCCGGTGCGTATGAAAGATCTACGTGATTTGCTCTTCAATCTTCAAGCACGGACTTCCGCCCCGCAAACTGTACTTCTGAAGGTCAACGGCCTGAACAGCTCCGGTGCCTCGGCTAATGTCTTTCATTTGACATCCCTCGAGCCTCTCGTTTAGCACTGGTGTCCCTTTAGTTTTGTCACTTGTCTCACCAATCTCTTGGCTTTGCAACTCCTGTGGCTGGCCCTGTTATCCATGTTCTGTGATCAATTTCACTCACTAACGGAAACCACAGTCCTATGGAAAATCACTCCCCGCTTCGCGGAATGGATCACCAATCCCAAAAACCCTCTCTGGTCAAGTGGCCTCCTCGATCAATCCTCTACAGTCGTCGAGCTGGGGACCGGTATCTCGGCGCTGGTCGCTCTCAGCCTAGCCCCCTTGCTACACCACTATATCGCAACTGATCAAGAATACGTGCATAAATTATTCCGGACAAATCTCGACGCCAACGCAGCCAATCCTACTCCTACAACAACATCTAACAAGAAATCCAAAAGCAAAGGCTCCAAATCCAAACCCAAACCCGCGAACCCTGTGACTAACATCTCTTTCACGACCCTTGATTGGGAAACCGATCAGGCAGGCTCATTGAAAGAAGAATGCCTCGACTCCGTCGACGAAGACAAAGGATTCGATCTCCTACTATCATGTGACTGTATCTACAACGAGGCCCTGGTGGCGCCCTTCGTACGTACCTGCGCGGAGATATGTCGGCTCAGACCGGCATATGGCGAGGGCGAGGAGATTGGTTCCCATAGACCTACGGTTTGCATCATTGCTCAGCAGCAAAGGTCTCCCGATGTCTTTGAGACTTGGTTGAGGGAGACTATGCGTGATTTCCGGGTTTGGAGATTGAGTGATGAGGTGCTTGGAGAGGGTTTGAGGAGTGGGTCCGGGTATTTGGTGCATTTGCTGTTGGTGAAGTAGATAGTGAGGCTCGGCTGTTGGCTCGGCAGTATAAAGTATGCCGATTGAGTACGGACTACTCTCTGAGAGTTTACTTGTACGTATAATTCGGCACGGGAAGAACATCTATAGATATTCACGGCTACCCGGTACCTCCCTCCAATCGGCTCGATGGCACTACCTAATGTCCGTGAGGTCGCGATCCAATACTTCATTATCAACCAAGATCCATGGATGTGTAATGTGTAATGTAACAAGCTTTTCAAATACAAAATGTAAAGGCAAAAGTCAACCTTGGAAAAACTTCTCTGGAAATAACATGATAACTTGTAATATTGACTCAACCCCCTGATATGCAATAAGCTATGGACAATGCATGTGTGAAAAATCAAAATAACAGGACATCGAGCCGCTCGAAAAGGACACCGGGACCACCCAAATACAGCAGGGTATTCGGAGAAAGAAAAAGAGCACACGCAGCATGCTGGTACAAAAAAGGAGATAGTAACATGATGCAATTGATTATCATGTCTCAGGCGCTGCCGCACCCAAGACAGAATTATGTATGTAATAGCGAGCGGAAATAGGAATAGACATTACTCCGCACGCTCATTAGGCTCCGCGTTTTCTTTTTCCGCTGTAGGCGGCGAGTACTCGTACTTTCGCTTGGATGGCACAGAGGACTCGGGTGGGGGACCCTGAGGATCGGCTGAGGGCAGCGCAGCCAGCGCCTCACGCTCGGTTTCCGGTGTACGGTCGATAATGGACATGATTGATTGCTTGGTTGAGCCGTTCATGGGCTTTGGGGGAGTTGATTCGGTGGGTGTGCCTTCGGCATCGGGCATGAATCGATCTAGGAGTTCGGTTTTCACGCCGTATTCTGGTTCGATTTCGGAATCTGAGTCCATTTCATCGTCGTGTTGATCTCCGTCTTGGTCCAGGGGATTAGAGCCGGGGGGACTGCCTTCTGTGGAGCCACGGTGGTTCATCACTGGTGGGAGGGGGGCGTTGGGATCAAAGACTACACCGCAGACTTCGAGGGCCCGGGATTGGCTGCCCAGGGTGCGATCTTTGTGTTTCTTGGTAAGGTGGCACATGAAGCCGTGAAGCGTGACAAAGTCGGATTTGCCGCATCCTTGGATGGGACAGGTGAGATATACCAAGCTTCCGTCGGAGGGTCGTTTCCATAGTGCCCGTCCGGAGGGATCGTGGGCTGCTGGGCGGCCGTGACGTTCACCCCATGCTTCTACATTTTTGATGGTGTATTTTTGTTTGCGGCGGATAGAGCCGTTGTGTAATGAGTCATGGGAGACGATTGGGTGAGATGGCGGGGGTGGTGGGGGAGCTTGGTGATGTGGTTGAGCGTGCATGTGAGGTGGTGGCATGGGTGGTGCCTGAGATGAAGGTGGGAGAGGAGCTTGGCGAGGTTCAGGTGGGCTTTGCTGTTTGAAAAATGCCAGTGTCGTTGCCGCACTGGTCTCTGATAACCGGCGAGGAGGCGTTGGGCGTAAGGGCGGCGAATCGGCCACCGCGTTGAGTCCCAGGCCCATGGACTCGCGCTTCAACTTTTTTCGTTGTCTTCGAAGATCCTGGACACAGCTTTAGCATTGTTATACCTTCTCTCTCGATCTGTGACTTGGCGAACCTCTTCCTCGGCCTCGGCCCGTTCTGTCATTGCTCGAAATTCTTCATCCTCATGCTTGCGCATTGCCAGAATGCGGCTTCGGGTAGCATTTCGGGCCATTTCCTCGTGCTCTAAATGGCGGAGCCGAGCTTCAATGTGCTCGAGAGTAGCTGGACTGTGGACTGGAGGGACTGCGGGATGGTGCTCATGCATTGGCGCATAGTGCCGATAGTGATGGTTCTGCATCATTTCTGGAGGTGGCATATGAGGTGGCGGATTAGGATTCATGGCAATGGGGTGATAGCGAGGTAGGTTGACGAGATGACCGGGCATCCCACTGTCGGGGACAGCATGCACCGGCGGTGCAGTAGTCATGATGATCTGGGATTACGAAGAGAGTGAAGAGGAGAAGAATCAGAAGTGTAAGAAATAAGAAATAATAAGAAAAAAAGAAGAAACCGAAAAAGAAAAAGAAAAAACAGGATGAGACAAGGATCGAAAGGGACCCATCTGCGATCTATGGGTCGACGATAGACAGGACTAACTGGGTTGGAGTATAAAGTGTTCAATTTTAGATTCAACAGGAGTACTTTTTTTTTTCTTCCTCTTTTTTTTTCATTTTGTATTTAATTGACCAATTCTAGTGCTAGTTCCCTCCTCTCCCCATGCATTATTGAATAGGGAAATTCAAGCGTTCAACAAGAATCCGTAAATCCACAATAATCCCAAAGAAAAGGCAGGCCACTAGCGCGACCCTGCACCCCCGTTATGAGAATTTCCCGTCACGGTGTAAGGGGATCAGGGGAGACGAATGTGATGGATCGTGTTGATTTCATCTATTTGCAATCAGGACTCGGGGAGAGGACATTGTGTACGAAAGTGCTAGTAGTTATAAGTCAATGTTTTAGTAAAAAAACAACAGTAGAGTTATAACTACAAATTAGTTTTAATTTCGATGCAAAACCAGTTTGTGACAACAACAACGCATCCATGGAATTTGTCGCGGCGCTAGGCCAGCAATCAAATCAGAACAGTCGCTCCCGTTTGATTTCATTTCCGGGGGCCCAACGGGGCTTAATTTGAGCCAATGATCGTCATGCCCCCCAAAAGTCACTTGACATCCTTCAGGGGCATGACAAGTCTAAAACTTCCTTCCCTACGAGTATGTAAGTAGTTAGACACTTTCTACCCTTTACTTAAGTCTATTTCTAACATAGATACTCCGTACTTAATGTTTTGAAATAAAAGTAGTACAGAACAAAGTCACAAGTCATAACCTTCATAATGAAATTAGAAATAGAAATTTAAAAACAAAAATATTGAAATGCCAAAAATTTAAAAATAAAAATAAAAATCGAAAATCGAAAATCAAACCTTGTACCAAGAAGGAAACTTAAGGGATAATCAGCCTCGAATCAGAGCCTCCCCGATAGAATCTCGTACCCAGGAGAGCTTCGAGCTCCTGGGTAATCATCTCCGGAACTCAACGACCAATTACATGCAACAGATCTACTCATTACGTGCCAAGAGGAAAGTCTTCAACAATTATGTAAGATTCGTGTTCCTGAGAAGTTCCATGGGACGAGCGTAGAAGCGGGAAGAATCTTTTGACACTTCCTCGGATTATGATGTATCCATGGATATCGCCTCCACTTATTATTGCACACTCGAACACTGCATGGAACACTGACAATTGTTCGGCAATTCACAATGTTCACCGTAAATCTTCGTACTTTTTACTTAGTACTCCATATCCCAAATAATATCTAGGAAGTTATGTAGGAACGGTTCGAGACCTTGAAAAGCTAGGACCGGGGTCGTGAGAACCGGATTGACAGAATTAGGGCGAACTGTTGACAAACGGAGGACGGGTCCGGTTTTTCAGCTCACTTAATATCCAACGCCAGGGCTGACCCAGAACTCGACAGGGCAAAAAGGGAAAAAGAACGACAGTGGGGAAATAGAAAACAATCATACGCACTAGGGGCGCGCTAAAGCAGATGGTCTCACACAGCGAGTGATCGACGAATGGGCGAGGCATTCCTGTGGACATGGGAAAATTTTGGTTTCAATTCCTCGGTGCACATTGTGAAGATTGATATTCATCAAGGGTAACAATAAGGTGTCCAATTGATCATCACTTGGCTTGGAAATTACTCAATGCGACGAGACAATGTCCTAGGCACTTCTACTCGTACACATGATTCACGTCATTGCAGACCCACCCAATCGTAGCCCGGCTGGTGTGTACAATGATGATTCGCTCCTCGTTCGCACAGCTGCAGGGAAGTCTGCACGACTCTTCGTTCTGTCACCGGCTTTGGGTCCAGATTGCCCCGAATAACAATTCATTTGTTAATTGTACAAATTCCAGCTGGATCGAATGGACGCACTCCATCATTGCTCCTCTATCCCATTCCGCTTGGACACACTCAGCATTCAAGGGTAGCACTCCCTACGCAGTACACACCTAGATCCCAATAAATGACCCTACAATCCCAGGAGTACTCCGTATAAAGCCAAGGGCATATACACCCCATCATAATTGATATTGTATCCACTAAATCCTTTCCCACTCCTTTCGCTAGCGGTATCAATTAGATGGATTATTTTTGGTCGATGCAAGGATATGGAGACTATACAGACGATTGGTCCAACTTGACTGCAATTCAATCCCTGTACGAGGGTTGCAGAGTGGAGGCGCAGAGGCCCGAATTAGATTAATAGATTGGTGCGATTCAAAGCCGTCTCGACAGTTTCAGATGGCCCAACGTGTGTTCCGAACTAAGAACAAGAACCCGTGCGCCAGCTGAACCATCTGGCCTATCACCGTTGTCGACTCTCTAGATATTGAGGGGGCGTTTTCGCAACCCTGGTCAGTCCAATGATATAAGTCTTTTCGGGAGGATAATAACGGCGACTAGGTCAGGGCTTGATGAGTACCACGGGTGACTATGGCTTACTGTGGCTATTATTACCTTTATTGCCATCCCTTGATATTGGAGTTTCAGTGGAAACGGCTCTAGAGCTGACGGTGTACGAGTACGGAGTACATTGTGCAGACGAAAGCATATCATATTGCAGTCAGATTCCAGCAATATACACGGTTTGCCTGTGGATTGGTCTGGATTGGTCTGTGTCAACTAGAGTTGAACGCTGATAGGTCGGAACTCACTCCAGTTGCATCCGTCAGGATGTTCCCAACTGCCCATGCCAGCAGATTGTACGGGGTACATGTCCACATGCATTTCACTTTGATTAAAAACTACTTGTACAGCTGAGAAAAGTCCAGAGAAGAAAAAAGTGATGTGTGAAGAGAGAGGAGAATTTTCCGATTTCTAATGTCACATGCCCCAAATGCCAAAGCCCACCACAACCTTTTTTTGTGGCCCTTGCCGTAATGTCATTAAGTACAATTGCAGACAATCCCGACATAACAGTGGACAGAAAAGGTATTTCGATCCAAGGCACGAGGGCAAAATAAAAGAAGAAAATAGATCATACAGGTTGGTAGAGAAACACCGATACACCAGAAAGCGAAATGGGGTGAAAAAGGGCCTTAAAAAAAGTATGTGTACAGATATGCGTAAAAAAGGGATATGCCAAATAGGGAGATTCTAACACAAAAGAAAAAAAAGAAAAGAAAACATCAAAGGGAAGTAGTAGAAAATACAGGAATCACCAAGGATTCAGTCGTGACGGTGAGCGGTGGGGGAAAGCATTTACTGCTTGTTCTCACCCTGCTGCTCACCACCCTGCTGCTGCTGTTGCTGCTGCTCGTTGTTGGCCTTGTGCATCTTGTCGAAGAGAGACAAGCTGGCGGTCTGGAGCTCATCGGTCTTCTCCTTGAGCTCCTCAGCGGTGGTGTTGGTCTCACCAGACTGGCTCTTAACAACGAACTCACGGAGAGTGGCGATCTTCTCCTTGATGGTCTCAGCCTCGGCCTTGTCAAGACGGTCCTCGAAGTCCTTGAGGGCCTTCTCGGTGTCGTTCAGGACGCTGTCGGCGCGGTTGGCGGCCTCAATGGCGGCCTTGCGCTCCTTATCAGCCTCCGCGTACTTCTCGGAGTCCTCAACCATGGACTGGATCTCGGCATCGGAGAGACCGGAGCCGGAGGCAATGGTGATGGACTGGTCCTTGTTGGTGGACTTGTCCTTGGCGTTGACGTGGACAATGGAGTCGGCGTCAATGTCGAAGGTGACCTCAATCTGGGGAACACCACGGTGGGCGGGGGGGATACCGACAAGCTGGAAGTTGCCGAGCATCTTGTTGTCACGGACAAGCTCACGCTCACCCTGGTAGACCTTGATCTCGACAGCAGTCTGCATGTCAGCGGCAGTGGAGAAGGTCTGGGACTTCTTGGTGGGGATGGTGGTGTTGCGGTTGATCAGACGAGTGAAGACACCACCGAGGGTCTCGATACCGAGAGAGAGGGGAGTGACATCGAGCAGAAGGACGTCAGTGACCTCACCAGCGAGGACGGCACCCTGGATGGCGGCACCAATGGCGACGGCCTCATCGGGGTTGACGGACTTGGAGGGCTCACGACCGAAGATGGACTTGACGGACTCGGTGACCTTGGGCATACGGGTCATACCACCAACAAGGATAATGTCCTGGATGTCGCCAGACTGGAGGTTGGCATCCTTGAGGGCCTTGCGGACGGGCTCAGTGGTGCGGGAGATGAGGGGGTCGACGAGAGCCTCGAGCTGAGCACGGGTCAGCTTGCTGGCAACGTGCATGGCACCCTGGGGACCAGCAGAGATGAAAGGCAAGCTGATCTCGGTCTGGAGGGAAGAAGACAGCTCAATCTTGGCCTTCTCAGCGGCCTCACGGACACGCTGGATGGCCATGCGGTCACCGGTCAGGTCAACACCGGACTCCTTCTTGAACTCGTTGACGATGTGACGGACGAGGTGGATATCGAAGTCCTCACCACCGAGGTGAGTGTCACCGTTGGTGGACTTAACCTCGAAGACACCCTTCTGGATCTCGAGGACGGAGATATCGAAGGTACCACCACCAAGATCGTAGACGGCGACGACACGGTCGGCCTCCTTCTCCATACCGTAGGCAAGGGCGGCAGCAGTGGGCTCGTTAACGACACGGAGGACGTTCAGGCCGGCAATCTGACCAGCATCCTTGGTGGCCTGACGCTGAGAGTCGTTGAAGTAGGCAGGAACAGTAACGACGGCGTTCTTGATGGGCTTGCTAAGGTAGGCCTCGGCGGTCTCCTTCATCTTGTTCAGGACGAAACCTCCGACCTGGGAAGGAGAGTACTTCTGGCCACGGGCCTCAACCCAAGCGTCACCGTTGGTGTGCTGGACGATCTTGTAGGGGACCTCCTTGATATCACGCTGGACCTCAGCGTCGGTGTACTTGCGACCAATCAAACGCTTGGTAGCGAAAAGAGTGTTCTCAGGGTTGACAACGGCCTGACGCTTAGCGGCAATACCGACGAGACGCTCGCCATCCTGGGCGAAACCGACAACGGAAGGAGTTGTGCGAGCACCTGTTGTAGAAATCTAGTTAATTTACGTGTTCTTTCGAGCTGAACGGTCCATGAGCTGGATGAGAGCTCCGAAGCTCTGGCCACATGTCCAATTTGAAAATTTTTCCGTCACGTACCTTCGGCGTTCTCAATAATCTTAGGGGTCTTGCCCTCCATAACAGCAACGGCAGAGTTGGTAGTACCTATGATTCTAATGTTAGATTCGCGTCGCGTGGATGATTGTTTCGATGATACTCACCAAGATCAATACCAATGACCTGGCCCTTCACCTTCTCCTCGCCACCTTCCGTGGAGTTCCATCGGCGGAATGTGGAAGGGAGTCTAGAGGCAGGAGTGCGAGCGAACGCAGCGCGCGGGAGCTATGGGAAGGTCAGTCATGCGACGGGATATTTTTCCACGGGGAACTCACAGCGCGTGTGATGGTGCGAGGAAGCATTGTGAGGATATTAATTAATACAATAAAGAGAAAAACGGACACTCCAACGACTCAATCGCAGAGTGATAAGAAAAAGGCAAGAAGGATGAAGAGTTGGAGATGGAGAAAGGGAACGGAATCAAGAAGAAGGGGGATAGAAATTGCACCGGCGAGCTTCGGCCCGACGGTGATTGGCTCGATTACGTGATTCTATCAACTTCGATGGGGCGCTTCCCTGGTAACCGAGCTCACCGCCTCGGGTGCAGTGCCGATGAGCTACGTCGACGCAACGCCCCCCGGTGATTTACGGAGTACGGAGACATCCATGGAATTCTAAGTTGGAACTGTAGACAACAAATTGCTACTTAAGTATCGTGTTGATGAAAGACAAGGCAACCTTTGAAAAAAATAGGCACTTCTGGTGGACACGTGACCTCTAGTTATCGATCTATGCATTTTGCAGTAATCTACTTAAGTACTTCGGAGGTTAAATAAACTACCGGGGTGGTTGGATTAAAGCTACTTCCTTAATTTCCTTGAATCGGTTCTAAAGTTTGAAAGTGTTGTTTGATGTTTGTCTTTCAAAGGGATATGGAAGAACATCTGGGGATTGGAATACAGTCGACATAGAGTTGAACTTTAATAATATATACTGCATCATGATCTGCTAAGAGACCTTACCAGAGCTTCTGAGTTGAGTTCGTCGAGTACGGGGTACCTTGTTATGAATTACCTGCAGGCAGCCATCCCCGCGAATAACCATTGAGACCAAAGAAGATCGATTGTCAGCAAAAGCCCTGGAGTGAACATGGGCTTACCTAGACTGACTGTACCATGGCCAATCCGCGACGTGTCCATCGAGCCAATCAAGCGCTCGGCGCGCTCGGCGCAGTATAATCCTGCAGAGTACGGAGTACACACGAAGCCATCAAGGGTATACTGTTGTCCAAGCCATGATCTTGGAAGTGGTTATCTCAGGCCTCGCGACACGATTGTGGTCTTTCAAGATCATACTCTGGTGTGATAGTATCATATGATCAGCGAACACCGTTTCTTCGAATACCCCAGGATGGGGAGATTTAATCAGAAGCACCTGAAGACTGATAGAAGCTGCACCAGCTCTACCATGCCCTCTACCCAGGTCTACAGGTATATATCAACGGCTCTAAGACCAAAATCACGCCGGTTCCGGAACGCAACCGCATTCGTTGGAACTCACCCCGGCTTTTTCAAGTCTTACGTCATCCTTTCAAAAGTGAAGCGTTCGACTTTGAACTGCAGAGCACAGACTAATACTCTTCAAAACAAATTATTGCAAGAAAAAGAACTGTGCATCGCTGCCTGGTACTGTGGACGCCAATCAACGGGGGGTGGTTTCTTTCGTCCTTTGAACTTCCCCGCTCGAACAATGTCACCTCTGGCCTAGTTCTCCATCATGACCTCGGATTCAACGATGTCAGTCATCTGCTGCTGGCTGTCTCATAACTTCTAACAATGTCTCAGATACCGCCCGACCGAAGCTCTGATCCTCCCGACCAAGCGACGCTTCTTCCCGTTCAAGATCCCCAACTTGTCCGTTGATCCCTCTTATCTATCGTGCGCAGCCTAACCTAGGATTGCTATACTTTAGCCACGTCCAGCTTCGTAACTACATCAGTACCGCAGATCCCGATCGCATTTATGTCGTTGTCGAGAGGATCGTGTACGCTATACACATATCGGCGCAGACGCGAGCGAGTATAGCCTTGATTCCATTTGAGCCACGTTGTCTGGCCGCGGGGCATGGGTGGATCGCCGTCGGAGGCTCAGATAATGGAGAATGCGCCTTTATTCGAATAGGGGATCGAGGTATGCAGGCACATGGCGAAGCGCCCTCATTCCAGACCGACGTGGACAGTGCGCTGCCACTGGATCTCGACCCACCGTCGAGAGTGACATCACCCGACTCCAATGGCGACTTTGTACCGACTCGTTATCGAACCGGTAGGCTACTACCCGAAGTAGAGCTGCATAGGTTTGGTGGGAGTATTGTCAACTCCGTGACGATCCATCGATTCTATGGCGGCGGCGAAGGCTTGGCGGATGAGGATGTCGTGGTTCTGAGGTGAGTTTTTGGTCGCCTAAAGAAGACCGACCAATCTAATCACCGGACATAGCAACAATGACCGTACAGTCACTGTATATTCAATGACCAGGGCGAAAGTCATCAAAACCCTTCATCACTCGACCTGCATGAACTACGCCACAATTTCCCCGGACGCCAAATTGCTTACCGCAGTAGGCGATGAGAACCACGCCTATTTCTATGAGATCACCAGAGATTTAGAGTCAGTTGGAACAACCGAATCTGGAGACAAACTTCCAGGATGGGAATGGGAGCTCACCAATTGTTTGGAGATGGACATTGGTTTACGGGCAGAGGATGCGTGCTGCTTCGCTATCGCCTTTTCACCCTCCAGTCGGTTATGCGCTATAGGGTCCCAGTCTGGAGTCATCACGGTGATAAATGTTGCATCGGTCTACCAGTCCAGTGGCGAAGAACGCGTCTCACCGATTCTTTGCCAATTCCCGGCGTCGAGATCAAACGCTGAGGGCGGAGCTGTGCGCTGTATGACATTCTCACCAGAACCTTGGGATCTTCTGGTGTGGCTGGAGGGCCATGGAAGAGCTGGAATTGCCGATGTTCGTCAGCACTTCCTGCGTAGGCAGATTATTCAACTGGACTCCCATGATTCGCAAATGGAAAAGGTATACACGGACTTTGCGACAGATGGTCTGGAGCGACAACGACCGGAAGATCGTTCCTCAGAGCGCGCACCGCATGCGAGATCAGACGAGGATCCTTTGGCTAGGCGAAATGGCGAGGATACAGAGCGTTCTTCATTGCGAGAATCTTTGATCCACGATCTTTCCGAGAGAGAAAGGTTGATCATGGAATTCCTAAATACTGCACGCTGGACAACAATGCCAGAAGAAGGAACAACTGAGCGACCAGGACATCCACTTAGGGCAAATGTTCACACCGAGTCAGGGACTCGTCCGCGAAATCATGGTTCCACAGATGGTGCCACTCGTACCCACCGTCCCACTTCACCCCTGCATCACTACGATCTTTCTGATGTTTCCCGAGATAGCCATTCGGGCCGTGCTGTATCCAATCCAAGACGCCGAAGCTCAGTGATATTGTCTCAGGGAAACCTGTCCGGAGCTACTTCCTCTCATCATGATCATCCATCAAGCATAACTCTCAGCTATTCGACGTCACCCTCAGAGGATCTCAGTCTTACATCAGAAATCATAGCCCGGGCCAATGCAGGTATCGATGCGATTAATAACGATAATCGACACGCCACAGACCCAAACAACACTAGCCTTGGTATCAATGGGGCGAACCGTCGTTCACAGCGAGCAGCAGAGCTTTCACGCCGTGTTGAACGACTTTCAGCAGGAGCAGAAAGAGGATACGATGCCTCGCGCCTGGAAACCTATGAAATTCGTGCCAATGTAGCCGCTGAGCGGCTACGGCGCCAGCGTCAGATTGCAAATGAGGTACACAATCGCTCCTTTGAGAGTGAGCAAAGACAGCGCCAACAACTACTTGGTTTCGAGCAGACACATTCCCCCCGCTGGATCCGAAACATAATCAATGACCTCCCTGATCGAAGCTCCCTGCATAACACCGGGGCCGAAGAACCAGACTCTACCGCTGGAATAGGCTGGGGCGCTGATGGTCGTACATTGTGAGTAGGCTGCAACAGATCCCCCGGGTCAAAGCTAACAACCACAGGTACATTGCCACCTTGGAGGGAATATTCGAATTCCAACTTAATATTCATGACCGGAAGACCTTCCCCGTCTTCTCCTGCCGCTAAGCGTCTGATGATCCGTGATATCTCTTTCCTTAATCTTGTTTCTCTCTTCCAGGAGTGATCTTCGATTCTTCTTTTGAATATTTTCAACTTTCTGTCTGATCAGGCAGTCTCTCATTCTGAGATCCCCCTATGCACCGACATAACACCAGACTCATTCCTCGATAGAATGAGTTTTACTATGAGGGGGAAGAGTGACTCTCAATAGTATGAGCTACCCTTGACCTTTCTGCTAACCTCCATCCCATGTTTTCTTTGATATGTGATCTCAGTTCCGTATCGCATATTCTTTTGGCGCAATGGAGGCGTACATTATTTGATTTTCTATCTCTCTTCCCTGTCACATTCATTCCATTACTTCATTTCTTGTATGACTGATTTGTGGTACAAAAAGTGCGATCACATAGTTTACTTCACTAATATGATCTGTTCTGAAACTTTACACTCCTCAGCAATGGTCCTTTTCACCAGAAATGGAATTTAAATTTGACTTGTTCAGACTTTCAAGTAGTTCGAAAGGAAGAAACACTAATCGCCAGTCTGATATGGAGTGTTAGATCAACCTACTCTCATGTGCCCATAGATGGTTTTGTTGCCAGGCGGTCAAAAAGGCGGTACCGCAATGTGTGTTCATTAACCGACGTCATGAATCCTGCCGCGACATACCGCCCAAGTTTGTTGAAACTTGAGATCCGGTTGTTTGTAATGCCTCCAGCCATCACCGGGTCCTTTCGCTGAAAATATTCTTTGCTCTAGTCTCCCTCATCACTGCTGGGACTGAGTGTCTAATATCGACCCTCATCGATTTTCATTGGCCCGGCCGGTGATTGACCTAGTAAGATAGGTGTGGGGTGTGAATATTGCCGAGTCAATCATTGCTACAGATTCAGCACAACACTTGGCGCACTCGCTTCTTACTATCACAATGACGGACTCCCTTGAATCGTCCATGGAAAAATTAAGCCTAGGAGCCAGCCAAATTGACCCCGCAGCCTTTCAAGCCCGTTTGGTTGGCGAAGCGAATGGGTCAATTGACAACCTCCAACCTCGCAAAAGAGCTCGCCAGGATGCCCAGGATCTGCTTTTCGAGTTGGAAAATGAGTTTTTGGAACCATCGGACCAATTTGGCACTAGATGGCTAAATGCATTGCAAAAGTGAGTCTGTTGCTTTTATCAGCGGGGAGTGGGGTAATCTAATAGTTCTTGCAGGCGATGGGAGGTTTCTACAGATCACACAGACCTTTTTGAAGTTGCGCCGACCCAAACACGAACCGTTACTCGATTCACACGAGAAGGATTAGAAGGAAAGGTCACCGGATACCATGAAGTCACGGTTCCTGCAGCAAGCGCCAACGCTAAGAACTCTACGTCGCTTCTCCGCCGACCTGCTGGCCGTGCCGACTTTGTCAGAGGAGCTGCCGGGTTTTTCCCTTTCGCACCAGGAGGCTTGGAGGGTGTTGAAGCCCTTGCAGACTTGGAAGCAGAAGAGCAGGACACAGAGCAAGCACGCAATGGCAAGCAGCCAGGGCTCGACCGTATCATCAACTTTGGCACCGAAGGTGGTCTCCTGACCACACCCCCCAGCTTTGATCGCGGGCTTAACTTCGACGAAGTCAAGTCGAAGGACATCGAGGGTGATCAGGAAGTTGAGACTGCCCTCCAAGAGGAAAGCAATCTCAAGGTGAACGAATCAGAGGAAGCACCAGATCAAGCGACAACTGCCAAGGCAGCCGCCGAAGGAGATGACAGTGACGACGACGAGGAAGACATTGACGCTTTGCTCCCTGTTGAGTTCCCTGCACTCGAACCCCGCAACCAGTTACTAGCTGGCGTTCAGAAACAAAAGGGTAGAGAATGGGCCCATGTCGTTGATGTCAACAAGGATATTCCGAACTTCCACGAGTTGGTTCCAGACATGGCCCGAGAATGGCCCTTTGAGCTGGATACCTTCCAGAAAGAGGCCGTTTATCACCTTGAGGGCGGCGATTCAGTATTTGTTGCCGCCCACACATCTGCCGGTAAAACCGTTGTGGCTGAGTATGCAATTGCTTTGGCTGCTAAGCACATGACCAAGGCAATCTACACGTCTCCGATCAAAGCGTTGAGCAACCAGAAGTACCGTGACTTCAGAACTGAATTTGACGACGTTGGTATCTTGACCGGTGATGTCCAGATTAATCCGGAAGCCAGTTGTTTGATTATGACCACTGAGATTCTGCGGAGTATGCTGTACCGAGGTGCCGATCTCATTCGAGACGTTGAATTCGTTATTTTCGATGAAGTCCACTATGTCAACGACCTCGAAAGAGGAGTCGTATGGGAGGAGGTTATCATCATGCTTCCAGAGCATGTGACTCTGATTCTTCTCTCCGCAACAGTTCCTAACACGCAAGAGTTCGCTTCTTGGGTTGGCCGCACGAAGAAGAAGGACATCTATGTGATTTCGACTCACAAGCGGCCTGTTCCTCTGGAGCACTATCTTTGGGCCGGAAAGAGCAAGCATAAGATTGTTGACTCTAACAAGAGGTTCCTCGAAAGCGGTTGGAAGGAGGCGAACGATATCCTTTCTGGTAAAGATAAAGCAATGGCCAAGAAGGAGGCCGAGGCCCAAGCGCAGTCGGCACAGGCCAAAGGAGGCCCCCAGGGTCAGGGTCGTGGCCGCGGTGGCGGTCGTGGTGGCCCGCAGCGCGGAGGCGCCCCTCAGCGAGGCCGAGGAGGGGGCAATCGTGGAGGACAGAACTCCAACCGGGGAACTGGTAACATCGCTCGCACGGGCCGTGGAGGTGGTAGAACAAGTGCTGCCCAGGACAAGAACACTTGGGTGCACCTTGTTTCGCATCTTCGTAAAGAGGATTTGCTGCCGGGATGTGTGTTCGTTTTTTCCAAGAAGCGATGTGAAGAGAACGCAGATTCCTTGTCAAACCAAGACTTCAATAACGCCACCGAGAAGAGCTTGACACACATGTTCATCGAAAAGTCACTCACTCGATTGAAGCCCGAGGATCGCACACTCCCACAGATCTTGCGCCTCCGTGAACTTCTGAGCAGAGGTATTGCTGTACACCATGGTGGTCTCTTACCTATCATGAAGGAAGTTGTGGAGATTCTGTTTGCTAAAACGCTGGTCAAGGTTCTCTTCGCCACTGAGACATTTGCGATGGGTCTTAACCTTCCCACCCGAACAGTAGTGTTCTCTGGATTCCGCAAGCATGATGGTAAAGGGTTCCGTGACCTTCTGCCCGGCGAATACACCCAGATGGCTGGACGTGCAGGTCGCAGAGGTCTTGACACAGTGGGGTATGTGATTGTCTCAAATGGTGGAAAGGACGAGGCGCCACCTGCTGGTGCACTGAAGCAAATGATTCTTGGCGATCCAACCAAGCTCAGATCCCAATTCCGACTCACCTATAACATGATCTTGAATTTGCTGCGTGTGGAAGCGCTCAAGATCGAGGAGATGATCAAGCGCAGTTTCAGCGAGAACGCTACGCAGGCTCTCTTGCCAGAGCACGAGAAGCAGGTTCAATTGTCCGAGGCTAGCCTGGATAAAATCAAACGTGAACCATGTGAAATCTGTGATGTGGACCTGCAGGCTTGTCATGACGCTGCGATGGAGTACCAAAAGCTCACTACTGAGTTCCACACGGAGCTATTGTCGTCTCCCATTGGCAAACGCCTATTCACGATGAAGAGATTGGTCGTTTTCCGGAAGGTAAGTGAATGCGTATAATGTGAAGAGGCGTGTGTTCGTGTTCTCACATGAAATATAGGACGGTCTCCGGACGGCGGGTATCATCACTCGTGATGGAATCTCCGGTGGTATGGGTGGAATCGCACCTTGCATTCACGTACTAAACATCGGTACATTGGGTATTAAGCGCCACCCCACCGACATTCTTCCCTTCTTGCCTCACATGCGACCTTTGTTCCAATCCCTGCCTACCAACCCCGCCGACATGGATCTTCACCCATACAGAGTCCCGCTAGCTGATCTAGAATGTGTTACAAACACACAGGTCAAGTTCTCGGGACCTATGTGGTATCTTAACATCAGAAAAGGTAAAAGCCCCGTGCCGTTCTATCTATGCACAAAACACTGCGCTAACACCCACCGTAGAGTCTCTCAAGTGGGCAGAGAAGGAAATGGCCCAATACAACCAGTCCTGGGTTGGTCCTATCTGGGATGAAGTTGACTGGCAGCGTCTTAAAGAGCTGCAGGTCCGTGAGCTCATGGGGAAGAGACAGGCGCAGGCAGATATTGTTCAGTCCTCTCACTGTTTACAGTGTCCTCATTTCGTGAAACATGTGAGTCTCTATTCCCCGTGTACAGGACAGCAACTAACACCCAATAGTTCGAAATGCAACATGACGAATGGCAAGTCAAGGAGAACATCTCTGAGCTAAAACAGTTGATGTCCGACCAAAACCTCCAGCTTCTTCCGGACTACGAGCAACGTATCCAGGTGTTGAGAGAGCTTGGTTTCGTCGACGATCAATCCCGCGTTCAATTGAAGGGCAAGGTGGCATGTGAGATCCACTCCGCCGACGAGCTCGTTCTGACCGAGCTGGTTCTCGAGAATGTCCTTGCGGAATACGAGCCAGAGGAGATTGTTGCACTGTTGTCGGCATTTGTCTTCCAAGAGAAGACGGAAAGCGTGCCCACACTCACTCCCCGCCTGGAGAAGGGTACAAAGGAGATCATCGCTATTGCCGAGAAGGTGAACGATTTCCAAATCCAACATCAGGTTATCCAGTCCAGTGAAGACTCCAATGACTTTGCTAGCAAGCCACGCTTTGGTCTAGCCGAGGTTGTCTACGAATGGGCGAAGGGTATGTCCTTTAACCGCATTACAGATCTTACGGATGTCATGGAAGGTACTATTGTTCGAGTGATCACCCGCCTTGACGAGACTTGCCGTGAAGTGAAGAATGCGGCCAAATTGGTCGGTGACCCCACACTCCATCTCAAGATGCAGCAGGCTCAGGACTTGATTAAGCGCGATGTCATCTTTGCCGCCTCTCTATACATGTGAGCCTGATCCCCTTGCCCGTGGGCTTAGCCCGCGGACACTGGGGGAAGCCATATTTGAATCCATGCTCTTTTAGATGACGAAATGAATATTCATGTCTCACCAATGGAAATAAATAAGATCAAATCACCGTAGAGAGCATAGGTACCTAAGGTCTGAAAATCGGGGGGTTTGTGTGCTCTCTGATTAGCTGAGGGGTTCCATTTACCGCCCCGAGAAAATCGAAAAAAAGAATCTCCATCTCCCCTCTTCCACCTTCTCTTCTGTACAAGATCCACCCGATCTCTTTGGACAGTCTCGTCCTTATTTGCATTCTTTCTCACCGGCCTTATTTGTCCTTCCTAGCCGGTCCGCGCCCCCGGGGTTCCTATACTTGGAGATTTCTTGTCTATTGTGGTGGGGGAATTGTTGCGCAATGGACGTCACTGCCCTTCGAGACCGCATTCAGTCTACTTTGGACGCGAATGCGGATATTCGCCGGCAAGCTGAGCTTGATTTGAAATACGTATGTACCTGAATGGTGGGGCAGAACGTGACGCTCATGTGTGGTTTCCCTTTTCTAGGCCGAGTCGCAGCCCGGGTTTATCAATGGACTTTTGGATATCTTGCAGGGCGAGCAGAACAATGCCGTCCAGCTTTCCGGTAAGCCTCCAAATTTCTGGGCCGGTGTCTTGTTGCGATAGAGCTTCTGTCGGTTAACTCCCACTCTTCTTACCCACAGCCGGTGTATACTTGAAGAACCGCATCACTCGCGGATGGGCTCCCGTTGAAGACAGCCCACAGCGTACCCCGATCCCCGAAGCCGAGAAGCCCGGTTTCCGTGAGAGACTTATTCCTGCGTTGGCCTCGACACCACCCAACGTCCGCAACCAGCTTGTTCCCCTCCTCCAGAAGATTCTTCAAAATGATTTCCCCGAGAAGTGGCCCGAGTTTTTGGATCTCACTCTGCAGCTTCTTGGTACCAATGATGCTAGCACAGTCTATGCGGGTCTGCAGTGCCTTTTGGCCATCTGTCGGGTGTACAGATTCAAGGCTGGCGAGAAGAGGGAGGAATTTGATAAGATTGTGGAACACTCATTCCCCCAGCTGCTTAGTATTGGATCAAAGCTTGTTGATGAAGAAAGCTTGGAAGCCGCGGAAATGCTCCGCATCGTGGTGAAGGCCTTCAAGCATGCTATTTACGTTAGTCACCCTGACATTCCTTTTCGGGAGGAAAAGCTTGAATACTGACCCTTTGCGATATCTAGTTTGAGCTCTCCCCCGCTCTCCAGACCCACCAAGCAACTGTGGACTGGTGCACGCTATTCCTGCGCATTGTTTCAAAGACACCCCCTGCGAACGCAATGGGAGATTCGAAGGAGGACAGAGAGATGAACCACTGGTGGAAATGCAAGAAATGGTCCTACGCCAATCTGAACCGCCTCTTTATCAGATACGGCAACCCCACCACTATCACAAATTCCTCTACCCCCGATTACAAGCCTTACGCCAAGACCTTCATCAGCACATTTGCCCCCGAAATTCTTAAGGGTTATTTGACCGAGATCGACAAGTGGGTTTCCAAGACACAATGGCTCAGCAACTCTGCGCTCTCATATACTCTAGTCTTCATGGAAGAGTGTGTTAAGCCTAAGGCCATGTGGGACCACCTGAAGCCGCACATGGAGAACCTGATCGCCCACTTTGTTTTCCCTATTTTGTGTCAATCTGACGAGGACATTGAGCTGTTTGAAGAAGACCCCTCCGAATACCTTCACCGCAAGCTGAACTTCTACGAGGAAGTGTCAGCCCCCGATGTTGCCGCCACGAACTTCCTCGTTTCCCTCACCAAGAACCGCAAGAAGCAAACTTTCTCTATCCTTAGCTTCGTCAACACCGTTGTCAGCAAGTACGAAGCTGCACCGGAAGACCAGAAGCAGCCCAGAGAGAAGGAAGGTGCTCTGAGAATGATTGGTTCCCTTGCATCGGTTATCTTGGGTAAGAAGAGCCCTATTGCCGACCAGGTCGAGTATTTCTTCGTCCGCCACGTTTTCCCCGAGTTCCGCAGTCCCCACGGTTTCCTCCGTGCCCGTGCTTGCGATACTCTGGAGAAGTTCGAGCAACTCGATTTCAAGGACCCGAACAACCTGATGGTCATCTACCGCAACATTCTCGAGTCTATGACCGATTCCGAGCTGCCCGTGCGTGTTGAAGCCGCTCTTGCTCTGCAGCCTCTCATTCGTCACGATGTCATTCGCACATCGATGCAGCAAAACATTCCCCAGATTATGCAGCAGCTCCTCAAGTTGGCCAACGAGGTCGACGTGGATGCTTTGGCCAATGTCATGGAGGACTTCGTCGAGGTCTTCTCTGCCGAGCTTACTCCCTTCGCCGTTGCTCTGAGCGAGCAACTTCGTGATACTTACATGCGCATTGTTGGCGAGCTCTTGGAGCGCAACGCCGCCAAGGGCGGTGATGAAGATGCCTATGGCGACTTCTTGGATGATAAGAGCATCACCGCATTGGGTGTTTTGCAAACCATTGGCACTCTCATTCTCACTCTTGAGAGCACACCCGATGTCCTCCTGCACCTCGAAACCATCCTCATGCCTGTCATCAGCATCACATTGGAGAACAAGCTTTATGATCTCTACAACGAGGTCTTCGAGATCATTGACAGCTGCACCTTTGCCTCTAAGACCATCTCTCCTTCTATGTGGCAAGCCTTCGAGCTCATCCACAAGACCTTCAAGGCTGGTGCCGAGCTGTACCTCGAAGATATGCTTCCCGCTCTTGACAACTACGTCGCTTACGGCTCTGAGATGCTGGTCCAAAACCCAGCCTACCTCAACGCTATGGTCGGTATGGTGCAGGATATCTTCGCTGACGACAAGGTCGGAGGCGTTGACCGCATCTGCGGCTGCAAGCTTGCTGAGACTCTGATGCTCAACCTTCGGGGTCACATCGACCAGTACATCCCCATGTTCATTGAGATGGCCATGCGCGTCATTGACGCAGGTGGTGTGCCCACCAAGTCTTACCGTATCCACTTGATGGAGATGGTCATCAATGCCATCTACTACAATGCAGCCCTCAGTTTGCAGGTTATGGAGGCCAAGGGCTGGACCAACAAGTTCTTTAGCACCTGGTTCGCTAACATCGATAACTTCCGTCGTGTGCACGACAAGAAGCTGTCCATTGCAGCAATTAGCTCCCTTCTCACCCTCAAGGCCACCGATGTTCCCGTCAGTGTCCAGCAAGGATGGCCGAGACTCTTGCAGGGTGTGACGAGACTTTTCCAGACTCTTCCTGCTGCTATGAAGCGTATGTTTCCCAAACTACCCCTTGAAATACCCATAAACTAAACTAACACATGCAATAGAACGCGAGGATGCAACCAAGGAGTCGGACTTCACCCTCGATGATGAGGATGATGAGGATGACGAGGACAACGACTGGGATGGAGATGTGGAGTGGGATGAGAATGAGGTCGAGGCAGCTCTTGATGACGATGTTACCGATGAGAGTGCCGCGTACCTTGACTTCCTCAACCAGGAGGCTTCCAAGTTCGGCTCATTTGACGATGATGATGATGACGAGATGGATGAGGAGAGCCTTCTGGAGACTCCTCTTGATAAGGTCGAGCCCTACGGCATGTTCAAGCACGTTCTGCTCAGTATGTTACCCTCAGCCTCCTTTGGTACTTCACTCACTAACACCAACCTCAGGCCTTCAACAAGAACAGCCCCAGCTTTATGAGAGCTTGACTAAGGTTCTCGGTCCGGATGAGCAACAAGTCATTCAGGGCGTCTTCCACGAGGCTGACGCCAAGGCCCTGGTCGCCGCTGCTAACGCGGAAGCTGCCGCTGCCGCGGGCATGCAGGCTAACGGCAACTAAAGGGATGAGATGGAGTGAAATGACTGATTTTCACCCGACAAAAAGTCTCTCTGTCTCGTTGCTTTCTCATTTTCCCCATTTCCTCACGAGACCATATGCCCATTTCATATCTTTTTCGCCTTAGATCATGCCCTGTCTGCTTTCGTCTCTTCCACGTCGACCTTTCAATTTTTTGTCATGTTCCCGCTGATGTACTCTAAAAGTCCTCATATTTGGACAATCCTCTCGAGACCCCCTGCCCCTTTTTCTTATAATCTTCCTCCGTGCACAGATTCCCCAGACATTTTTCTCATGATATAGTACATCAGCCATGCTACAAATGTTGGACCCAGTGTCAGTCGCTGTGCCGTAAATAATCCCTTAGGCTTGACCCTTCAGGGCTCCTGACATGTTTGTGGAGCGGGCAGAGCAGGTATATCAAATGACGTCAGTCACTTTTACAAGCATACCCACGACATTCACTCGAGGGGGGATACCTTTCCCACTGAATGCACAGGAATTGACCCTGTGAGTGAATTCACGCCTTTAGTGGTACTTTCTAAAAGGGAACATAATATGGAAATGTACTTGGCTCTATAGTACGCTCGATTTCGCTCATCCTCGTTGGTCAAATTACACGGGTGTTATCCTTCTATGCATCAGATGAGATAGTCAAGTATATGTGCTGCTCCACGAGTCTGAACAGTTAGGCCAAAGAATATACATAGGTTGAGTCCATATTCAACGTTCTGCTATCGAACATTCTGGCTATATGTGTTGCCACTATGTTTTTGCTTTATCAATCTCCAAGTGTGATAAGATCTACAAGAACACGCCAGTATTCTAGAACTTGCAACACTAATATTGGACAATAGGAGATAATTACCTAGGTACGAATACACAAGGATCTACCTTGAAAACCTGAGAATATTCGTAAATCCAAGTTCAAATGTGTATGTATCGCCTCGAAACGTCATGATGATGGACCACGACCGGTTTAAGCCCCAGCCGGTAACGTCAGTTCATCACTGCGCCCAAATAAAAGACCTCCAGTTCGCCTCTCTACATGATATCCTACAACACAATCACTACTTAAGTACCACTTGACTAAAGGTACAGTATCGACATTGCAGCCCTGTCTTGTGTTCTATCCACCAGATGTATACTAACACCACCTAGCATCCACATCAATTACCTGCCACCACAGTCTCACATTACCACCATGTCTGCCCCATACCCCGGACGTCAATCTCCCTCGCCCGAACGCCAATCCGGTGCTCAACAGCAAGACACACCTGGCACAGGTAGAACCTCTGTCGGCAAACACGATTCTCCCGAGCACTCATCGCATGCATCGGAGCATTTCAAGAAGCACAGCCTTGAGAGTAACCCTGTGCACCCCTTAGAGAAAATTGAGGCGGAGAAATTCGCAAAGGGGCAGCATTGAGATGTATTCTATATTATTCTGAAGTTCTAGTTGGGTTACGAGTATGTGGATAATGATATCATGTTTTCATTTTGGTGCTTGAGTGGGGCTGTACCCTATTTGATTGATTTGTACGGAGCAGGGAAGTCGTAGTGCTTGAGTAGATCTCGAATTGAGAGCTTTTTCTTAAGCGGTGATTCTGAAGAGATCTAGATCTGCATGAAATAGGTGCGTCGGTAAAGTGGACATTACTGCACGGAGTTACGCTTTGATCCCTCATCTCGATCTCTCGTTCTAAAGCCACAGCTGTCAGATATAAAAGCGTTGGGACAGCACCCGAAAATAGATTAGAATATTACGACTTATATGGGCAGTCTCATTCTAAAGTTGGGCAAATATCGAGATCTTTCATGGGTTGCCTTCCTACATTCACTAGCTACTTGAGTAGAGCACTGCCTTGCGTTCAATGTCAACGTCAAATAGGGTTATCATTGAAAAGGATCAACTATGGACACATCATGGCATCATGAGGGGTACTAAAGCAATAGATACGAGTCACGTCCAGCGCAATTCATCAAAGTCCATCTCTTAAGCCTTAGGATCGACGGGAGCGGCAGCAGCCTCAGGCTGGGAGGGAACAGCCACGGGCTCAGTAGCTGCCACAGGCTCAGTAGCAGAGCTATCGGTCTTGCCCTGCTTCAAATCCGCAAGACGGCGAGCCTCGTTGTGAATGTCACGGATCTGCTTATCGGTTTGAGTGTAGAATCCACGGAGCTTCTGACCAGAGGGGTGGCTGATGGCCTTCTCGAAGTAGTGGCCCAGGCCGCGCCAGCCTGTAGCGGCCTTCTCGGAGATCTGGTAGTTGGCGTCCAGACCCTTGGCGCGCTCAGTGGCATTGAACTTCTTGTCGAAGTCGCCAAGCGCGGTAGTGAAGCGCTTGGAGAATCCGTGCTTCTGGTCCAGGTCAATGGCCCTGGTAATGGCGTTGTCGCTAAGCACGTAGCCGTGAGCAAGGTACTCGGCGACAATGCGCGAGCGGGGCTTGTCCTCCTGGGCAATCTCGTGCTCTTCACCCTTAGCTTCAACTTCGGTGGCCGAGGGGCCAGCTAGGTCATCAATGTTCGAGGCAGCTTCGACGTGCACGGCGGAGGTGCCAAGTTGGGTCTGATCAAGGAGAAGGGCGGTCTTCGCGGCGCTAACTGGGTGTGAGATTGGGGTTCAATGGCGCAATGGAACTGCGGGGTAGCTTACGCTTCCTTTTCAAAAGTGACCGTGGCGGACTGTTTGGCGTCCGCTTCGCCGGAAATAGGTGTAACAGAGAGGGAGACAATCTTGCCGCTGTCTTGTGTTAGCCATGTGCTAGGTCGATGTATGCGAAGTGCATCCCTACCAGAAGCTGAAGAAGTCGCGAACCTCCTTCTCGGAGGTTGTGGCTGAAATGCCAGAAACGTGGACGGTAGAGTGAGACATGGTATGAGACAATTAAGATAAGTGGGAGTGGAAAGGGGAAATCAAGCAGAAGATGACAGTCACACCACGACTATTTATCTGCCACGCCACAGGTGACGTAGAGCGGGGCACTGCGCCTCAAGCTAATTTCTTGTTTCAAATGTTCATTTGGCCATTTTTCTTTATGAAGTTGCCTGGAAAAACATCTTTCATTCTAAATATGTTTGCCTGCAAACCCGAGAATGTTGAGCACTGCCCGTAGAAAAGACTTGGAATCAGGCATCGATCCCAAACTCTGAGGATGAAGGCACCTCCTTTTGTTTCTTCAGAGTCTGTTCCAGCTCTCGCACACGTTTCCGGAGCTGCTCATTCTCCCGCTTGGTCTGCTCCAGCTCCAACCGATGATGTGTTGCCTCCTCGAATCGCGATAGCGAAGCTCCAGGGGAATATGACGCTCCTGGAGAATAGCCCATGTGGGTCTGTGAGACGGAATTCCGGTGCGGGTACACGCTACTGTTGCTATGGGAGAACGTTGATAATGATCCGATCGATGGTCGGCGAGAAGTGAGAGACGGCTCGCGGCTGCGAACGGTGCGGGAGTGGTCGGCTCGTGAGGGGTGGCTCGTCTCTCGCGACGGCGCAATTCCAGTAATGCTTCCTGTCTGCGGGACTTGGGATGCTGAAGCGTGAGAGCTGAGACTTGAGTTGGACCGGTTCCGTCGCGCGGACTGCGAGCGATGTGAGCTACTGAGTGTAGGAGATGCCCGTGCGCCTTCTGGTTCGGTGAATGTCGAGGTAGAGGATCCTGTAGATGCCACGGACGCTGTCTGCTGGCGGAGGACGGACAGTTCTCGGGTCAACCGATTCACCTGTGGGTAATTTCCTGTATAAACATATGTTCTTACGCCCACGAGGTCTACTCGAGGGCTGCGGGGGTCTCACTTACCATTGCTTCCTGCTCCTTCTCAAGCACTAGATGGAGGTCCGAAGGCGTCAGCGGCTGTGGATGACGCAGTGGCCCTTGCTCTGTTAGTCGGGGTTACTCCCAGCGACGATTGTCATGAACTTACCCTGGGCAGTGCTTGTAATGCCATATTCTCCTCCCAAAGGTGGGCTACCCGGGGGAAGCCCTGAAGTATGGCCTAATCCTAGCTGGCGGGGTGTTGGAGGTTGTGATGTCGCCGGGAGGGCAGTTGTTGCGGCACGAGGCCGTTGCAGGGAGGGGCTCAACTCAGTCACAGCCATGGCGAAGATGGAAAATGAAACCCCAATTGCCCGCGGGGAGAAAGCAGCTGAAGTATCACAGGATCCTGTCAACAATGAGAGTCGACGTCAGAGCAAAACACACCCCTTGATAGGAATTCCAGGGAGGACTTGAAACATACCTTGATACTACTGAGTCTTTTAAAGTCGAGAGAAGGAGCCTTGAAGTTGAAACATTGGGCTCTTGTTTCTTTGATTGGGCCGTGGCCATAGTCTTTGTACAAGGTACTGTACAGAGTACTTTGAGAATATAACAACAGCAGTAGACGGAGAACTCCGCGGACATTCCAAATGCAATGATCCGCATTTACTCCATACAGCAACAATACTGTATACTAATCAATATGTGATCCCTACATATGGAGCACTGTACTCGTACTTAAGTACGTGGACATGGATGCTCCATGTACTCCGCTTGGGCCCCTGTGAGCTATAGATTGGATGTCTCGATTGGAGCTATCAACGGGTTGGGCACCGGGTACTCATAGACCTCAATCATATTATTATCGACATACCAAAGCGAAAATACTACTCCGTATATTTGTATATTTTTACTCTGCAGCTCTTGGCTCAATTGCCAGAAGTCCAGGGCTTCACGCGCAAGCTGGGTTACATAATCTTGATCGCAAGGGCAAAACAAACATTGGAACCCTCTGCACCTGTCAGCGTCTCAGCTTGTCTCTCTCCCCATGATGGCCCGCGCGGACTCCGATATCCACATTCCACCTGTGGTGAAACAGCTCGCTCCTTACGTCAAGTCCCGCCAGGAAGCTCTCCAGATCCGCCAGGCATTAACCTCTTATCTGCGCTCCTTTATCGTCTTCAACGAGTCCGACGACTCTGTTCAGTCCCACCTCTCCTTGAATGCCCCGACCGGGGCTATCGCAGACGTCAATCGCATCCCTCTCGACCTCCCTGGGCTACGAAAGGATTACCTGAAGGCGCTAGCGGCCAATGTTGCAGCTCGCAAAGAGTTCGCCGCAGCGACTGACAATGTCGCGGCCCTGAGACGCCGAAGGACCTCCCCGGACCGCCCCTGCAATGACGACCCCCAAGAACCCGGTGCCGAACTGCGGGACTACCTGGCTCTCCTGCGTGATCGACGTCGCCTCACCAAGCTTCAGGCATTTCAACAATATCTAGAAGAAATCAAAGCGCGAGATACTGGTACACTGGGGGATTCTGGATATGCCGAGGAGCAACCAATGTTGCCGGAGGTAGAGGTGGGACAGGATCGTGCCGGTACAAATCTGGATGAGCTTGTGCATAGTCTTGAGAGGGCGGTCGTTCGCGCCAAATCTCAATTGGATCGCCAGAAGCAGCTTTTCGATAAAGCCAAGACCCAGCATGATTCCCGGAACGAAACCTCCTCTGCCACAATCTCCCCGGATGTCAAAGTCCAAGCTTTACAAAAGGCCCGGGACGAGTTGGTCCAATGGGTGGAACAACGGCTAGTTGGCCAAGGAGATCCAGATGAGAGCGTGCTTCAAGAGCTTCCCCCAGAAGAGATCGAAGCAGCCCAGCACGAGCTAGAAGAATGCAAGGCAGAGATTACAAAACAGTATGCCGTATACGTCGAAGCCCGGCGCGAGCTCCTCGAGGCTGCCTCCAGAGCCTGCCAACCGGTCAATGTGGCACCGAAGCCATCATCACGCCCCAGCAAAACTGAACTCGTTCCGGTAGAGGTCCCGCCACCAAATGCCATAGATGTTCTGTCTTATGTAACCGAGAACCTCTTGCCGCTCTCCAAGGGCCAAAAATCGCTCTCCCTCCAGAGGTCCTATTTATCTGGATTACTTTCCAAAGAAAGATCAACTACCCTTCGCGCGCTTAATCGCCTCAACGATGAGTCCCATCTACTTCCGGAATATCCCATCCATTCTCGTCAACAGCGACCTAAGCATGCTGCCAGCTTCCGCACCCAGGCCCAACCGCTCCAAGCCCAGAACCAACCCGAGCCGAGTTCGGACGAGGTCGTCAGACTTGCCGAGGCGTGGGCCTTTGCTGCTGATGCTGCTGGCACCAGTGGACGTGAATATGTACAGCAAAAAGTGGCCCTGGGTACGGAAGTTGCGCAGGATGCTCGACAGACTCTGGTTGATGTTTACGGGACTCTCAATCAGGACCTCGATGAGGTCATGAACGGCCAGAAGCGGGATGTGTCAAACCCCACTCGCTTGAGAGGTGGGTCTCGGATTGAGAAGCGACCGACTGGTCCCTGGTCTCAATTGAATGGGAAAGTGGGAGTTGAGTAGGGTCAATTTTTGGCTTAGGGGAACTTTAGAATTTACATATATCCATTGGCTTACCTATTGGTATTCGCCTAGCTACATAGTGTATTTAACATCTATAGACATGTCGTGTCGTTGAATATGTCGCGTGAAAATTGCCCCGATGTTCGGCAGAACCCCCGAAGATCCGTGCGAGTAGCAACCTTAACATGCGCACAGGTATTGTTATGCAGTTAAGAAACAACTCCAGGCTGTTGGCTAAATTGCGGCTAAAAGCTTGTTATATTAAGGGCTAGGGTGTCAAAGGTTATGTACGGAGTACTCACACTGCCAACTTAAAGCTACTACTGGAGTATCTATAGATGTAGATATGCTATGTAACTCTGCGAAGCTCTAGTTTGTTATACTCGTATACCAATGCAAACCCTGGACCTTCACTCGCAATCTCTATCCCCACAGACTACTACTTGTAGATGATAACCTAACTTTGGCTCAGTAAAAATGCCTTTGTAGATTTCTGTACGTCAAGCTCGTCGAAAGATAAGAAAGATCCACCCTTATTCCGGCATCGGCGCAGATCATTGCACACACAGTAAGCCCAATTGTAGGGCTACGGGAAATTCTAGAGTTTACAGGTCAGAGCTGGATATTGACCACCTTTTCTGCTCAGTCGAACAACCTTCATGAGGATGTTGTAAACTCCTCTACCAGGCCTATTAGATTCACCAGATCTTACTCCATATAGATTTCCCCTGATATTAAAAAGTGAGGTCCGGAACCGTCTCCACTCCCGATTGACTCATATTGCAAAAAAGAAAGAAAAACAGCCCTAAGCAACGCTTTAAATACTGCGTAGTGCCATTGGCGTCCAATTCTGAAGATCAACTATATATAATACTAATTTCTCTGCCCTTTTCCCTCTTTTTTCCCTTCGCTCTTCTCGAAATCCCAGTCGCGAAGTGGAGAATACGGTGAGGACCACGGACCAATCAGCGAATCCGTGGGGGGAAAAAAAGAAAGATTCCCGGGAAAAGTGTAGACTCATCCTCCACACTCCTCTCAACAAGCAATTGAACCCTCTTTTTCCGCTAAAGCGGTCGTGCGCAATGGTTCTTGCTGCTCGATGTGGGCAGGCTGCAGCTCTGCTGCGCCAGCGTTGCCTTGCTGAGACTCGCCCGGCATTCGTGCGCGCATTCTCCTCCCAGCCCGTTCGTTCGGTTTCCGGTCTGCGTCAGAAGATCCCCACGGCTCGCTCCCAGCAGCTCCGTTCCTTCTCCAGCACCTTGAACCGTCTCGCCGCTGAGAAGCCCCCTGCTGCTGAGTCTTACCTCGCCAGCGGTGCTGTCAAGCCCGGCAGCAACCTTGTCGATGTCAAGAAGGTCCTTGTCATTGGTTCCGGTGGTCTGAGCATTGGTCAGGCCGGAGAGTTTGATTACTCTGGTAAGTCAATCCAATTGGAGATGCAATTGCATTGCGAATCGCTCGTCGCCTGCCCAGCTTCATCCTTCCTGGTGACCCCCATGGGGTGGTCGTTCATGGGGGTGCTGCTCTGCGGGAAGCGGAGAGCTGAACGGATGCTCCCAGCATTTTCTTTTCCTGTTTTGGGATGAAAGCAACTAACCATCTTCCCTTCTATAGGCTCCCAGGCTCTGAAGGCGCTCAAGGAGGCCGGTGTCCACTCCGTCCTCATCAACCCCAACATCGCGACTATCCAGACCGATCACAAGCTTGCTGATGAAGTTTACTACCTCCCCGTTACCCCCGAATATGTTACCCACGTCATTGAGCGCGAGCGCCCTGACGGTATCCTTCTCACCTTCGGTGGTCAGACTGGTCTGAACCTGGGTGTGCAGATGAACCGCATGGGTATCTTCGACCGCTACGGCGTCAAGGTCCTCGGTACCAGCATCAAGACCCTGGAGACCAGTGAGGACCGTGACCTCTTCGCCCAGGCCTTGAACGAGATCAACATCCCCATCGCTGAATCTACTGCTGTCGAGACTGTCGAGGACGCTCTCAAGGCCGCCGAGCAGGTCGGTTACCCCATCATCGTCCGTTCCGCCTACGCCCTCGGTGGTCTGGGATCCGGTTTCGCTGCCAATGCCGATGAGCTCCGTGATCTGTCCTCGCGCTCTCTTTCCCTCTCCCCCCAGATCCTTGTTGAAAAGTCTCTCAAGGGCTGGAAGGAGGTTGAGTACGAGGTTGTCCGTGACGCTGCCAACAACTGTATCACTGTTTGCAACATGGAGAACTTTGACCCTCTCGGAATTCACACCGGTGACAGTATTGTCGTTGCCCCCAGTCAGACTCTGTCTGATGAGGAATACCACATGCTCCGTACTGCTGCCATCAAGATCGTTCGCCACTTGGGTGTCGTTGGTGAGTGCAACGTTCAGTACGCTCTGCAGCCCGATGGACTCGACTACCGTGTCATCGAGGTGAACGCTCGTCTTTCTCGTTCCTCTGCCCTTGCCTCCAAGGCCACTGGTTACCCTCTTGCCTACACCGCGGCCAAGATCGGACTGGGACACACCCTGCCCGAGCTCCCCAACGCCGTTACCAAGACCACCACTGCCAACTTCGAGCCCAGCTTGGACTACATTGTTACCAAGATTCCCCGTTGGGATTTGAGCAAGTTCCAGCACGTTAACCGTGATATCGGCTCTGCTATGAAGTCTGTGGGTGAGGTTATGGCTATTGGCCGTACCTGGGAAGAGTCTCTGCAGAAGGCTATTCGCCAGGTTGACCCCAAGTACCTCGGTCTCCAGGGTGATCACTTCGAGGACCTCGACGAGACCTTGCGCAACCCCACCGACCGCCGCTGGTTGGCTGTTGGCCAGGCTATGCTCCACGAGAACTACTCCGTTGAGAAGGTTCACGAGCTGACCAAGATCGACAAGTGGTTCTTGTACAAGATCCAGAACATTGTCGACTGCAACAACGACCTCAAGGAGATCGGCAGTCTCTTCGGCCTCAAGCAGGAGATCCTGCTGAAGGCTAAGAAGCTCGGTTTCTCTGACAAGCAGATCTCTCTGCTTGTTGGTGCCTCTGAGGACGATGTCCGTGCCCGCCGTAAGTCCTTCGGCATCACCCCCTGGGTGAAGAAGATTGATACTTTGGCCGCCGAGTTCCCCGCCGACACCAACTACCTCTACACCACCTACAACGCCTCCTCCCACGATGTCACCTTCGATGACCACGGAACCATCATCCTGGGTAGCGGTGTGTACCGTATTGGTAGCTCCGTCGAGTTCGATTGGTGTGCTGTCAACGCTACTCTTTCCCTCCGCGAGATGGGCAAGAAGACCGTTATGATCAACTACAACCCCGAGACCTACTCCACTGACTTCGATACCGCCGATAAGCTGTACTTCGAGGAGCTCAGCTACGAGCGTGTCATGGATATCTACGAGCTCGAGGCCGCTAGCGGTGTTGTTGTCTCTGTCGGTGGCCAGCTGCCCCAGAACATTGCCCTCCGTCTCCAGGAGTCCGGTGGTGCCACCATTCTCGGTACCAACCCCCAGGATATTGACAAGGCCGAGGACCGTCACAAGTTCTCCCAGATCCTCGACAGCATTGGTGTCGACCAGCCCGCCTGGAAGGAACTGACCTCCGTCGATGAGGCTGAGACCTTCGCCGAGGCTGTCGGTTACCCCGTCCTGGTTCGCCCCTCCTACGTCCTGTCCGGTGCCGCCATGAACGTCATCTACAGCGTCGATGAGCTCAAGGAGAAGCTTCTCAACGCTGCCGCCGTTTCCCCCGACCACCCCGTTGTCATTACCAAGTTCATCGAGGGCGCCGAGGAAATTGATGTCGATGCCGTTGCCTCCAACGGCAAGCTCCTGGTCCACGCCGTTTCTGAGCACGTCGAGCCCGCTGGTGTCCACTCCGGTGATGCCACCCTCGTCCTGCCCCCTGCCAACATCCCCGAGCCCATCATGGCCCGCGTGAAGGAGATTGCCGAGAAGGTCGCCAAGGCCTGGAACATCACCGGTCCCTTCAACATGCAGATCATCAAGGCTGACCAGGAGGGTGCCGAGCCCGCTCTCAAGGTCATTGAGTGCAACCTGCGCGCCTCCCGCTCTTTCCCCTTCGTCAGCAAGGTCCTGGGCACCAACTTCATCGACGTTGCCACCAAGGCTCTCGTCGGCCGTGATGTCCCCGAGCCCGTTGACCTCATGAAGGAGAAGCGTGACTACCTCGCCACCAAGGTTCCCCAGTTCTCCTGGACCCGTCTGGCCGGTGCCGACCCCTTCCTCGGTGTTGAGATGTCCTCCACTGGTGAGATTGCCTGCTTCGGTAAGGACCTGGTCGAGGCCTACTGGGCTTCCCTCCAGTCCACCATGAACTTCCGCATGCCCGAGCCCGGTGAGGGTATCCTCCTCGGTGGTGACGTTACTCAGCCCTACCTGTCCAAGATCGTCGAGTACCTGAACCCCCTCGGCTACAAGTTCTTCGCCGTCAACCCCGACGTCAAGGCCCACATTGAGTCCACTGCTCAGACCCCCGTGTCCGTGCAGCTGATCGAGTTCCCCAAGAAGGACAAGCGTGCTCTCCGTGAGGTCTTCCAGAAGTACGACATCCGCGGCTGCTTCAACCTTGCCAAGACCCGCGGCAAGACCCAGCTCGATGAAGACTATGTCATGCGCCGCAACGCTGTCGACTTCAGTGTTCCTCTCTTCATGGAGCCCAAGGTATGTTCCCAGCCACTCTGACCCTACGATATGAAACATTCACTAATCTCCATTCCTCTAGACTGCCCAGCTCTTCGCTCAGTGCATGAACGAGAAGTTGCCCCGTGGTGACGAAATCCCCTCCGAGGTTCGCACCTGGTCCAACTTCGTCGGCGGCAAGGCTCTGTAAATGCATTCCTGCACAAGACAGGAAAAGAAAAAGTAAAAAGCCCATGTCTTAAAGAGAGGACCAATCCTCCTCTTTCCCCCCGATATCCCCTATGACATCAGGCTCCCCCGTCAGGATCCGCTATAAGGGTCTATATCCTCGTTCGTACAGTGGATAAGGCCGTTCTGTTGATAGATTCCGGTTTTCCTAATTGTTGTACTCTTGGATTGGAATATTGTCTTTTTTCGCTACTGTATTGTAGCGCTTATATGTCTCTTGGTCTCAATATGAATTTGGATTTAATCTGTGTTTTGGGTGCTTTGAGTGAGAAATGCTTATATTTGAGGCAATGCAGTGTAGCGCTGACTGCCAAGTAGCAAAGTCTTAGCTGTCCTGGGAAGGACTGTTGCTCTGACGGGCTCGTAGCTTCCGGATTCACTCGGAGTTCACTGACCCGTTGACCTTCAACTGCAGGCTGATCATGACCTCCACAGGCGCCTGTCCCTGGAAACCTTAGCAGGGGGTTTGATGTCACTCTAAAGCAAAGCATCGAGGCAATTGCTTACACCAATGCCCTAGCAGACGAACGGGAGCAACGTCAATCATTCCGGAACTTGAGAACCGGAAGAAGTTCAGTGACGGAGACCTCGTGCTTGTTCAAAATTTCAGCTTTGACCAGGGACTTGGACGGAAGGTGTCCACACGATGGTTGGCACTGTGTTTGCTGGTTTGCTTGAGGCCATGCAGGAGAACGGACATTGGAGCGCTGTACGGCGCGCCCGAGAGAGTCGCATTCCACCTCGACGACCGCAGAACTCATGTGCAGCGAAAGCAGCTTGAACAGCATCTTCCGGGAAATCCTCACTTCCTCGGGGATCACGAAGAACCGATCCCGGCCTACGCAGTTGACCGCGAGGCAATGCGAGGGGCGCTATTTCTAGGTCAAACAATGTTTGACCTGACGTACTCATATAAACGGTGATCATCTTGATCACTGGGCGGAACATGAAGCCCTGTGGGCTCCTGAGAGGGAGTCTCACTCGATGTTCTATACTGCTATTGAACATCCCCATGTAAGCCCTTCATCTAGGGCTGGCGGTGCCAAGAGATCCCAAGATGACTAATATTTATCCACAGCATCATGGATCACCGAACTACCTCTGGCTGCCAAAGACACTCAAACCCCCAAGGTCCTTATTAGAAGTGAATAAGATGGCCTCGAGAACCGTTCTCCCGTCGGTGACGACCAAGACGGTTCCCCGCCCTGCCCCTAATGGCATGGGCAATGGTTTATTTGCAACCGCAGATATCAACCCTGGTGATACTGTCTTGCACATTGAGGCACCATTCGTGGCCATTCTGGACACTCCTCGTTTGGAGGACACATGCGCTGGCTGTTTTGGAAAGCGACAAATGGAAACTGGGAATGAGCTGAAAGCTTGTACAGGATGTCGTGTCGTGAAGTATTGTGATCGGGTAAGTCGTGGCGATTATATTATTTTGATCGTGTATTTGGATTGAATTGCTAATCTGAAAACTAGACTTGTCAATCAAAAGATTGGAAGTTTGCCCATTCCCTTGAATGTCCTATTTTCAAGAATATCAAGCCGATGGTACTTCCCAACAATGCTCGCGCCCTTCTTCGTATTGTGCTCCGCTCTGCTCGTAACAAGTATGACCCTGAGGAGTTCAAGGTCTTTGATGGACTAGAGACTCACATCAATGAGATCTCTGAGAGTCAGGGCCAACTCGATAGAATTACCTTGACCGCAAGAGCTGTCAAGAATTACTCGGGGACAGATATCGAAGAAGGCACAGTTTCAACATACGCTGCAAAGGTGAGTCTGGTTGATATACCCAATTGATTGCTGAGCTTCAAGCTGATTTTTTTTGATTAGTTGGATCTGAACTCTTTCAATCTGACAACGTCGATGTACGATCGTATTGGTCTGTACCTGCACCCATACGCTGGGTTGATCAATCATAGTTGCGACTATAATGCCACAGTTGGATTTGATGGAGCCGAGCTATATGTCAAGGCCATGCGTCCCATTAAACAGGACGAACAGGTATTCATTTCCTACATTGATACCACAACACCATACGACATCCGACGCAATGAATTGAAAGAGCGCTATTTCTTTGACTGCCTGTGCACAAAGTGTCAAAAGGGAACAGATACATTTGAGGACCGGTTTTTATCCGAACCCGAAGACATGACACCCCTTGAAACAGCGGAACGTGAAGCTCTTGAATTGATGCAGACGGCCACGGGATCTAGCACAGAGCACGCGGAAGCAATCGAAAAGCTGGAAGCTGCTATGCACAAGCTTCACGAGACAGCTGCTTGGCCTCTCACCCGCCAACCCTATGCTTCCCTGCGTGACAAGCTGATTATTTCCCTGCTGTCCGCTGGAAACTTCACTCGGGCTTTCATCCACGCGGCCATCAGATACATAAAAATTGACCCTGTCGTGTATGACAAGGCCCACCCAATCCGCCACATCCATGCATGGAGCCTGGTCCGGCTTACGGTGTTCATCTCACAAGAAGGGTTCCAGCCCGATCCTAAAGATCCCGTGCAGATCAAGGACTTCCAACTGAACTTCCACTACCTGATCTGGTACATTTTGGCTGAGCTTGCAAGCACTCAATTGGAGAGCTGTACTGTTCCCAGCTTCAAAAAGCTGGTTGGGAATCAATTTGTGCAAGTTCACAATGAATTCAAGACCAACGGTCTCGATCCAAGCAAGTCCAGGGGCGTTCTGGCTGCTGAATGGCAGAAACTCGAACGTCTTGTGACCAAGGCCCTGGAAAAAGAGTAAGTCATCACAATTATACTCGCTACCTAGATGGAGAATTAGAAGAGTGCGGTGAGGCCAGAAAACGACCTCAGTGCGCGATTTTTCCATAATGATCCAGCGAGCAGATATAGCAAAGCCGGTATAGACCTTGAATTACCTCCAGAATGGGGTTCACAATGCAAGGAGGTCAGCGAGTGCCTGTTCACTTGTGCACTTTCTCTATGCCCAGGTGGTATCCAATAGGCTTAAGGTATAACATACTTAAGTATGGGAACCGCAATAGTTAACTAACGAATACATAAGTATCACTGGCGAGGTCTGAGATTAAGGGGACCACCATTTGAGCATCTGGGCAGACATGTCTCATGTTCGCCACCGGAAAGGTAAGCGTGTTATTCTGCATTTGTGCTGTGTTATATTCCTCGTTCTCGAACTTTAGAATAGCCACCCTGGATGGAAGGACTTGCAGAACTTGAAGAATGCCTAGTAAGGTCAATGGTATCGTTTCCATATGCAGATGTCAATAAGTACATGAATAGAACTTGTGGAATCAGTTGAACACGCTTGCATGCTCGTATATACATTATACAAAGTCCTCAATCCATGGGACCAAACATATCACATCAGACTAGTTCGACCCCCAATCTCGTTGGCTGCCTCGCCATTAGGCATCTCACCATTGCGACCAGCGATAAACTCTCGGTAGATACCCTGGAGACGTCTGCGCTCTGGCGCACTGAGAGACGAGCGAGTGGTATTCAAGGAGCGCTCGACATGCTCCCAGCGGACAATGATGTCCTCACGCAGCTCATCTTCGGCTGGTTCAGTGCCATTGGCCACCGGGCCAGCGACATTAGAACCCGTAGATCCTTGCTCGAGCTGGCGCTGGCGGCGTCGGGAGTTCTTGATTGCTTCCAGTTTTGCCGAGATTACTGCCGGAGGTGGCATGGAGACTGATCCAGATGCTTCCTCGGATGAAGAATACAGGAATTGGATGAAAGATTTGGAGGAGGTGTTGGCGGAGCTCTTGTTAGTCGTGGATTTGGCGCCAGCCTTGGCTGTATCAGCAGTACGATCACCCAAAGCATCGTGGACTGCTTCCAGATGCGCGTTATAGACGACAGCCTGTAAGTCTGCACCAGAGAATCCTTCAGTCTGGGCAGCAATTTCATCTAGTCGCGAGGCCACCTCGTCACTCATCTTCAGCTTGTCGCTAACCGAGCGAATGATATCAGCACGATCTTCATGGTTTGGCATGTCACAAAGAAGTGACTTGTCCAGACGACCGGGGCGCAGAAGGGCAGGGTCGATCAAATCAGGACGCGAGGTTGCTGCCAACACATAGACACCTGACAGGCCTTCTGCACCGTCCATTTGTGTCAACAGTTGATTGACGACACGGTCCGTGACACCTGTAGAGTCATGACCACGCTTAGGTGCAATACTGTCAAACTCATCGAAGAAGAGAACACAAGGTCGGGCAGCTTGGGCTCTTTCAAACAGATCGCGAACACTTTTCTCACTGGCTCCAATGTACTTGTTCAAAATCTCAGGACCCTTAACACTGATGAAGTTCAAACCACACTCGCCAGCAACTGCACTAGCAAGCATAGTCTTACCACAACCAGGGAATCCATAGAGAAGCAAACCAGACCGCAGCCGCAACGGACACTGTGCGAAGATCGGGGCATATTTAGTAGGATACTGCAAGGTTTCGAGAAGCATCTTGCGAGTCTCAAAGAGACCACCGACAGAGGAGAAGGTGGTGGTAGAGGATGTTAAGGTCACATTGCGAAGGGATGCCGGAGTAAAGTCCTTCAAGGCGCTTTCGAAGTCCTCTAGCCCGAGAGTGATCATCTTTGATGTCGAATTCAAGTCCGATACAGAACGGATAAGGGCTTCGTTGCGCGCACGAGCAACAAGCAAAACGAGATCTCCGGGCATGTACCCGTCAGTTTTACCGGCCAGCTCCAAATACTCCACGTCTCTTCCGATGACAAAGCCATCGCCTCCAGAAGAGCTAGGGCGGCTCCCAGGGTTCGAGGGATCTAGCCAAGAATCCTGCGTCGAAGTACTTTCCGCCCTGGCATGTCCATTGAGACCCTCGATGGGTTTATCTTGACTCGTAAGCTTTTCCAAAACTTTGCGGCGCCCTTCCTTATCGGGTGCTCTTATGCTAATGATCTCCCGAACAACATGACCACCAATGATAACGTTATTGAGAGACTCCTTGGCCTGAGCAGTGGCCAGCAACACCACAGATGAGTTCAAGGCGCAGAATTCTCTTACCATGGAGCAGATGACCTCACTGTTTTGCCGACTGCGGCCATTGTCACCACCCACTTGCAGCTCGGTCTCCATTGGACAAAGTTTGTCTAGATCGTCAAGGATCACGACCGATTGGCCACCAAGGCGCGCGCACCACGCCGCGGACATGAACAGCCGATTCAAAGTTTCTTTGATATTGGAGATTCGAGTCTCATCTGTGACAAGCTTGCGGCAAGAGAAATACTTCACATTTGAGAGATGATCCCGCCTCATGCGATGGGCCAAGAGCTGGGAAAGAGCTGTCTTTCCAGCACCAAGACCACCGGTGAGCAAAATCGATGAAGACTTCGTAAGATTGTTCAATGATTGCTCAATAATAGAATCAATCCCTACCAGCTGAGGGGTAACCTCTGGAAGAGGGTCTTCCAAGGGCAATACAGACAAACTTGTGTCTAATGGTTTGGTTACTTCGGCCTGGACCTCGAGGTTCAACTTGGCTTCTGAGCCTAGCAGCCAACCAAACATAGACTTTGTTTCTTCGGGTGCCCCTTTCAGCGGGGGATCAAATCTGATAATAGCGCCATCGAATGAAGAGACTGAGGGATGGTATTCCGCTTTCGGTAAAACCATACCATCAGTCAAAGGCCCGGAGAACAATCCGACGTCAGAACCTGTGCTGCCGTAGATGACCTTCAGACGCTCTGCCAAGGCATCCCGAGATGCAGCAGTATCAGAGCCGAATTTCAGCCCATCTTTCTTTTTCGAAGCATCCCCGATGAAGGGATAGACCTTAAGGGTTTTAACCGCCGATCGATGCAGCTGTGGGGGTGCTGCCTCAATTCGAACGATTCCACCCACCATGTTTTCCGCGCCAAGGGCCGTGCACAATAAGGTGGACATCGCCGCATGCCGGTTGTCCGGGGCTTCTTCCCAAGGAAGTAATTTTGCAACAAGTTTGGAAGAAGGAGAACCAGCATCACTGGCCTTTTGCTGTTCAGCTTGGGCAAGTTGCTGTTGGGGATCTGGTGGGGGTTTGAGACCAGATGGCTGAACAACTGAGACACATGCCCAGGTTGCTCCGCGGAGTTCATGGCTTGCCAGCAGGTCGGGATCGACCCACACGCGAAAGCCTTCGTTTGCATCATCCTCTATTTCTGCATCAAAGTGCGGAGTGGTCGCTGAGCGGTCAACACCTCTCAGGTACAGAGAACCTCGGGTACTGGAGTCCGATCTGCCACTCTTCGCACGGACTGTGCTTGAGCCGCTTCTTCCTCCGGCACTCTTCCGGCTATTTCCAGAGGCACTCCGAGTGTCACCGCGCGAGGTCTTGTTTGTCTTGGATCGCACTTTCGGGGCCACTATAACCTCTGCGTCCGGAGCAATCTTGGCAAATGGAGACGTCTCCGAGGGTGCGGGTGTGAGAGAAGTGACTACAATATTGGCGGTGGACGTGGGAGAAAGATGCAATGCGAGTGGATGCATATGATCAGTTTGTGCTGCAGTATATGTGGGGTTGGGAAAAGCGCGAATTTGTGACAGCAGATTGAGTTCCAAGAATGTGGCGTGTAGTTCGATGACTATGATCGGTTTGGTTAGCACGATTTGGAACGAGGGAAATGCCCTTCCACCTACTCTCCCAGTCTTCTGGTGTCAACGGCTCAATGTTGATCGTGTGCGCAACGGGTGGGTCGAGATGAATGAACAGTCCGACCTGCAACTGTTAGCATTCCACATGGAAAATGGCATCCGGGGAGAGTGTATACCTTTTGGCCGTCTGCGAGACCCAGAAGCCGCCCAAAAGTAGTGTCAAGCTCGACAGTAGATACTTCTTGTTCTCTGGATGCGCCACTGTTGATCCCGTCCCTTCCAACGACCGGCGCAAGCCTGCGCTTGCTCGGCATACCCGTCCACCCGAGGAAGCATGACTGCTGCGGAGGAGCTCCATTGACCTTTGCAGAAGTTGATTTGTACTGTAACTCAATGATAACATTTTGAGCAGGCTGACACAAGAAAGAATTGTCAGCCGAATAAACACGCATTGGCTCGTCAGAGCATGTATACTGACCGTATTGGCATTGACCAGCAAAGAAACCAGCGATGGCGGCAGGTTGACGAGACAATTCTTGAGGGGCACGAGGGCCACTTCAGCCGTCGCAGCAGGCTTCTTCGGTGCCATATTTGAGCACTGGGTTGTGATGAACTCCGGAGGTATGAGGAGAGGGGAACGTGAACTCGGAGAGTCACGACCCCGGACTCCACAGTACCTGCCTCGGCCCGATGACGAAGCACGTGACTTTATATCTTGATAGCGGAACAACATATGCTCCGAATTCCCCGGCGCCTTTCCTAAATAGGCTAGTGACATTCCCAGCGCGTTTTGCGACGCGTCCGCGTTCTGCCAGCAATTTTGGTAGGGAGCTGCGGTTAGCAAACTGGACCCTCTCTTTCTCCCTTCCGATCCCACTCTCTTGTTTTGCGCCGCTTTCAATTGAGCGCTCTTTTCAACCCACCATGTCCCTCCTTCAATACCCCCCACCGGTGGATTATGCCTCCCAGACTACTGGCTTCAAGGAATTCTTGAAGGGCTTCAAGTCCTTCCAGTCGAACTCGGAAGCCGCAGCGACTGAGGCTTTGCAGGATTTGAACATCGACGAAGGTCGGACTAGCGATGAATATGATTTCATGGATGATGCCGATGAGATGGATGGGGCCACAAGTCGACCAACTAAGCGTCAGAACCCCAAGTTCAAGTACATGCAGATTCTGCAAGATGTCGCAAATCGCGATACCTCGCATATTCAAATCGACTTGGACGACCTGGAAACTGTAAGTACTGAGCACACAGCCAACTACAGAATAGCAGCTCACCCTTTATCTAGTTTGAAAAGTCTATGCCTGAGGGCGAAGACCTCAAGCTTGTCGAATCCATTGAAAAAAATGCACACCACTATGTCGACATTATCTCCTCAGTTGTTGACGAACTCATGCCCCAGTCAACAAAAGATGTCACGTAAGTCACACTAGTCGTCTGTCGAGACGCATTTAGACTAAACCTGCTGTAGGTACAAGGATGATGTGCTCGATATAATTATGTCTCAGCGCGAGAGACGCAATGAAGCAACCGAAGCTGCTCTGGAGGCTGACATGGACTCCGACCCTGCGTCCCTTCCTACCTTCCCCGCCGAGCTTACTCGTCGGTATACTCTTAACTTCAAGCCTGTCACGCCCTCAGGGTCCAGCAGCGATCGCGGTTCTAAAGCGCTCGCCGTTCGAAATGTTCGCGGTGAGCACCTGGGTCACTTGATCACTGTCCGCGGTATCACCACTCGTGTCTCCGATGTCAAGCCCGCCATTCAGATCAATGCCTATACTTGTGATCGCTGCGGATGTGAGGTTTTCCAACCCGTCACCACCAAGCAATACCTTCCCTTGTCAGAGTGTCCTGCAGATGAGTGTAAGAACAACAACTCCAAGGGCCAGCTCTTCTTGTCGACTCGTGCCTCCAAGTTCACTCCTTTCCAGGAGGTAAAGATCCAGGAAATGGCCGACCAGGTCCCTGTGGGCCACATCCCCCGCACCCTTACCATTAACTGCCACGGTGCTCTCACCCGTCAGCTGAACCCTGGTGACGTGGTCGACATCGGTGGTGTCTTCCTGCCTACCCCCTACACCGGTTTCCGCGCTATTCGTGCAGGCCTTCTTACCGATACATTCCTCGAGGCTCACCACATCACCCAACATAAGAAATCCTATAATGACATGGGCATGGATCACATTACGCTGCGCAAGATTGAGCAGCACCAGCGCTCTGGTAACATGTATGAGTACCTGTCACGATCGATCGCTCCCGAGATTTACGGCCACCTCGATGTCAAGAAAGCCTTGCTTTTGCTTTTGATCGGTGGTGTCACGAAAGAGATGGGTGACGGTATGCACATTCGTGGTGATATCAACATCTGCCTGATGGGTGACCCTGGTGTGGCCAAGTCTCAGCTTCTCCGATACATTACAAAGGTTGCTCCTCGTGGTGTTTACACCACTGGACGAGGAAGCAGTGGTGTCGGTCTTACGGCCGCTGTTATGAGAGACCCAGTTACCGACGAAATGGTACTGGAGGGAGGTGCTCTGGTGTTGGCTGACAACGGTATTTGCTGCATTGATGAGTTCGACAAGATGGAAGACGCAGACCGCACCGCTATTCACGAAGTGATGGAACAACAGACCATCTCTATCTCCAAGGCCGGAATCACGACCACCCTTAATGCGCGTACTTCCATCTTGGCCGCGGCTAACCCGCTATATGGTCGTTACAACCCCCGTGTGTCACCAGTGGAGAACATCAACTTGCCCGCCGCCTTGCTCTCCCGTTTTGATGTCATGTTCCTGCTTTTGGATACTCCTTCCCGCGAAGGCGATGAGGAACTTGCCAACCACGTCACCTATGTTCACATGCACAACAAGCACCCAGAAAGCGAAGACGCAGGCGTCATGTTCACCCCCCACGAGGTCCGTCAGTATATCGCCAAGGCACGAACCTTCCGTCCCATCGTCCCCAGCAGCGTCTCTGACTACATGGTTGGTGCCTACGTGGCTATGCGTAAGAGACAAAAGGTGGACGAGTCCAAGAAGCGCCAGTTCTCCCACGTCACTCCCCGTACTCTTCTCGGCATCGTCCGTCTGTCCCAGGCCCTGGCTCGTCTTCGCTTCAGTGATCAGGTCGTTCGTGAGGATGTTGACGAGGCTCTGCGTCTCATCGAAGTCAGCAAGGCTTCTCTGTACAATGACGGCGAGCATGGCGCAGACAACACCCCCTCAAGCAAGATCTACAACTTGATCCGCAGCATGAAGGAAAGTGGTGCCGCTGCCATCGGAGATGGCGAGGAAGGAGAGATGAGTATGAGACGTATCCGCGAGCGCGTCCTGGCTCGAGGCTTCACTGAGGACAACCTCACTATGACCATCGATGAATATGCCGAGATGAACGTAAGTCTTGATCACCCCGTTCCTCCAGTTTGTGCTTTTACTGACATCTTCAACCACAGCTCTGGCAAGTCACTGGCAATGGAACCCGTCTGCTCTTCACTGAGGTTGACGGCGATATGGATATGTAATGTGGCAAGGGTCTTTGTTTCTCTTGATTTTCTTCTCGAATTTCGACTGGGCTTTTGCGTGTTGAAGATGCATGTGCAACAAACAAGTTGGAATTAAGGCGACTGGTGTTACGGTGTATTCCTGGCAATATGGGGCCGGTTACGATTTCGCATGGTCAATCCAAAGATGTTTCCAATTTACTTTCTTCTTAATATCTCCCTTACATCCTCTATCGTTCCTGAGTAAGGTAATCTTGATTCATGAGTGGGCCTGGTGCTACCTAAGTACATGTGCAGCCCCGAATTATACTATAGATCCATTCGATATCAACACACCTGACCTCAGACATATAGCCCTCCCCCGTCCAACACACCACACCACTCACTCTTCACAGCTGTCTTTCCGCCCCCCCCCCCCCCCCCACCTCCGAGTCACAAAGTTCCAATTTCTGATGACCGCCTTATGCCGGGCACTGGTTGTAGAGCGGGACCTCATTACAAAGTGCCGAAGGTGCAGCCATAGGGTTGGCGCACGGGGTGTTGCAGGGTGTGTTCTCAGGGACGAAAACAAGGAATTGATAGTTCGGCATCGGCAGGCGGAACTGCTTGTTCACATCGTTGTTGTTCGACGATGCCTTGAAACCAGCACGGCAGGCACAATGGAAGGATGTTCCTGTGTTTATACACGAGGTGGAAACATCACAACGATTCTGGCCGGAGGTTGGATTGCAGGTCCCACATGGTGGCTCGGCAGCCACTAGAGTAGTAGTGGCCACAAGCACAGTAAGGATGGAGAAGTGCATATTGAAATGATGGAGGTTGGAATTGAGTATAGATTTGAAACTAGATCCTGAGGCTTGCTTTGATGGATTGGTCTGCGATGGCGTTATTTCCTGGGGATCTGACTATCTTATATGTTCTTCTGCGAGGCTCTGAGATCTCGCATTGTCTTTTTGGCTTCTCGTATCCGCCATGTTTCCCCCGAGGCCCATCAGGCTCTCATCACGCGGTCATCTTCAACCTGGGCTTCCTTGTACAGTATATCCCGAACGGTGGGTCTTGAGTCGTCCTATGGATGTAATAATACATGTTCAATTGGATCCGGGGCATCTATCGCTCGGTAGGGCGGGGGAATCAAAGCCATAGTGAGCTGGGAATACGAGATCTAAAAAATCCCTCGAGACACCACCAATACCAAAGCTCAAGATATTTCTTATGACTTCTGTGGCACCCAGCCAAAGTCTGTCACAGAATTGGTGGTGAATAGGTCTACTCCATCTCGGAAGGCTTGAAACAAAATGGATGTCTCAAACTATACTTGGCCCTAGCCGCATCCAATTCTAGATACCGTATATCACGCAGGTCTATGTTTAGATGTGTGAACAGAATACGGGAATGAGTGTGACCTGTATTCGTCAGTATCTCACACCGCTTGAAGCCTTGTTATGCTCTGGCTATCTCTCCCACTTGGAGGCTGTCGTCTTTGTGTGATTTGCTATTCAAGATACAGGGCTTTGGAACATAGCGAAAGGCAAATAAGAACAAGCGAGATTGATAGAATTGGAGATTGATTGCCTGCATCAGGTAGTAATGGGTCACTTCCTATGTTGACTCACAGTAGTTATGGGTTTGTTCCAAAGCTATCAAGGGTAGTGGTCTGGAGTGTCTATTGCCTAGCCCTCTAACGTTCCACCACGCCGTGGTAGTCTGCTAATAATCTGAAAATCTTTGGTGGTCTACTTGCCGGTCAGACCCTCTTACAAATATAATATCATTGTTTCATCATCTTCCAACCTGGTTTGAGCATATAGATTGCCTTGTAATACTTAAGCCCAAAGTAAGTTTCAATGTCAAGATATCAGGCTTGGCCTTGCAAGCAACTCGGTTTTCAAACATCAGAGGGGGTAATACTGTAAAAAACTTTGGGTGATCTAATTGCTCTATGTTTGCCTCTTCGTACTCTGTGATGCCATGGAACGCCTTGTACAAAGTAAGCGGGGCTGAGGTCATAAAATCGGATTGGCATTTGGCAAAGATGTAGCTGCAGGGGTCGAGAACCTTTCTATGCTATTCAAAGATGATCTTTGAATCTCCCAGCTATTCATGGGGTTGAATCACAATGCTGCCATGGTAAAAAGCCTGGAAATTGGCCCGGTTCTCGATGGAAGTTCACGCTTGAGGCATCATTTCATGTTCCAATCCATTCAGTGACAAGACTAGTCTTTGCGTGAGTCTGACAAGCCCAGGTGGTAGCTTAGAGAAGTGTCTTAGGTTCGTCTGGTTCTCCAATAAGTCGCAAAAAGGCACCATGTACCTCATCGGTCAAATCGCTCGCTTGCATGCTCCGTCCCTTAGCTTCAAAGGCCCGCCTGGAGCACTCTCGGGTGATTCCACTTCCTGCCCAAGCAGCCAGCAGTAGACTTGTCGCTGGAGACATACGCCTATTTTCGGAAGTGAGCTCTGCCTGTACCTCCTCCTGGCTCTCTGCCTCCTTCCCATTGTCCTTCTCATCCGAATCCCATAACTTGTCGTGATAGGCCGCTCGCCACGCAAGGAAGGTTCCCAGCGAGCCCGTCAAGGTGTCTCCCTGGCCCCCACTGCGTTTCAAGCCTCCCTTGACGTCAGAAATTATACTGGTAACCCCATTGGAGATCACATCGTGAGGACCCTTTTGGACTATAGTCACGCCACCCAGGGCCTGAGAAAGTTCCTCGCAGGCTGCTGATTCCCTGTCGGCGGTATTCTTGCCCCCGTCTTTTGCGATTTCAGCAGGACTAGATACTTTGACACCCAGGGCTTTTGCTAGCCGGCCGAACTCGACCACGTTAGGCGTGAGGATACAGTTTTTATATCCTTTGACCAAATCCGGGTCTTCCGTCACAATCAGGAGTCCATCTGCGTCCAGCACGAACGGGAGGGACTGCGACCGCGCCTCTCTGATCACTTCTGTAACCACTTGGAGCGTGACACTGTCGCGACCAAGCCCTGGTCCAATGACAAGGGCATGGAGACGAGATAGCATGCCGATTATGGGCTTTGCTAGTGATGGCGCATCAGTTGAATTGAAATCTTGAACGGTCGCGCTGCTTGGCAGCAATGGATGCACCATGAGATTGGGAGAGTAGCCCTTGATGACCTGTACACGTGCTATAATTAGCCTGGGATTATCCAGGTCGAGAGTAAATTTACCGGTGCCGCGGATCGCTCACAAACAACATGGCTCTGGTCATGGTCAGTCACTTCTGATGGGGTCCAATATCTTCTCAACATACCATATCACATCCTAAGAATTGAAAGTTAACGTCAAATTCACACTAGCCCCGGAAGAAGTGGGAGCACACACCGAGTCTCGCGGAAGCCATTGCAGAAAAGTATGGGGCTCCAGTATAGCTTGGGCGCGTTAGTTAGACAGCATATAATTTCCAGTAAGGCCCCTACTCAGCACAGCCTCCGATCACAGCTACCCGACCAAGCTGGCCTGTTCATGCAGTTAGCTCCATCTAACGTGGCCGAGGGTGATCATCCGAATAGCTCACGGATCAACGAACCTTTGTGGAACTTTTCGAGCATTGGTGGTACGATTTTGCGCACCTTGCTGAACAGCATTTTCGATGATGCCGATACATGGTGGACAGACTCCATACTGGAAGTGTGCGATATTAAAGGTGAGAATGAGTAGAGGAGGAACCCCCAGGATGGGAAGTTATGATAGTGAGGCCAAGTGATGTCACCGCCAAGTGGGGTGTCGAGAACTTGATACTTCGATGATTTCTTATGACTTCAATACAAAAAGCCCCAATGGCGGAAAGGTTGAGTACAGAAAAGCAAGTTGGTATTGGTTTGACGCCCGCTATGGTTCTCCAAAACAAAAACAAGGGCACACCGTCTATGGAAACCCCAAACGCTCATAATGCGGAGGTTGGAAATATATCAAAAAAAAAAAAAAAAAAAAAAGCAAAAGCCCAACCGAGACAAAGGAGATCAAGAGGGAAATGACCGTGGTAAGTAAACCAAATGCAAAATGCCCAAAAAAATCCAAGCTCATGGGCTCAACGCTCTTCAGCGTTTTCGAGAAGCAAGAGCGGCCAATTTACGCTGGCGCTCGAGTTTCTCTTTCTTAGCAGCCATTTCTTGCCGGAGCTCTTCTTCGTCTTCACGCTTCGCGTATTTCAACGCAGCCGCTTCTTCGCGGTCCACATCGTCCATTCCAGCTTCCATATCGGAGGATGCATCTGAGTAGTAATCATCGTAGCCACCGTAGCCACCGTAGTCACCCTCGTCCTCCTCGTCAGTACCGAGGTATTCATTCTGCCGGGAGTTTCGAGATTGATGTCGGCGGTCGTGCGAGCCACGGTTGGAGGGCAAGCCCGCGGTGCCGCGGTATGAAGGAGGCTCAGGAGTTTGCGTTGGCTTGGCGGTGCCCTTGTATGAGGGTCCCTCTGTGTCGCGTTTTCGACCAATTTTGTCTTTGGCAGAGCCCCCAGAGCCAGGAGCAGGCTTTTTGCCTGAACGTGCTTCTTTTTCTTTGGCCAGTTCCTCCTCCTGTCGTCGTTTGCGCTCAACTTTGCTGAGTCGCTCTTTGGGACCGGCCTGATGCTTGAACATACCAACCTGGACAGGCGCTTTATCCTGGGCAGCCTTGGCCTGCGCCATGATAGCCGCAAATGATCCTTTGGGTGGCGGTTTCGATGGCACGGGGGCAGCAGCCGGGGCTGGCTTGGCGGCCACTTTAGAGGGCGGGGCTGCCTTTGTCGCACTAGATGCGTTGCTCTTAGATGGAGGTTTCGACAAAGCTGGCTTCGATGGCACTGGTCGAGAGTTGGTATTTGAAACGGGCCGGGGCACAGCTCTGGGAGCGGGGGAAACAGTTGGCTTCACGGGGGCGAGGGACTTCGCGACGACAGGTCGAGTTGGCATCTTGGTCTCGGGTTTGGATGGGTGGGGTAGCGGGTCCTCGGCCTTTCTCTTTGTTCCTCCAACATTTCCGCTGGTCGGGGGTACTTGGCGTACAACTGGCGGCTTTCGTTCCTCCTTCTTGGGCACCGCTGCAGGGACAGGCGAGGCAGGTGCCTGGGACAATGGAGGTTGAGAGGGTTTACCCGTCTGGATAGACGAGAGGATAGAGTCAAGGAACTGTGCCCAACGTTAGCTGGAAAACCAACCTGAAAGATCCGAAAGATAACCATACACTCATTTTATTGATGTGAGGGAAATGACCCGATGGGTATAGTTTCGAGGAGTGGTACAGAGAAGAAGTCACGCTCACCGTCGATATTTGGTACGACTAAGTAACTTCATGACTCCGAGCCTGATACCTAGAGTATGTCTCTGGGCTTAGCTCGTGCTGGAGTCTCCGTTATCTTTGGGATAACAGAACTGAAGAGAGCGCACTCCCGCCTTGACCCAGAGCTTAGTATGCTGAGGTGTTCTTTCACGGGAGAAAGAAGGTGGACAGAGTTGAGAAATAGCCAGATAGGCCAGCACCTCATTTATCAGAGCTGGACCCATGGCAAAAGCTACCACGTGACTTCAACATGCGCCACAGCAACTCGCTTAGAGGGTCCCGCCAACACTAGCCACACCCACATCTTTTTTCGCCTTTTTCTTAGATTTTGGCGCTTCGGTTAATCCTTCGTCAACCAACCCTCTTCCACCAGAACTCGACGTTGCAGTCTCCGCCCAACTTGCGGTTAAATCGATTGTTTCTCTTGTTCAGATTTTAATCACCAACGGTATGTTCCTCACTCTGTGTTTCTTAGTCGACTTTGGCGCTCCTGAAAGTGCCGTCGCATTCGATCTTGAAATTCACGAGCGATACTGACAAAATTTTCGATCAGTCAATTCACAATGAAGTACCTCGCTGCCTACCTCCTCCTCGCCCTTGCCGGCAACGAGGCTCCCTCCTCCGCCGACATCAAGGCTGTTCTCTCCTCCGTCGGCATCGACGCTGAGGGTGACCGTCTCGAGAAGGTCATCTCCGAGCTCCAGGGCAAGGACCTCCAGGAGGTTAGTGATACCCACAAGATTTTCACCACCTGAACAATACACTAATTTTCCATCACAGCTGATCGCTGAGGGTTCCACCAAGCTCGCCTCCGTTCCCTCCGGTGGTTCCGCCGCCGCCGCTGCCCCCGCCGCTGCCGGTGGTGCTGCCGCCCCCGCTGAGGAGAAGAAGGAGGAGAAGGAGGAAGAGGAGTCCGATGAGGACATGGGCTTCGGTCTCTTCGACTAAGCGCCTTCCTCTTCAAGGTCTCAAAAATTACGGTTCTGGGGAACAGATGTTTGGTTGGGTCGTCAATCCTGCAAATTTTTGCGCCGGTTTGCTTCCGAAATGTTTACGGTTGAGACTGTTTTAGTACAGTTGCGACTTGTCATGCGAGCTGAAATAAGCTCCTAGCCAATACATTCCATCTGGCTTCCATTACTTCTCTTCAAATGCGTCCAACGTAACCCGTAGCTCATGAGTAATACCCTCTAACAGTTGTGTCTATTCAGCCGCCAAAGGATCTCATGTAGCCCAATTCACCTGCACTTTCGACATGATCGGCCACATTTGTATCAACCCAACCCAGGGTGCTAGTAGACAGTGATGGTCATCACCTCAGTATGTACTCCGTATATCAGAACTACATCACAAAGACTTCACATCGAGTAGGAAACTGTAAAATGAATACTCTGTATCACGTCATATGCCGCTGCTCTCCTTCAACCTTCACTTCGTATCGAGACTTCTTAGCCTCTAATAGATTCTGGATAGATGATCATATTTGCAATGTCTACTCGTACCCATATCCCAGACTCCACTAGGTATCGTCACTCAGTAGCAATTACCAAATGTCTGCCTCAGGCTCCATAGTCAGACAGTTGAAGCCCAGGCCGCGAACCATGGGACCCGCTCGGGCGATATTTAATGGTGACTAACTAGGACTAGCGTAAAATATCCACACGTGACGTGGAATTATGTCACGTGTAAAGAGGTCAGGGCTGGTCGGATCACGTGAAGGGTTTCGCTTAGAAGCCACTGTGCGGGCGGCCCCAAACTCAGCGAGCCAGCAGCCGACCGCTTGACGACACGACAATTTCCGACAACCCATCTTCCTTCGCTTTTCGAACGTCGAGAAGCGAGCTTACAGGAACTTCTGCAAAAATGGCTGACATCGAATACGTGAGTCTTTTTTCCTTCGTCCCACGAGCGTTCGCGACATGCTAACATGGCTTTTTATCTAGAACGCCGAGGAGGCTGCCGGTACGTTATGAACCACCTCAACACCCCATCGCCCATTATCAAAAGGATACCGCCAAGGAGAGAGAAAGGATCTGTTTGTCGACTACTCGATAAACACAGGATCATATACGCTGGCGGGGCAAAACATGGGATAGATGGGATACGACATCGAGATCGCAAACGCTGACTGAGTCCTCGACCAACAGAGATCAAGAAGAGAAGAACATTCCGCAAGTTCTCTTACCGCGGCATTGACCTCGACCAGTACGTTACCACCATCAATCACCAACCCTCTCGGAACCCAACCGCAGCCGGCACCTCGTGAGACATGAAACCAGGATCTTCTTTCGCACTTCCACAAACGTGGTAATCGCCAATCATGGCCCGGCTTCTTGTCTACCTGGTATCGCGCTGCGAATGGAAAATCTGTACTCCGTTTTGTTTCGTGAAGGACACAGTCTGACAGCAAACCTTACAGGCTCCTCGACCTCTCCTCCGAGCAGCTCCGTGATGTCGTCCACGCCCGTGCCCGCAGACGTTTCAACCGCGGTCTGAAGCGCAAGCCCATGGGTCTCATCAAGAAGCTCCGCAAGGCCAAGCAGGAGGCCAAGCCCAACGAGAAGCCCGATCTCGTCAAGACTCACCTCCGTGACATGATCGTCGTCCCCGAGATGATCGGCTCCGTCGTCGGTATCTACTCCGGTAAGGAGTTCAACCAGGTCGAGATCAAGCCTGAGATGGTTGGCCACTACCTGGCTGAGTTCTCTATCTCCTAGTATGTGTTCCCTTAGTCTCTTTTCTTTTTTGGACATATTTCTAACAACCTCCCAGCAAGCCCGTCAAGCACGGTCGTCCCGGTATCGGTGCCACCCACTCTTCCCGTTTCATTCCCCTCAAGTAAACGATTTCAAACGATTCCCCTTGGAGTGGCGTGTGGAGGAAATGGTGCTGGGAAAGCAAAAAATGGAATTCAGCAATATTCGCAACTGGGCTCTTTTTTTCAGCATGTATTTCCAGTTCGGGTCAGCTGTGTCCTGCTCAATTTAAGATCTTGTCGGCATGAAATCATTTAGGGATCTGGATTCGGCTCGTCAAAATCGGCGAGGTAAAAAAAATGCTCTTGTCCAGTCTCGTTTTGGTAATGGGCAAGGCGTTTAAATCTAACGACACTACAAACTTCATCGACGTGCATATCTTGTAATTTGTATGACTTCTCAGCCACTCTACCACTGGGCAAGAGAAACTTCAGGAGATTTTTTCCATCTTCACCTTTGGCATTGACTCAAGTATTGCTTTGGAATAGCTGTAAACGCGTTCCCAATACTTAAGTAGTAACCTTCTAATTGTACCGCACGCTCCTCTTGAAGTCTGACGGAGGATTTGCATTTGGGCATGCACCTGGGCATGTACTACAACAGTAATGCAGCCGGGACCGTTGGATGTACTCGTACTCCGTGCCCCACAGTCGACTGTGATCAGCGCTCATACTCCAAAGGTGCGATCATTTCCCGTCAGCGGCATCCAATCAAAACCATATCCTTTTGCTTACTCTCATGTTCTTCGGTGTGTAAATTCCTAGATTTGGTGTGTCATACAGAATGGATTTGGAATAGAGATCGATTTTGCCCAGGTGAACGGCCAGGGGCTCTCTTGCGCGTATATATAATTGACACATCACTTCAGGGTTCCTGGCAGATCAAGCCCAGGCGCTGCTTTGGGGATCAGGATGAGTCCAAGACCAAAAGCAACATCGAACGACACTGGAACTTTAGAATGCACCTGGGCGCTTCACATCACTCAGTACGGACCAAATCTATATAGGTTCATAGAAACCAACTCGTACTTCGTATCTGTGTGGAGTTAGGCCAACTTGGATTACATCATCGCCGAGGTGCCAGAAAATCGCCGAGATGGCCGAATCTGAACAGTGCACTTAAGACTCAAGAGGACAAGACGGAGTGCGGAGTGCGGAGTACAGAGTACAGAGACAAGTAAACTAAAGCAATGCCTAGATTATATAGATAGTCAATGCGTCTACTAAGTAAGACCACATAAATCCTTATCTTACAAACAAAGAGACGCCTGGGCAAAGGTCCGGGTGCGGAGTAGACGGAGTACGGAGTGAACGGGTATTGGAGTTCTGACCGATCCAACTGATGAACCGAGGCAATCCGCAATTGGACACTGCGGAGAAAAAGGAGGATCCTTTGGAACTCTCTTAAGTATCCTGCAGTTTCCTTTTTTTCTCTCTTTCCAAGTCCCGGCCCAGCAACCTAAGTACTTCATTTGAGCCTCACATTCCCCGGACCCGCGTGTCTTGCTGTTCCCCGCAATCATGCCCGTTTCCTCCACTTATGCCCCCGTCGACATTCCAGCCGTTGATCTGTGGACATTCCTCTTCGAGCGCAAAGATAGAGCATTCCCAGATGACAAGAGTACGTACTATCCATTGCTACCACCTGAACAATTTTCAATTCGTACTGACACAAAATCAGTCCTCTACCAAGATGCCGACACTCAGCGTTACTACACATACAAATCTCTCCGCGAGGCCTCACTAGACTTTGGTAAAGGCCTGCGCGCGCTTTGGAATTGGCAAAAGGGCGATGTACTCGCCCTGTTCACACCGAACAGCATCGACACCCCCGTTATGATGTGGGGGACTCTGTGGGCGGGAGGTGTAGTCTCACCCGCAAACCCTGGATATACGGTCGACGAGCTTGCCTTCCAGCTCAAGAACTCAGGCGCAAAAGGCCTGGCAACACAGGTCTCAGCATTGTCTGTCGCAAAGCAGGCAGCGAAGAAGGTCGGTATGCCTGAAGATCGCATTATCTTGATTGGTGAACAGCGGGATCCGGATGCACGGATCAAGCATTTCACATCGGTGCGCAATATCTCTGGGGCGACCCGTTATCGGAAGCAAAAGGTGACACCCGAGAAAGATGTTGCCTTTTTGGTTTACTCTTCTGGGACGACTGGTGTGCCCAAGGGTGTCATGTTATCACACCGGAATATCGTGGCCAATATCATGCAGCAGGATATTAGCGATGGGGGTAACCTGAGCTGGGATGGTGGTTTTGACGGAAAGGGCGATCGAGTTCTGGCGTTCTTGCCATTCTATCATATTTATGGTAAGGCTTCATGGAGTGAACCCTGGGCAAGACAATGCTGACGAGAAGTTGTATCAGGGTTGACTTGCTTGATTGCCCAAGCCTTGTACCAGGGCTATCACCTGATAGTGATGTCAAAATTCGACATTGAAAAATGGTGCGCACATGTCCAGAACTATCGCTGCACATTCAGTTATATTGTCCCCCCTGTGGTATTGCTACTCGGCAAGCACCCAGTGGTAGACAAGTACGACCTCTCAAGCATGCGCATGATGAACTCTGGTGCTGCACCCCTCACACAAGAATTGGTGGAAGCGGTCTACTCGCGCATCAAAGTTGGAATCAAGCAAGGGTACGGTCTCAGTGAGACCAGCCCGACCACCCACTCGCAGAAATGGGAGGATTGGCGCGAAGCCATCGGTTCGGTTGGTCGCCTGATGCCCAACATGCAAGCCAGGTACATGAGCATGCCGGAAGACGGCTCAGAACCGAAGGAGGTTGCTGCAGGTGAGGTCGGTGAGCTGTACTTGAGCGGCCCTAACGTCTTCCTTGGCTACCACGAAAACCCGGAGGCAACCAAGGGCTGTCTTTCTGAGGATGGCTGGTTCCAGACCGGTGATGTGGGCTTCCAAGATGTCAAGGGCAACTTCTTCATCACCGACCGTGTTAAAGAGCTCATCAAGTACAAGGGCTTCCAGGTTCCTCCTGCCGAACTGGAGGGACTTCTGGTAGACAATGCTGCTATCGATGATGTGGCGGTCATTGGCATTGAGAGTGAGGCGCATGGCTCTGAAGTTCCTTTGGCCTGTGTCGTTCGCAGCGCGAAAAGCAAATCTTCGGGCTCAAACGAAAAAGATGAAGCAGAGAAAATCATCAAGTGGCTGGATAGCAAGGTTGCCCATCACAAGCGCCTGCGTGGTGGTGTACAGTTCGTGGATGAGATCCCCAAGAACCCCAGTGGGAAGATTCTGCGTCGTCTGCTCAAGCAGAAGTTCAAGGACATAGGCAAGGCACCAAAGGCCAAGCTGTAAATGATTTCCTTTTTGTCAAGATACTTTTGGATATAGAATCATAAGATTTCCACAGACTCAATCGTGATCGTATTTTCATAGAAACGTTGTGTTTGAACAGGAAAAAGTACCCGAAACAGGTCAATTCAATGTGAGAACCTTTCCCAAAATGTACAAAGCTCAATCTTTTAATGGAAGCCATCAAGGAAAGAACCTTTTGACCATGCCATCGACATCCTCTCCCTGCACAGCATCAACCTTCTCCCGGGCAACCCGCTCGACAGCCTCCTCAACCTCCTCGTCTCCATTGACAAGATCAATCCATCCCTCCGTATCAGCCCGGACAAGCAACTGATCCGCAACAATAGCAACGTCTTCGCGGGTGACGCTTCCACGACCCTTAGGCGTCATACCCAACTCCACCTTCCGCGTCGCAGGGTCATCCTTCAGAATTCCCGGCCGCAGATTGATAGCCTGGAATGGGCGGGGATCATGCTTCCGCTGCGCTGCCAATGCGGTCATGTATTCATCTGCCTCCATTTTGGCCTTGGCATATGTGGGTAGGATTTCAGTGTTAGTCTTAACTACACCTGCCCACTCGCTGTCTGGCATCCAGGTGGGCTGCGTCCGGCGACTGCCAAGGTAGGAGACCATGAGGAATTTACTGATTCCAGGAGAGGCGAAAGAGGCCGTTAGGAAGTGCTTGGCGGCCTCTTGATCGACGGCAATGGTCCTTGATGGTCCGCCTTTACCACCGGCGCCTATTCAGAATTGTTAGCCTAATATCCTTCAATATAGAAAATAAGCGTGGATGTTTTTTTTTGTTAAAGTGGGGGTGATCCATACCAGCCGACCAGACCACATAGTCAGGAGAAACCGTATCAATGATCCGCTGAGCATCAGAGACACTTTTCACGTCATCGAGACTCGAGATGAGGACATTGAGTTTGCCCTTGAGGCCCTGGCCTAGAGCGAGAATCTCGCTTTCATGGGCGGGGTTGCGAATCACGCTGGTTACGTTCCAGGCGCGTTTGAGCAGAAGTGGAGTGAGGTGTAGGGCGACTTTGCCGTGGCCTCCGAGTAAAAGAACTTGCATTTTGAAGGTGGTTATTGGTGATGAACAAGCGAGATGCAAGTTGTGAGGGGCATTGGATTTATACTGCTATGCGGGTAGATCATTGCGTCACTTGATTTCTAAGGGAACATCGTAAGTCTCCGAGACTTCAGGACTGCCCAGGTGCGAAATCACCTCCTTGCTGCTCTATCTATTTTTTAAATCATGTTTCTACTCTGAAATACCGTCCAATTGCGATGATCACAAAATATATTATTTGGGACTGACCCTGAACCGGGGGACAAGTCTATATCTATGGATTTTGCTAATATTACAATGTCGAAACCAATCTAGTATGCAGCAAACTTGACAATCTGCAGACCACAGCCTCAGACAAAACCAGCAAACATTTAGCAAGAGGCACCGGAGGGAACGTTCTTGCACTTGCTGCTGGTCTTACCGCCGGAGACCTTGTTGCCGGACCAGGTCCAGTCGGAGCAAGAGCCGGAACCGCAAAGGATGTAGGTGTCAGTACCGCTGCTCTTGACGGTACCAGTGACCTTCTCAACAGTGAGACCAGTGATGGGGACACCAGTGGTGGGCTTGCCGGTAGGGCTGCCGTTCTCGTAGTCCTGCTCGATGACGATACCGTACTTGGCGATGTTGGACAGCTGGATGTTGGAGAAGGTGACGTCGGCGACCTCACCGGTGGCCTTGTAGATGGTCTTGATACGGATACCGTTGTCGGAGTTGGAGACAGTGGAGTCGGAGATGGTCACGTTCTTGACGGTGTTGTCGTCACGTCCACCGACAGAGCCGATGGAGAGACCGTGGCCACCGGAGCAGGTACCACCGGTGAAGATGATGTTCTAAGTTATGTTAGAATGGATAAAAAGAAGGGACACATGGGAGAATAATTTACCTCGCCGGAGTTGATGGCCAGGCAGTCGTCCTGGTTCTTGATGTTGGCGTTGCTGATGGTGATGTAGGTGGACTCGCCGACATCGAAGGCATCGGTGTTGTGGCCACCGTTGGTCTTGTCACCATCGGTGTTGTCAATGGTGATGTGGTCAAGGACCAGGTTGTCGGCCTGGACACTGAAACCCTGGACAGGGGTGTTCTTGACGTTCAGACCAGTGATGGTCGAGTCGTCCAGGGAGTGGGCGTAGAAGAACTTGGGCTTGGTCTTGCCGCCGTTGGTTCCCTTGCCGTCCCACCAGCTGGCACCGCCACCGTTGATGACATGGCCGGAAGCACCGTTCACCTCGATGTTCTTACCGGAGAAGCGGATGAGGGGACCCTTCCACTCCTTGTAACCGAAGGTGGTCTCACCCTTGAAGGTAACCTGGAAAGCTGTGTGAGTGATGTGATCTCATAGAAGTAAATGTTCGAGAATGCATACCTTGGTACCGCTCTTGAGGTTAGAGAGATCAAGAGTCTCACCAGCGGGGACCTTGATGTTGTCCAGGACGATGCTGGAGCAGGACTTCTTGCCGGCCTTGGCAGCAGAAGCAGAGGTGAAGGTACAGGAAGAACCGCGCTCAGCAAGCTCAGCAGCAGGAGCAGGGGCAGGGGCGGCAGAGACGGCAGCGGCGCCGAGGGCCAGCATAGACAGAATGGAGGCACGCATTTTGAAGTAAATGTCCGATCAACAGACAAGTGAAAGAGTGTAGAATTCGGGGCTAGCCCAAGTAAATAATGATAGGAAAGTAAAGAGGGAATGGAATGGTTGGAATAAGCTATGCCACGGTCTTGGGACCCGATATTTAAATGCTTGACTCTTCTCTCTGTCTCTTCACCCCTGCGCTAGTACCGTGATGAAACGGGGAGCTGTCTGCCACCATGTCGACCCCTGGTCTACACCGGGTCCATTGGTGGATGAATCCAGGGTGACGGTCTGCAGGGACCTTCTAGATGCCTCAATTGATTAATTCTCCATGACCCTGCGTCTGTAATTGGCAATCCTCCGAAACATCACTATACTGGTCCCCCCCACTAGAGGGCCGGAGTATTGTCGGCTAAAACACCTACGGGACACCGGGCCTTTTTCATTTCAGCCCTCTGGTATGAGTATGAACCATCGACGATCCAATGGGCGATCGGGATTGGGGGCATTCACACGCTAAAATGGGCACCGTTGGAGACCGAGTGGATCTCATCCGGAAGGCTTGTGTTTCAGGATGTTCGATTTAGGGCTCGGGTCAATATCAGAGCCTGCAGCCCACCGTCTCCACCATCCAGGATAGATTAATTGCAAGCCTTGATGGACGAACAGGGATGCATTCATACACTGTAGCCTGGCGCACACATACCTGTACTCGGAGCACATGGTCGACACTATACAGACTAGAGTCAAGCGTGACTTACCAAAGATAGGGGGGAATGTACGAGTACGAGTAGTCCGTTCAAGCCACCGTCTAGCATGTACTCCATCCTTCCGAGCAGGACCGAAAGTGATATCAAATGGATATTAAGGGGTCCTTTGTGCTTCTCGTATGGGAAAATAATGAAGAGGACTAGTACTTAGTGCTCCCTGTACGAGTAAACACAGAAGTCATCATACGGATGTCCCGGCATATGCACAGTTGCCGGGCTTATCTCCGCGGATTCATAAGGTCGTGGACCCTTGTAGATTCGTGACGAGTGACAATTGTTCTAGACTGAAACCATCTGGTATGGTATGAGCACGGAGTGCCTTGGACTGGTGGCCTCGGGGTATTCCACTCTAGCGTTTCCGTGCCAGGACCATGCTAAGGTGTAGTACTAGGCAGGGTAAATATTCCAATGCCACACAATGCAACAAATGCAAGAGACCTACAAGAAAGTAATAGTTTTTCGTACTCCGTGCTCATAATGTCATGTGTTGAACAGAATTGCCGAGGTCGGGAAGCGGAGAACATACCCCCTTCTCCCCAGACTTCGATGCTTTCACATCAACACTCAACATGCCCGATAATTCGGTGGATCCGACCCTCCCACCACCTGCAGTACGCGATGTTCTTCGCGTGGGTCTCAGCGCTAAAGAGTACCGGATCCTTCACGAGACTCTCTTGAAACGCGCCCCGGCGGTCCAAGCCAAACTCCCATCCCCATCGCGATTCGATGCCATCGTCCGTCCCAAGAATCGACATAGCGAGGCCGCCATCCGCGCATCGCTGCGCGTATTTGTCGGATCAGGAATTGCTTTGAAGTTGGCCGACCTCCTGATCGCTCGTTTCCAAGGCACCACAGAGTACGCCCGCTACGGACCCTTTCATGTGTGCATACTAACATTGGTCTCAACTACAGGAAGAAGACCCGCACCCCACTCCTCCGCTCTCCCAAGTTCCGTCTCTCAATCTCCTTATCGCTCCTTCTATTCATCCACCGACTCCTGTATCGCTTCCTGGTTCGATTGCGAGCAAACCTCCGCACCGATGATGCGCAACCATTCAGAGAGCGCAATCCGCGCATTTCACGCGCGTTGACCTCGCGCTATGCCCCGGCCATTGGCGCCAGTTTGGCGGGCTTTGCTCTAGGCATTGCACCCCAGGATCAGCTGCGACTGACCGCGGCGGTCTACTCTGGCATGCGAAGCTTGGAGTTCTTGTTCAATTTCATTGATTCCAAGGGTTGGTTGGGTAAACGTCCGGAGTGGTTTGGAAGCTGGATGTTGATGCCCGTTGCGTTTGCGCAACTTTTCCATGCCTTTGTGTTTGATCGGGAAACAACACCCTCGGTTTGTGTCCACACTCGGCTCATTGTCGGAGTTCGCTAATCAGTGTTTTGCAGTGGTTTGGGAACGTCATTCTCAGACTCTCACCCAGTTATATCCAAAGCCGACCCGAGGCGCTTCCGGATCATGTTGCTTGGCCCGAGAAACAACAGATTGTGGATTCTCTGGCGTCTATTGCGAGTCTCCGCTGGCCGTGAGTTCATCCAGACTTGACACAAGGTGCATGCTGACAATGTCTTACACAGGGCCTTCGTCTCCCCAATCCTACACCCTAACGACCCTAACATCTTGCCATCTTCTGTGTCGTCCATTTCGCCAATTACTGGCCCGGCACACCCCGCCATAACCAGCCTATCATGCGCTCTTTTGCACCCAAACCTACCAAATTGCAGCACGGCATTCCTGCACCATATTCTCCTCTCTGTGCCGATGCTCGCGCGGTTCATCACCAGCGTCACTCTGGCCCTGTCAATCCCTAAACTCAAGACCATCATGCTTCAGCCCATGTCGTCAATCAATGACATATCCAAGCGCATCATCAAGATGACAGCAGTTCTATCCCTCGCCATCGGGTCCGCCTGGGGTAGCGTTTGTCTTTTGGACAAGAATCTGCCCCGGTCCACACTGCCCACCAAGCGTTTCTTCATCAGCGGAGCACTAGGCGGCCTGCCATTCATGTTCCTGGGCAACAGTCGCACCACATTCCTCTACTTCTTCCGGTCCGCTATTGTTTCCGCATACAAATCCGGAATCAAGCGGGGCTTGTGGAAGGGACGAAAGGGCGGTGAGCTACTACTGTTTGTTCTCTCATGGGCACTGATGGGCTCGATCCTTGAAGCGAACCCTAACGCCGTGCAAGGTGGGGGTCTACGCAAGGGTCTTGCCTGGCTGAGAGGCGATGGGTTCGCAGACCCAGTGGAGGTGAAGCGCAAACCCCGACGGGACAGGAAGCCCGGTAATGAATAAGTGTTAAATTATAATCTGGTGGGCACATTATTAGATGCTCCATGTTTGCGATGTTGATTCCCGGAGACTGGCCTCCGCATTTCATTTGTAGTTTCGACTTATCAGGACGCTCCAGCGAGGGCCTAGCAATGACATTTCTTTTTCGGTCTGTGTCTCTTCGTGGGCTCGATATTGCAATATCTGCTCAAAGACTACCCCACTGTATGAATTGATTTTATAAAAGGGAAAAAAGGATCAAAAGTCCCAAGATCGTGAGCTTGTCACTACATGAGGAAGAAAGTCTGCCTGATCACTCGTTGGACTAAAATTCTACGATTCTACATAATTGTTCGATGGTATATTGATGCCAGGTCTATAATCTTGGTGTTTTTATATGAATATATTCAAAGGGACTATGTTTCTCTCAATCCAATCACCTCTGAAGCATTTGGCAAGGTGTTTTCCCTACTTGAGTGGGCCATCCCGACCCATAAGGCCTTGAAAGGCTCCGCGGTGTGTGTGAATCGACAAATCCCAACCAACAGCACAAGACTCAACATAATGCGCGGCGTCAGTATAAGACTTGCTACTTTGAAGTCCATCTCTTGCCTTCTTCAAGGCGTCTTTTGTATACTCACAGGCCAACTCAAACTCGGTCACTCGTTGTCCGTTCCAATCACTCCCGTGCTCATGGAAAAAATTGGTCGATGCTACGCGGTCCAGCTCCGAATCTGAAACTTTGCGCAACCCATTGTTTACGAGGTTGATGAGATCATACAGGCTTAGCTCGGCAGCACCAATGACACTATCGAGAGTGTGGGTGTTTCTGCATCCAGGACTGCCCGCAGGTGGGGGCTGAATGAGCTTGTAAGCGAGCTCCCGTAGAGAGATCGTAAGGTCGAGGCGGTTCTCCTCGAAGAGTGCGATGAAGTTTGACTTGGACATATCGAGAATGATATCTGGTGTTATATTGAGGTTTGGTTGAATTGGGTTGGACCTTGATGTGATGGATATTGTGAGCCACCCTGAGCCTGGAGTCGAGGTATTTATCCATATTATGGTTGATGATCTTCCTAGTGCGAGACTATTTAGATTGCAAGGGGATTGTATACTTCAATGGAGGCCTCAAGAGTCTATCAAAGAGGCCATTGAGACAAAGAATAATTGAAGGCAGCTGTCCACACAAAGACATTGTAAAGTTGTTTGACATGCCAGGGTACATTGTCAAGACATAACTAGTGCTAAGCGCCCAGTTTCCCGGGTGGCTTAGCTAGTACAGCAGCAAAGAAATTTGACATGATAATTCAAGTCATTTAGTTAGCCCTCTATGATAACGGCGCAAGTGTTCAATACAACGGACGGTATAACTCCGAAGCAGCCAAACACGATGGTGGGACAAGACGAATAGTATAACTGCAATGCTTCTAAAGTTTGATCGGCTATATGCTTGAATTTTGCCTCAAAAATGATCGAGGTACGGTCATTTGTGCTCCACGTTCACTATTTCTGGTAAAAAATTGTACCAAGCATGTGTTCTTCCAGCCATGATGAGATCGCATTTGGTGTAGTAAGGTGTTATTACTTCGTATATGGAAGCTTGTGGGCTGACTAGTATGGATTCCACAGAGAAGAGACGTTCCATTTCCCAGGTTGTCTCTGATGATGTATCGCCTGGGCACCCACATTGACGCCATGCCTCCGTAGACCGGAGATGCTGTAGAAGATGGGCTATTCGTGCCCACCGACATATTTACCAAGGGGCAATGACATCAGACTGAAAAGTCCCGGAGCATGCATATGTAAAATGTGCATTGCATTCAATTATTGATTTTGTCAAGATCAACAGCAGTCTAGGACGTGCCGGTAGTACAACCATGCACCGATGAAGTAGAGATTGACATGCAAGTCTATCACATTCAACTTTTCATTGGCGTAGCCCAGATCTGCAGATCCACCTGCATGTTCAGCTAGCCTTTTGTGCTCCGTGCCTGCGATGTGAATTTGCGGGGATCTTGATGGCCAGGCTCAGCTTCCAGTAGCGGTGAGAATAGAAAGTCCAAAGAGACGATCAATCGAGGTGCTTCTGCCCCTTGCAAAATATTAGGTATAAAGAAGAGCGTATTCCGGTCCCTAGAGATTGCTCATAATCCATCATCCTATTCCGCATTCAATATGAAGTTCTCAATTCCCGCCTCTATCGCTCTGTTCGCCTCAATTGCTTCGGCTGCTGCCCTACAGTCCCCAACTGAAGCCAAAGTATGCAAAGAAACATTTTGAGTGACCACAGGACTGACGAAATTTCAAAGATTTACATCAAAAGCGAGCTCAGATCTGATGCCTATACCCCCAAGCTCGACGAATGTGTGAACACCGAAACTCCGTATGTATCATGTTCCGGAATAGGATGAATTGTACTAATCGAGATGATAGAAACATTAAGGTCACCGGTATCGAGGTCTACCCGATTGGACAAGAGGGCGCCGCGTGCGTGTTCTTCAAGTATGTTGCCATTGGCCTGTGGATAAGAAAGTATTTAACACATTTAGGGAACCGGAGTGCCAGGGTGACACCTGGACCATCAAAGTCCCCAAGGGCTCCCCAGAAAAAGAACAAAAGTTCAGCAAGCCCTTCTATGCGGGTAGCTTGCGCTGCTCCGATAACAATTAAGAGCGATAGCGAGAGAAGTCCGCCATCAAACTCATGGAGTAAATAGAAACGAATGATACCAAAGTTAAAATTTGAGTCAAACTTGTGAATGCATTTTCTTTGCAATTATGCAGATGACTTCACAAAGACCCCAAAATCTCTCGGAAGAAAGTGATGATATCTTTCCAAATTTAAATTGTGCTTTCGGCTGGAAGAAATGATAATCATACTGATACCTGCTTATTAGAGGTGTCTTGAAAGTGCCTCACTGCAGGAGTTGATGATATCCTGCTGAGCCTTAATCCATTCAGTCGTCCAGCCCTTCAACCGTGGGATGGCGTCGACATCATCCAGAGATCCTGGGTCTTCAAAATTGTTCAAGACCCCCTTGATGGCTTTGCTTTGAGTCAGCCAGTCAAGAATACCTTTGGAATCTGCCGGCTCTGGGAGCTCCTTGCTCACGTTGAGCCGGAAATACTTTTTCGTCTGAGCATGGGGCGCAAAAGCGTCAACAAGCGCACGGAAAAGAATATTGGTGTTTTCCGTGTTCGTAGCTATCTCTGCAAAGCTCTCCATTGCATTTTTGAAATCGAGGCCCGGTCGTGCGACTGCAACATTTGCTCCCATCCCCGTGCCAATGCTAAGGAAGCAGTCCGTTTCTCGCGTTGGTCCATACAAAGAGAGAATCTCAGTCCACAGCCTAGGGGAAATAAGAGTCAGTGAATGGCAATTTTCATAGAATGCAAAATTCCTGTTTTACTTACCAACCGAGGGGATTATTGGCAAGTAACCCACCATCTACCAGCGTCACTCGGCCAATGTCCATCGGCTTGAAATATCCCGGGGCTGCAGATGTAGCCCGGGCTGCTTGCCACAGCTTGATACTAGCCAGATCTGCATCTGGTGGATCTAGATCATTAGTGTACGAGCGGAGGAAAACAGGGCCTCGGTTGTTAGCAGATTCTTCGCGCGTTGCCATCAGGAAACTGTGCGTTGAGAGTTAGCCAAACAATTGAGATGAATGGTGGAAGGGTTCTGCATCTTCTATGCTCACATTTTGCACGAACTGCCTTCGTCTAGAAGTAGAGCATTCTCGGCGTTTTGCCCCACAGGAAGCTTTTTATCAAGAAGTTTCTTGATCACTTTTTCCAACTGCCCAGCCGAGTAGAACTCACCCTTGGTCAGATAGTCCAAAGGCTTTCCAATATGTGTATGAAGCCAACCGGATCCAAAGACATCTTTCATGACGGAATCGTACGTATCCAGACATTCCTGGACGCTCATTTGGAGTCGACCAAGCATGATGGCAATCAACCTATTTTGATTAGAAGGAGTCTTATTTGCAGATAGACCCAGGGAGCTCCCGGTAAAGCTTACCCGCCTGTGCTTGTACCGCCGATCAAATCAAATACTTCGTGGGGCTTTTTGGTCGGGGCAGCCCGATCCATCACCTCTTTCAGGAGCATCAAGGAGGAATAACCTCGTACACCACCCCCATCTGTTCAACCGATTAGTTACCCTGGTATAAGACTTCGATCACATATCATTGATCATGGTCATCTCACCAAGCGCTAGAACACGAAGAGGGCGCTTCTCGTTTCCAGCAAACGTCTCCGCGCGATCCCAAGCCGCTTTGATCTTGGGGGTGTATGCGGAGTTGTTGGCATTCACGCAGTTTAGAAGCTGCTGCACTGCAATGGTGTTTTGGTACACCTCCACGTAGCTTGGGGGCTGGTCAATAATCGTGGGGCTGCCCATTTCAAGAACTAGGAATGCTGCCCTTCCATAGAGCTCCCAGCCGGTGTACTGAGCGCAAACCTTAACTCCAATGCAGTTCCCCGCCTGGAGTAAGCCCATCAAGTCGTGCTTTCCGGCAAGTATCTCACCAGACAGCTTGTGAACATCAGCAAGTCGGACTTTCTCCGAGAAGGCTTTCACATACCCAGCCATACTCTTTGGATCCCATGTCATTCTTATGGCTCTGCCACGCCAACTCCACGCCTTCGCGCTTTCTAGGGGCATCCGATGATTCATTCTCATAAATTGCAATCTCCAACCATGTCCAGTTTCCAAGCGCTCGGTCGTCCACCCACCCTTGGTCGTGGGTGTCGGCGAACAGCTGCACACTCTGGAGTGCTTGGATAGCGGCTTCGTTGAAGGGCTAGAAGGTAATCATATTGTCAGTCCTCCGTGGACACCAAACAGAATGGGGTAGACCGACCGGTGACTTGAACCAAGTCTTGGTGACCATTGCAGATGATTCCCCAACGACCAGTGGCTCAGTTTCATCGTTTGAAGCTGGCGCCGCTACAACAAACCGACCCTTCGGGAAGAGCGACTTGTCATCGATGGCCCGCAGGGGCAGAGGCTCCAGATTCTTCAGCGAGTTGGGAACAGGCATGACTGATATCGTTCGGGTGGTTTGCTTGGGGTCTGAGGAATATTGGGACCTCCATTTATAGTCAGCCGCAGACAGTAAGGTTGATGACTCGTCGGAGCATCCATGGACGACTTCGAGGCTAGGAAGCCAACAGTCTCCGCGTCATCCATGGATCTGGCTGTCACCGATGGCACAAAGAAGCGATAGGCTAGGAAGTTTGAACCTTCACAATGTCAGCTGAAGTCAGATGGAAATTTGAGAAAGTGGAAGTATATCCTCGTATTTTGACTCAAACTCCAGCAAGCCAAATCCGAAGACTCAATATCGGCCTATTCAAATTTTTCTTCGACTCTAGGGTCGTCAAATTGCAAAATCCAAATGTTGTTTCTTGTTTCTGTCGCGGGTGGCGCCGAGCTTATACCATGGTTGAATGCTCTGGAGAGTGGGGAAACAAGTCCACTTAGATCCCCGAGACTATGGACTTGAGATTATAGTCATTCTGAGCGAGAGTTGGTCGCAGGCGCCAACGGCCGTGATCAACGCCTGATACCCATGAGCTTCCTTGGGCAGAGTTATGGAGTACTTGGGTCATGATAGAAGGCTGTCGAATTCAGATGTGCTTATGGTTATTATGTCGGGCCTTTTAGTACAAGTCTAGTTTTAAATTCCACCCTGAGTACCTGTCAACCAGAACATGATTTCCCACACTAACAAAGTGACAGAGGGAAAAAAACAAAAAACAAAACAAACCCCGGAGTTTCGCAGATGCAAGGCGATCTCGTCAGCCACAATTTCTTACATTTGAAGTATCCTCCTTTCCCCGCAGAACGTGAGCCTTTGCACAACTTGAGAGTGCTGCCCATTTGGCTAGTCTGCGAATCTCCTCTCTCTTATAATACCAGTTGGGCTATCAAATATCGCCTTTATTTCAGTTTTCGAATGGCAATGTAGTTCTGCAGAGAGAAGGCTTTCTGCAGCAGGCCAACATCCCCCAGCCCCCCTCAACCCCCGGTCAATGACGGCATGGGGCCATTTTCCATCTTATCGGCCAGACAATTCTGCATCGCGCGAGTCAGCGAGGCGCGGACAGCGCAGAGAAAATGGAACGCTTAGACCAGGCAGGAACCGTTTTTCCTTGGTCAGATAGCGACTCTCCCAACCGGTGAAAGCACAGCCACACCTCCCCTCAGCGAGAGCCCAGGTTCTGAGCCCCCTTCTTGACATAATCAGTTTCATGAACTGGCGTCGATCCAGTCAGGGATGCTCTGAGGGATCTTTTGATCTGGTGCCTGCGCCACGACTGAAGTACCTCTGTATATCGCCAATCATAGCCCTGAATGGCGTTGAGGTCATGAAAATTCTGTCAGGGCCATGTCTCCCTCCCAAGGCACCCAGGTCAGTCACAATGAGCCTATGGCTCTGGGAAATCTCCTGAGCAGAATAAATAAGCTTGTCAGGCCCATCACTTCCCCGCCATTTTGTGGTCCACTCTTGTCCTGAGATCTTCCGCTACTGCAACTCACGAGCTATACTATGACGGGGGCTTTTGAGGATGACGATTTGTCTCATTTCACTCAAGAGATCCAGGAGTGGGATCCAAACCTTGATCTGTTGCCCTTTGTTGGCGAACCACATTCTCCAATGGACGATGGCTATGCACATGATACGTCCGGAAAGTTCCTGTCACCTTCCATGTCGCCACTTCCCTTCATGCCTGCAGGCGTGACAGCTCCTGAGACCCCGGCGCCACCCACACCTGCTTCGTTCGATCCCATGCCTAACATGACCGGGGTCACATACAACAGTGCCACTGGACACGACTATGGTGTCTCAGAAGCACCGGCGTTAAAGCATACCGGAGAAGTTTGTAACCCTACTTCTCCCATGCAGTCTCCCATGGGCGATGACCTTGAATCGAGTGAAAATGACAACAATGATGTGAGACCAAAGTCTCACGGGAGAGTGTCCATGGGCGTGAAGTGAGTCCCCCTTCTGAAGGCAGTCCATATCCGAATTTATACCGAAAGAATTCCTAATGACCTTCGCCACCACAGAGCCCATCGTTCGAACTCGAACATGTTCAAGTGTCAATGGAGAGGTTGCGACTATTCCGGTGGATTCTCGGGAGTAGCAGCCCTACTCCGACACATCAGGACAAAACATCTGTGCCCGGGCATCTTCAAATGCCCCGACGAGGAGTGCTCCAAAGCCTTCAATCGGAAGGACAATCTGGTCGCTCACATGCGAAACGTGCACCGTGGACTTGTTTGAAGGCATGACTGAACTTCTTTGTTTGCATACTAAAAATTTGGTGTTAATTATTGTCGGTCGGCTTTGAAGGATTCCCAAAAGTTGTTTGTTTGTGACACACAAAAGCTATTTAGCGCTTAAAGATTACCATGGCTGGTTTTGGTTTTGGTTTTGGTTTCTCTTCTTTTTGATTATCGTGAAATAATTGTACACTCTAACCTTCATCGTCTCTGGTTATTGGTAGAAGGGTACACTCACATCAAAGTCTGGACTTGATGTACAAGTCATGAGCAGCCGCAAGTATTTGGAATGCGTAGGAACAATTTGTTTCATATCATTGATTTCAATATTTACCAAAGCCGTGAGAATAATCATAAAGTGAATAGCACCAACAAGCGAAAGAGTGTTATCACTTCACAACTGGCGTGAGGGATACCCGAGTGCCATTTGCACTCGACAGTGTCAACTTCATATCCTCGACCCACGGATTCGGGTCACGGCTCTCAATCTTCTCAAACTCTTGCAGGATTCTAACTGTGGTGTAACCAGCTTCAGTGAGCGCGAACTGCTGCCCGATACAAATTCGAGGACCGCCGTTGAAGGGGAGGTATGCCCAACCCGGTCTTATCTTCTCCCATCGCTCTGGTCGGTATTCATCTGCGTCAGGTCCATATATAGCTGGATCACGGTGCATCGTGTATACACTGTAAGTAACCTCCTGTCCTTTTGCAACGAAAACTGGTGATTTTCCGTCTGGACCTCCACCAACAGGAAGGATGGTGTCTCTGCGCGCTTCTCGGAAATTGAAAGGTACGATAGGATATAGCCGCAGAGCTTCAGACAGTCAGAAATGTGAGAAGGAAAGCATGAACAAGAAGAATGAGCACTACTTACATTCATTGAAGACCCATGACATGTATGTCATCGACTTCAAATCTTCAAATGATGGTTTCCGTCCATCGAGAGCGAGAACTTCGGATCGAAGTCGGTCCCAAATATCTGGTCGCCTGGCCAAGATGAAGAAAGTGATGCTCAAAAGATTGGCGGTGGTATCACGCCCAGCAATGAGAATACTCAAGAGCTGATCAGTAATTTCCTTCTTGTCTAGTGTTTGCTTCGACAACTCGTAAGAAAACACGTATTGGTTGTCGGTCAACTCTTTGATTTTCGGATCAACCTTCTGACCACTGTCCACTGCAATGCGGTAGTCGATTGCCTTCTGCACAAACTTATCAATGTAATCGCGTAGACCAGTGCCTGCCTTCCAGTACTCTTTGTTTCGGTAGAGCATCATCAAAGGGCCCATTCTAATGCGTGTCGCAGTTCCATCTGTGGCGGTATTGAACTGTTTTGCAAATAATGCGGCTTCGGTGGAGTTGTTTTCCCTCAAAGAATGGACAGATTCACCAAACAGAAACTCGCTTGCGGTATCCAATGTCTGCTCTTAATTAGAGAATTTCATGAGGAAAAAAAAGGTTGCTGTGACACTGACCTGTCGCAGAAACAGATCTTGTAGTTCAACTGTCGACCCATCATGAGGGACATGTTTCATTAGATCTGTGACGTGATTTTCATACATTTCGGTATTGGTGATTTGGGCACGCGAGAAGTTAGGACGTAGAAGAGCTCGTGAATGCTCCCACCTACTCCCGTCGACAGTGAAGATTCCCTCACCAAAGACAGGACGTAAAGCGTTCTGTCGTGTGGGTCCGATGGAATAGTCTTTGAACTTCAGCGCAAGAATCGTTTGGATATTCTTGGCTTCAGTGGTAAAGATTGTCTTTCGGTTGGCCATTCTGGCTGTGAAGGTAGTTCCATATTTCGAATGCCAGCCACGGATTTGTTCCGTAAAGTTGTGCTCTCGAGCTGAGTTGACCATCTCCATTATCATGCCTATGCCGAACCAGCCGTGGCATACCGAGCTTGCTGGCGGTTGGCAGCCATTCTGGCGAGCAAAATTCCACCCTGCATTTTGTCAGAGACTCTGTTTTGGGCTGGGGAGAACGATTATTGTACTTCGGAGTGCTTGAGTAACCTTCACAGCACAAAATACAAACACAACTGCCCCGGCAACAACCCCATAGAATGGAAATTGGATCAGATTCAAAGACACTGGTGCCATGCTGGGCGGAAAATAAAGGAAAACAGATTGTGTCTCAAGATCGCGGTTTGGCCGACAAGAAGTTGGGTGAGCCTCATCGATATTTGTATTCGGCGGACCAGGTACATTGACCGGCCAATAACAAGGATATTGTTGTACATTACTTTCTACCTGTGCTTGCGGGGCAGATACGTGAGTGGCCAAATGTCCGAGGGTTGGCCCCCAATGCAATCAGAACTCTTGGATTGACTACAGTGTTGACGATGACATTGGTGCCCAGGTGTGACTGCAACTGCGATACCCTTTTTGACCTAGGTTAAAAAAACACACGGCAGCTCGCTAAGAATAAATATCACATCCAAAGCATCTCATTGGGTTAATGACATTGGAATGGGGCGAGCCTCGCTGGTGAAGGAGAGTTAATATGGGACTTGGCCCGCTTTGATGCATAAGGCGTTCGAAAGCGCACCATCTGGCCAATTCGGGAAATGATGATCGCGGGAACTTTCTCTTGACGTAGGCCTAGTTGCGTAGCTGAGTGGCTAGTGGATGACAACTAGTTGTGTACGGAGTACTTGTATCATGACTGTGGACGGAAGTAGGTACAATGACAGCTGGGCTAATGTCATGTATGCACAGGGGGCCATGGAGACCTTGCATTTCATGCACCACCGTTGACATCACCAAGTCCAGGCCTTCTAAGAGTAATGCTAGCGTGACAACTTGCTTCACGAGGATTAATATGGGAAATAGGAATACCTACTATACAATACGTCGAAAGAGGTTCGAGGAATCCCCCAAGCACTGTTCGATCCAAACCATATCAAGTCTCATATATGAAAGAAAATAAAACAAATGCTAGGATACAGTACCACCACAAGGTGAGGGGGTGTAAGCAGGGTTTATATCCAAGGTATCTGCAAGCTAATGCACCCCAAGTGTCGCCACGGACAAATTGTGGTAGCATAAAGCCAGTGACTCTCATACTCATGCAGCCACTGGCGGAGCGTGTGTTTCAGTCGGAGTATCCGACTCCACCTTTTGCTTTTCATTGACGACCTCTTCAATCTCAGGACTTTTGCTATCAGGGATCTCGCTCTCGGGGATTTCACTTTCGGGAATCTCGCTTTCAAGGACCTCACTCTCCGCGATCTCACTCTCGACAATCTCGCTCTCAGGCCTTCCGGCGGGGTAGAAGTCCACCGACCCGTCCCCTTTGATGATTCCAGTCCGGTCGAGGATTGTACGCGCCCGCACGTAGGGATCCAGATCCCAATAGTTCCTGGAAAGCTCTTCAATCACATCGTCTCTCGTGTGCGGAGATTTGAATTCCGGATTTGCGATCCATTTGGTAGTCAGGCTGAAGAGCTCATCGCCAAGCTGCTCCCGCTCGGCGAGAATGACGTCTCGGGCGGACTTGTCAATTAGCTTCTCATTTTCAGCAAGAGTAGGCTCGATGTATTCATATTCCCAGTCTTCGTCGCCACCGAGCTCTGTCAAAATGCGATCGCGGGGTATGAACTTCTCAAGATCCTGAATGTCGTTGGCGAAGTGCACCTTTGCGGCAACTACTGGATCCATGAGGCCCTGTATGATCTTCCACATGCCAGAAAAGACCCACGGGGCGTTGTAAAAGATCATTGCTCCAAGTGACTCGGGGTAGTTTGCTTGGAAGCTGTCGATCACAAATTTGGCCGCAGGCAACTCCCAATTGGCGAGAGTAAATGAGGTCAAGTCAACTAGCATCACATAGCTCTCTACAGGAGAGACTTGAAGAAGGCGTGCAGTCTCAATACAGTACACAATGAAGTCGTTGAGCGCCTTTGACGACTGAGCATTTGGGTCGTGATATCGCGCTCGAATTATACAGACAGGTCGATTCCATCTGTCGCATCCATGGAAGTGAGCCTTTCCGCTGGTGAGCTGCAAGGCAAAGCCCTGGGCATCTTTCTTCTCTGGGGAATCTCGACCGACTCGAGATTTCTCCACTGCATACGCTTCCCCCTTCAGTATGACCTCTTTATCAACCTTGTAATCATTGATTCGCCAGTTGAGGGATGCAACAAACTTGATCCAGGCCTTTGGAAGGTTCCACTTTTCGGCTCGGAGAAAACGGAGCAGAAGCGCATCGGGGTTGTTCTGTTTGAGGGCAGCTAAAAACGCAAAGCGAAGCCTCACCCCTGGAAATTTCACCAGCAGTGATTGGATGGTTTTAATTTCGGCGGGACCCGCATCCCATAGCTTCAGAGTGGCCAGCAGATTTGGGGGGATTGCCGATGTCTCCTCTGGCGTGGGTGGTGCTGGGGCCCGGAGCAATGAGAAGAACCTCCGATGGCCTTTTGGTGCGCTGGAGTTCACTTTCGCGGAGGCTCCCTTGGGGACTGGTATGCTCGCATCCCATGATTGGATCAAGATCCTCCAGAAGTCACGGAGCTTTTGTTCCTCCGTTGCGGTGAGTTTGCCTACATAGCCACTTTGAGGTTCGGTGGGGGAAGCCATAGTGAAGTGATATAGTATAAAATTCAAGACTTTTGAGCAATGAGAACAAAGAAACGTCTACTCCGTCCTCCATAAGCCTTCAGGGGTAAGTTTAAGCATTCCCGCCGAATTCTTCAGGTGTGAATGCCGAGTAGCATATGAGCTCAAGTCACTGTCCATGCCCATATGCAGCTTTGTGTGATAGTCGACACTAGTGCAGCCATCCCGTCTCTGGGCTGAAAGAGAGAAAAAAAAAAGCAGATGAGGGGTCGACCTCGACGGCTCTCAAGTCGCACTGCCAACGCATTACTCCGTAGTTAGCTTATGAATCGACCTGATGAAACATAAGCTTGCGGGGACATTAAGAGGGTGTCGCATTTTATCTTGTTAGTGAGGATCGGCGCTTTAGACGGTGAAAATTATCGGGGTCCAACGCGCAAATGTGACACAACGCAAAGTGATGATTTTCCAAAATATCACTTGAGCCCCTTGCTATCGTGGTCGATCTTGAAATCCCAATGACCCACGGAAGACGGAGTATTTTTCACCGCACGAAGCAATCACTGCTTATTTCCATGACATTCTGAATGCTCTCATACATATTTGGACAAGATGTTCGAGTCTAAAGGGGTCAAAGCGTTCTCATGCAAGACGAGAACACAATTATTGGCTGGCAAAAAAATCACCCTCAAATTTGCTGTGACCCAAGTGCATCTTCTGTGATCAATCTGATGCCGCGGGTGATCTTAGACGGTCACGTCGCTGTTTGGCCAGGCCAACGGAGAAAGACCTGACCCGTATTCCCTCCTGTGCCTCCATACACGGCAACAAATCCAGCGACCAGCGCGTAATCGATCGGGTTCCAACCCGTAAGGATCTACGAAACACGGGCGATGATAAAATTGGCAACAGTTGGCATTCGGGGGTTGATGATAACGCGGATGCATGCCAGAGCTCGCGTTCGAGTGCAGTTTCAGACTCGCAAAATTTGACCTAAGTAGTACGCTGGTTTGGCTGGTTAAGGAAAGCTCTGAATTCCCTCGGACTGCACCATCTGGGATCCATGTCATGTCTCAAAGCCCGAAGTCCAGCACTCCGACAATATATCGCCATGTTTGCTCATCAACTGTCGCAATGCCACTTCACAGGTCTGCGAGCCACCAATGGTCACATTCAAAGACAGGAGGCCTTTCATCAAAAAATCTATTTGACGATCCCAGATACCATCGGGCATGATAATCTGCTGATGACTTTGGAGGCTTATCACGCTTTCGATAGCCTTTTCGAGGGCAGTCACAGCCAGGCTTGGGGTGACGTGGTAAGCTGTGATCGGGACATCGGCACTCAGTCCATTTTGAAGATTGAACAGCTCTTCAGCGGGTAGGTCGTGCACGCATTCAACTACCCGAGCCACGAGTGAGACCGCCTGGGCCTGGTACTTGCGGATTATTGGACTATTATGCTGTTCGAATTCTTCTTTCAGATGCTTGGTAGCCCCTTGGTATACATCGGCTAGAAGGAAGATGCCGAGGCTCCAAAACATTGTATGCGAAACTAACACATCGGCAGTCAGTAATCTCGGGTCATCATCCAAAATCAAACTCATAGTAATGGATATTAGCATACCAATGGAGATCCTGGGACAAGTAGAGAGATGCTTGAAGTTCGCAATGCAGTTTGCGAAGAAGGATTGATACCTTTCATCAAATTCGTCGATTGCAGCCATCCCCACATCAAGGGCCTCGAGAATAAGCCGAGACCGCTCGATGATAGTAACACACGGCTGAGTAACGCTTTCTTTGACATGGATTATTCTTCTCCATATGTAGAAAGTATCAGCACTCGCCTTCCGGAAAAGGGGTTGAATATTTGCATCCAGCTCAAGGATATTACGGCAAGTTGCCCAACCTGCCATGATCTCCTTCTTCGGGGGATCTATTCCAATATTTTTATTAGCATTTTCTGATAGTTGCAGATTTGAGGGGTCATACTCACTCATCGCGGGACCCCAATGGTCTGAAAGTTTCGATCTATGATCCATCGATAGGGCTGCTCCAGTATCGCGAATATACCCAGCCCATCGAATGATGCTCAAACTCGCATCGGCAAGCGATCCGTAGATAGAAGAAGGCCCAAGATTGGCAAAATATCTTTTGACAAGTTGGTCCAGGTAACACAACTGATCCAAAGCAGTATCAAGTAGATTGTTTCGTACGAGTCCTTCAGTTTCAATTACTCTTGTTGGCGTTACGATGCCGACAAATGTGAGTATTGCGAGGATCATTCGGAAAGACCGAATATTTTGGGACTCGAGAAGAAGAGATCGGGCTTGAGCCCAAGCATCGACGAAAGAGTTCAGCGAGCTCTCGCCCTCTGTCATTCCGATACCATGACTTGGCTCAAATGTCTCGGATACACTGGGAAGCCACTGCATTGAGAAAGCTCTCAATACGGCTTTCAAGGCTTCGTCGGTCTTTTTCTTTGCGGCTGGTCTGAGTCGATTGCCGTAAAGGTCACCGAAATGATCAAGGAAGCGAACGCTGCCTAGCAAAGATATCTCCTGCCCGACCTCATTTTGTGATGAAGATGAACTGGTTAAGCTGAGCTGACTTGCATATGATTCCGCGCTCGATAACGCAGAATCCAATCCAATTGAGCTATCGGATGCAACCCCTGCTATCCGATAGCGAACCTTGGAAGGATAATTATTGCAATCATAGTCTAAAAATCTCGAGGCACTGGGTGTTGCAATAGCCTCGTAGATTCGCGTTAGGCGATCGCCCAGAATCTTAGCATCGATCGCACTATTTAACAAGTAGATTGGGCTGTTGAATGATAGCCCGATCATGGGAGTTGGCTGAAACGAACGATGGGGTTCGATCTTGGGAAAGCCAGTTGGATAAAGAGTGAGCTCATTGTCACTGCTGCGATCTGACACCGGCGAGGGCTCAAGACACGACTCGGGGGATGAGTTGGGATAGGCTGGGAAAGATATTGTATCCCCATCGAGGGCATCGTCGAAATTTAAGTTCAACCAAGTTGACAGAATATCTTGGTCAATCGTCACGGTAGGATCGAATTGGCTGTTCGAGCTCCCGGTGTTTCCCGCCACCGGTCTCTCCATGCCACACCCAGTTTGCCGGGAGGGTTGGCCGTCATCATCGCATTGACGCCTTTTCCTCTTCGTGAGGGCAGATAACTGGCGTTCGGCGAATTCGAATGTACATTGGTGTCCTAAACGTCTGCAGTTTTCGCAAGCTGTGCTCGAAATGCCATCGGGACTAGCACTGGCTGCGACGCAACGTCGCTTTGACCGCCTGCACGGATCACAACTTTTATTCTGGCGGCGTGGAGGCTTGATTGTCGGGTTCAACGCCTGGAGATTTTCGACATCTCCCGGCATTCCGCATTTACATGGTCTTGTGTCAAGTTGAGAAGCATGCAGCCCTCGATCTCGGGAGATGATTGGCTGTATCGCTTAGTCATGTATTTTACCATCCATGGATATAAATTACCAACGAAGCCGCACAATGAGAACACAGGTTTCTCACCATTTTTGTGAGTAGTCAGTATGCTGCAGTTCCGTCAGCTATGAGCCCAAATAGCAACCTCTAGATCTCAGTAAACGCTGGATTTTCGACAGCGAGACTCGATCTACCAATATAGCCTTCGCTGTGTCGATTGAGGCTTCGCTGTCAAATTCTGCTCAAGTGTAAGGGCTGCTAGAAGGCAGCCCTTACATTTTCAGAGGGGTTATTCGTCGCTATTCGGGCTCATAACTGACGGAACTGCAGTACACTGGCCAATCACGAAAATTTGAAACCCTTTCATCTTTGAATCTTCTACTCCATAGCTTTGCTAATGATCTATATAGCAAACTACATAACTCAACGCCTCATCCAACCTGGAATCGTCTATTTAGTTGCGGCGAATTCAGCCTTGACACCTTGTGTTGCCGAATTGGTTTATCCGGTCCGTTCCAATTTTGATGCCTACTATATCAGGTTACAGAATGACTTTGATTGGGAAGAACCACCTGGGCACCACCTGCACGCATTCCCTCAACATATAATTGCGTGTCTACGCGCTTGACACATAATTGGTTACCTATTGAGTATCCCGACCAGGTTGCATGATCCCACCCTCATCTAGACCTTCTCCCCAGCTGCCCGTCGCACGCAACCAACAATGAATTGCGGGTTGCTCAACCAAGGAGAGTGGCCCTCGTCGCATTCTTCAACTTCGAAGCAACCCTCTCCTTGTGCAATCATCCTTCGTTGAAAGGGTAGTCGCAAAGCCATGTCGTTTTTGCACACGATGTAGGTACTTGGGATTTCACGGTACGCGGTGTACGTCACAGGAACGGACAACGGACCCGATGGAAATGTGCCGAGAAGTTCAACTGCTCTCTCGACATCCTTTGTGTCGCACCCGTTGTACAGGATAAGGTCAAGATTATCCTTGGGCAGCTTTATCGCCCCATCCTGTTGATCATCAGTGTTGAACATCTTCGGAGAGAAAATGTCTCATACCGCGGTGATTTCCATTCCTCCATATTTGGCTGCCATCTCCTTTCCCTGCCTCTCGAGCTCTTCTTCTTCGGGAGTTTGGGGGGTCAATTGGCCAATGTGGCTTTGGCCCTTGGGCAAGGCCATGGAACACATATAGATCAACTTGATGACGCCACCCTTCAAGCCCTGTGCAGTTCGCTCTTTTTTACCCAGGCCCTTGACGGCCTCTGACATAGCAACGCCTCCAAATGAATGGGCTAGTACGACGACGTCCTTGCCGACATCCAGTCTCTCCATGATCACTCGGCGTACAGCCTGGGCATCCTGGTCCCAGCTTGGTAGAGGGGGACTCGAGTCTACCGAAGGCATAGTCACACCAACTGCCTCATAGTTGACATTGGCGAGGTCATCGATAAGGCCCTGGAAATGGGCCGGCCTGTGCCAGGCGCCTGGCACAATAACAATTGAGGGATTTGACATCATGAGCTGTGGGGATCTTTGTGGCTTGTGGAGATGGAAGTGCTGAGTTACTGCCGGGATAAAATATAGACACCAAAATCCATAGACTTAAATACTCGTGCTGCGGTTCCCAATGTCCCATCGGAGCCGCGCCAAAGTGGGACTGGATCGGGGCCGCAGTGAAAACACGACGTCTGATTGGTGGAGGCGGTTCCGCGGGTGCTGGTATGCCAGTCTGCAGAGCCTCGCTTTCGTCCACGGGTGCATACTCTGCGATAAAACGCTACGGAGTATAGAGTACAGAAGTAGGATTTAGGATTGCTGGGGCATCTGGTGAAATACGATCTGCCAATGGTCGAAAATTCTTTGGGAGCTTGACAAACCACGTGAGATAAGTGACGTGCTGGAGACCAGGCAAACAGAAAAAAGAGAGCGTAGGAATAAACAAAAACAAAAATCTTGGAATTTAAACACTTCAAATCTCAAAGCTCAAGTCGGGCATGCTGGATTATTCAAATTTGAAGCCATTTTGGCCGTTGAAGATGTGGAAATGCTTCCAGAGCACACGATTGGCTCAATCAAATTACCAATGAGGGGAATTTCACGGCGATCTTGAAGCCCCCTCCTGACCTTGCCAGTGAAGGGTTTTTTTGATTCAAGTGATGCTTTGTATAGATCCTATTTTGGTTATTCTGGTCTGACCTCCTAACATGGCCACTTTCTTTGTCTTGAGACAAAGCAACTAATGTGAGTCTCCTTTGTTCATCTATTCCTTTCCCGAGTTAATTTCAACTTCTAAGCTTGGCTACTTTGGGGTTTGATTTCCTTCGGCAACAAGACTCACATCCCTAATTGAAAAGGTGTTGCGTGGAGATGGATTTCCAAACACTCAGATCGACCCCCTTAATGTTTGTAGTGTGGTGAATTCACCGGACCTGACATTTCAAGAAATTTGGGGTCAATGACTGGACCTCATCATTTGGATCTTTTTTCCCTCTTCACTATCACCGAAGTGCAGTCATGGCGCCCGACTCCGTCCGCGTCACCACGCGACACACGCTGCACTGCGCCAATGAGGCGACAATGGCCACGTTGGAATCCCCTTTCTGCTTAGGCCCGATGGACTACATAGTCCCATCCACATTGCCCATCGAAGTAGTCTTCATCTACAAGAGACCCAGATCATTACCGGCGGATCGATTCTTTGTTGTTGATCGACTGAAGCAAGCAATATCCCATCTTCTCGACTACTATCCTCACTTGACTGGTCGACTACAGCTACATCCCAAGACTCATGCTCCACAGATTGGTCATTTGGGAGCTGGGGTAGACTTTTGGGAAGCATCTTGCAGCACGGCTCTTCGAAATATTGCCGCGTCAAGTCTGTCTGGGCGCATCATCACCCCGAAGCTCCCCGGTTATGGTGACGCACTTCTCCCTATCTTTCACGCGACAGTGGGCTCGATCTCACACAACGCCATTCTTGCTGTTCAGCACACTCGGTTTGCCTGTGGAGGAGTGAGCCTGGGAATCCGGATCCACCATCAGGTTTGCGATACCCGGGGTTTCTTCCAGGTCGTACGCGACCTTGCTGAGATCTACAGACAGCTGCGCGACTCTTCTCCGCCAACGCTAATCTATCCCCCTGAGATCCGCTCTCACTTTCGAAGCTCTAGCGAGCTGTCTCCAAGAAAAGAGGGTAAACGTCTTACGTTAAACACATCAAACTTTTATCTTGAACGTGAAAATGATACAAAAGTCAAAAAGGAAACACACCAACAAAGGACGGCCCCGGTTTCGGCTCGTGTACTTCGTTTCGACGGCCAAGATCTTGCCGCGTTGAAGCAAGCCGCGACCAATCCTGATCCCCGAAGCGACACGTGGGTCTCTACATTTGAGGCCCTCTCGGCATTCTTATTCCAACGAGTGTATAAGGCCAGGGTTGAACTCCGGGAAACACTTGGTCACTCTCCCCAGGATGTCCCATGTCACTCACTTCGCCAACTCTCCACAGCGATGGACATGCGGGACCCAGATCGCCTGAACTTACCTCCACGCTATTTGGCCAACGCTGTCCACTGCCTATCAACCCCTGCATCGCACGGGAACCTCATGAAAGGCTGCCTCTGGTACATTGCAAGGTCAATTCATTATGCCATTCGCTCCGTCGATAAAACGGATGTCAAAGAAGAATTTCAATGGATCGCTGCACAGCCTGATCAACGTCGCGTGAAGTCCACCGAAACATTCCCGGAGGGATCTATTGCTGTCATACAATGGACTAGGGAAAATACCTATGTTGGCACCGATTTCGAGGTTCGCCGGAATGGTAAACCTGTCTCGCCCTCGTTGGTCTCCCCGCCTCTCAGTGGGGCTTATCTGATGGATGGTCTGGCGATGGTCATTCCAACGGAGGAGAAGGTATCTGCAGGCAGAGTAAACACCAATTCCCCGGTTGGGTCAGACATGCCATATGCCGTCGATGTAAACTTAGCACTCAATGACCAAATCTGGCCATATCTCGAGCGTGATATCAATTTCTTGAAATACATTTGTTGATCAATATACCCTGCATGGGCCAACTGTGCGTTTCGTCCTCGTTGTTTCCACCTCAAACACGAGGCTAAAGGTTCATACAATAGACGAAGTAAACATCATTCTAAATTTGTGTGTTCAAGTCTCCAGCAACTGTAGAGTAAAAAGACAATCAATGCAAACACCGTCATCTGTCGTCATAGCCCCTCTACCGATAAGATGCATGATTGGTCAGGTGTCACGTGGAATCCTGACGTGACCCACAATACCCTGGGGAAGTGTCGAAGCTACCATGGTCTCCATTTGTTTGGGAGCTTCATATATTCCTTTACTTGAACTGCAAACGATTTCCCCACCGAAAGCTACTATTGGTACAAAGAGACGGTCTGACTGTCGTGATTTTCACTTGTCCATCACGAATCCCGCCCTGTGATGTCATAGGACTTCACAGGTGTAGTCAAAATGGAAGCACAACAGCGCCGCAGTTCTGGGTTTCAGGGCGACGACTTGATCAAGGATGGAACTCGAGTGAGAGGTACATCTTACGCAGAATCATTCAGAGAGATTGAACAACATGTTAACTTTGAAAAGATGATGGTCGGATTGAAATCGACTTGGATTCCAAAGTCGGCAGAGAAGTGTCCAAGTTGATTCCATTTTTGGATTCAGAGGAGCAACTACATCCATCGGAGGAACCATCCGTCGAGACAAGATGCGACCTTGAGCTCAACATTGTTATTCAAGTCGTCGGCAGCAGAGGCGACGTCCAACCCTTTGTTGCATTGGGCAACGAACTTCAACGCCATGGTCACCGGGTACGACTTGCCACACATGGCGTCTTCGAATCGTTTGTTCGGGACTCTGGGTTGGAGTTCTACTCTATCGGGGGAGATCCATCGGAGTTGATGGCTTACATGGTCAAGAACCCAGGCCTAATACCGCAGATGAAGTCGGTCAAGGATGGGGATATTAAAAAGAAGCGTATTATGGTCGCTGAAATTCTACAAGGCTGTTGGAGGTCTTGCATCGAAGATGACTTGGTGACAAACACACCCTTCGTCGCCGATGCTATCATTGCAAATCCACCAAGCTTCGCCCATATTCATTGTGCTCAGGCACTTGGAATCCCATTGCATTTGATGTTTACTATGCCCTGGACCAGCACAAGATCATTCCCTCATCCGCTGGCAAACCTGAAATATTCGACAACAGAACCCAAAATGGCTAACTATCTCTCCTATGGAATTGTTGAATGGCTCACTTGGCAAGGGTAATGACCCCTGTCTCGGACCTTCGGGATCAAGCTAATCAATATACAGGCTTGGTGATGTTATCAATGACTGGAGAAAGTCTCTTGATTTGGAGCAAATATCTGCCACCGAAGGCCCTCGCCTGGCAGAGACATTGAAAGTGCCATTCACATATTGTTGGTCACCTACACTAATGCCCAAGCCCAAGGACTGGGCCGGTCATCTTGATGTCTGCGGTTTCTTCTTCCGCTCCCCACCTGACTTCACGCCTCCTCCGGATCTCGATGCATTCCTTCGAAATGGACCTCCGCCAGTATATATTGGTTTCGGGAGTATCGTCATCGAAGACCCTCCGGCAATGACTGCCACGCTTGTAAACGCCGTGAAGGCGTGGGGAGGCCGCGCAATAATCTCGCGTGGATGGAGCAATCTTGGTGAAGCAGAATCATCTGACCAGATCTTTTATCTCGGAGACTGTCCGCATGAATGGCTCTTCCAAAAGGTTTCAGCAGTTGTACATCACGGAGGAGCTGGAACCACGGCTTGTGGACTACGATTTGGACGACCATCGCTCGTTGTTCCATTCTTTGGAGAGTAAGTCCTTATCACGATCTCCCTTTTGACTGTTGAGCACTAATATCATGCAGCCAGCTATTCTGGGGCAACATGGTTGCTTCCCGCGGCATTGGACCCATCCCAATCCCCCATCGCTCCTTGAACGCCGAGAACTTGGCGGAAGCTATCCGCTTCTGCTTGCATCCGGACACTTTATCAGCAGCAGAGGAGCTTTCCCGTCAAATGAGCCAAGAAGCCGGTGTATCTGCTGCTGTCGCATCATTCCACCGGAACCTACCAATGGCTGACATGAAATGTCAGTTCATGGACTCTGAGGCCGCTGTTTGGCGTTTGAAACAAGATTCCAAGAACTCCATGAATATGTCCAAGGCCGCAGCGGGAATCTTGATCGAAAACTCGCTAATTGATCCAAATGACCTCAAATCGTGTGTAAAGGAATGCCTCTATCAAATCAATCAGTTGAACTAACATATGTCACCTCTGCAGATATGAGAGCAACCCTATCTTTATTCAAACACGACGATGGGACCCCATCACAGGCGGAACCTCCTCTTTACTTGGGATGTATAAGGACATTCTTACAGCCTCAAGTGACGTGGTCATCCGACCGTACAAGGAACTCACTCGGCCCCGTCAGCAGAGTGAGCCTGAACTAGTTGTGATTGAATCTACGCGCGGCGAGTCATCCAACGAACGACGTCCCTCTGGGGCCACATCCCGAAGTTCCGGGTCTAACATGCAAGATGAAGATTGGAAAGTTGCCGGTAATGCCGTGGGTGGATCTGCCAAAAGTGTCGGGAGAATCATCGCATACTACTACAAGGGTGTGTTGGTTGACATCCCTGGAGCGGTCAACGAAGGGTTGAGAGCGGTTCCGCGACTCTATGGCGAGGATGTCAAGAGATACGATAACATCAAAGATTTCAAATCTGGTGTCGCTGCTGCAAGTGATAATTTCACTCATGGGTTTTCCCATGGGCTCACCGATATCTTCAGGCAACCTTACGAGGGTGGCCAGAAGGATGGCATTAGGGGGGCGATCAAGGGCTTTGTGAAAGGCCCAATTGGCATGGGCACAAAGGCTGCATCAGGTTCGTCATCAAAGTTCGATCAAAACTCCGTTTATTCCGAAATATTGACCCAAAATCGCAGGTGCTCTGGGTCTAGTGGCTTACCCAGGTCAGGGATTGGCTAAAAGCTTGCATTCCGCCATTCATTCAAAGACCCGGAAGGAGATTGTAAAGGCGCGATTGATTGAGTCGCAATATCTTGCCAGACACTCTTCAAAGGCGCAAACTATGTGTTCATACGTTCTAGACGCGTATGAGGTTCAACGGCAACCTTTGGAGTCTCGCAGTTCAACATAAGAGAGCATTCTTGGGTTTTTGAGTAGAAATTGTGTGGCACAGAACATAAACACTTGATCACTATTTCAATTAGGCTCCTGTATATACTACTTCGTACATAGAAAGAAGTTGGGCTGCAGAAGTGAGCCCTGTATTCCGAGCTCCGAAATCAACTCCGGATGATTGTTAAGAAAGCCGAAAGTGGATATACAACGCCTTCCCCTCTTTGATTTCCCGACACTTCACCAGAACCCTACATCTATCTAGTCTCGATAATGGCATCATCTGGAGTACAAAAGCCATTCCCTCAGCCAGCAGAGGGATCTACTCAGTCATTTTGGCGCACCGAGCTTGATCCTCTGGATGATCATCAGACCACGCCATTTCCCACAGAAACTGATATACTAATCATAGGCGGTGGGTATGTTGGTGCATCAGCCGCTTATTGCATCCTTGCAGAGAACAAGCAGGATGTGCCTCCCAGGGTGGCTCTTGTTGAGGCCCGAGGCCTTTGTTCTGGTGCCACCGGGCGCAACGGTCAGTCATTCCACCAAACGCGATGAGGTTCTAAACATCAGTCTTACATGAAACCAGGTGGACATCTGAGGCCCGATATTTACTCCGCCACTGCGCTGTTCACTGAGCGCTATGGACTTGAGGCCGCTGCGGAGGTGGTGAGATTCGAAATATCCCACCTCAAATTGGTGGAGGAATTGGTCCGCAAGGAAAACATCGACTGCGAGCTCACATTTACACGCTCCTACGATATGTATTATGACGAAGATCAGCTGAAGAAAGCGAAAAAGTTCTACGACTTTCTGGTCAATGAGGGACTCGACTTTATGAACGATGTGAAATACATGAGCCAATCCAAGACCCAAGAGGTATGTTCACATCAACAGCCCTCTGGTTTTGCAATATTTAATTGACAACTATTACGTGAAGGAAGCCCACGTCCGGGATGCAAAGGGAGGCTTCAGCTTCTCTACTGGGCATCTCTGGCCTTACAAGCTCATCACGCAGCTTGTGCGGATTGCCATATCCCATGGCCTCAATTTGCAAACACACACCTTGGTATCTGAAGTCGCAGAGACCCAAACTGTAGATGGATTCTGGCCAGTGACAACGAGCCGCGGAATCATTCATGCTCGTAAGATCATTTTCGCTACCAACGCATTCACCAGCGCCTTGGCGCCGCAGTATGCCAAAGCTATCGTCCCTTGCAAAGGAATCTGTACTCAAATAGCTGCTGCTCCTGGTGCACCACATCGGAACCTTCCCGGGACTTATGCCATTCGCCTTGGTCCTGGGGCATACATTTATCAGATCACACGCAAGGACGGCTCGCTCATCGTCGGTGGAGCGTCGCATACTTTCAAGAATGACGTGGATCAATGGCACAACAACCCAGACGATGGCAAGTTGATTGATGTTGGGGTTGATTTCCTCAAGGGATACATGCAGCGTACATTCCTGGGCTGGGAGGACAGTGGCGCTGAAGCGAAACATATTTGGAGCGGCGGTATGTACAGCCCGGGTGGTGGAGAAATATCATATTTTGCTAACGGTTTCATTCTCTCTAGTGATGGGATATAGTGCTGACTCGTTGCCCCATGTTGGAAGTGTTCCTGGAAAGCCGGGACAATTCATTGCAGCTGGATTCAATGGACATGGTATGCCTGTTGCCTTCCTCTCTGGTAAAGCGGTTGCCGATATGGCGCAGAAGTCGATCTCGTTTGAAGATACAGGGTTGCCCAGGTTGTTCAAGACATCGGAGGCTCGCCTGGAGCCGGTTTACGATGATACCAGATGAGAGCTGTTGTCTTGCTTTACGCAAGCCTGCTAAGATCATGTTGAAGATACTATTACTATTTCCGTGTTGTTATCTGTTTGTTCGAATCTTCCGTTAGACTTTGTGTGATACTTCAGCGTATTTGAGACTCGCTGGACTTCAGGAGAAGGGGGATGAAACAAGTATGACTTGTCACAAGTGTCGTTGTTAGCGGAGAGACAATGCATACAATGAGACCTGATACCAATGACAGGACTTGGTCAGACAAGTGAAGGCTGCCGGCGGACAAATGACGCCTGTCCAGTAATGGTGGGTGCTGGGTATATTTCCGACAATATGTACAAATGATGGAACGACTTCAGGACGTCAGGAGCGAGGAACATCCAGACTGTACTGGAGTTCCAAACCTTGGAACACCAAACGATCCAAAAGAGCTATGCAACGCTATGCAATGGGTGTTTCGACAGCCTTTTCCGCCAATGCCTTCAATGACCTCTTCTCCTTTTCGATTCCATTGCGCAGCTGCGCAGTATCACACAAATCCAAATTTCCACATTCGCAATCCCCATCTCGAAGCCAGCGGTACGTGATACTCCATCTCTTCTCACGGGGCCTCACAGTGCCATCAGCAAGAGTATCGTTCTTGCGCTTCCTGATACCGTGAGTCCAATGTAGTCTTGAGTCCCCACTCATCTGCATCATGCTGCGCGGCGTCAAGTCAACCTCAAGGCGCACATCGCCTCTCCGGAAGACCATCATGGCCGGTGCGCCAAGAGATAACGCATAGAGCTGATCATATGGCTTGTGCGCATCTACATGAGGGGGGATGCCCGCGCCTGGAGGATAGTACTGCAGACAGACTTGGTCTGGAGGGCGGTCCTCGGTTGTCGGAATAAGTGGTTGCAGCCATGTTGGGAATTCCTTAAATGGAATTTCCGGATCTATTCCAAATGTTTTATAGTCGAAGGTATAGCCGTAATGGAGTGATAGGCGGCCGTTGCGATCGGGCCATTCTAGCTCATTGAGAAAGACGGAGATAAGTCTTTGCTCGTGTTCGGCATCGATGAAATTATCTTGCCAGATAATTCCATGTGGCTCAATTGGCAGTTCCCTGAATTCGCCTGACATAGTCCTGGTGCATGAGATGTGAGTTACTTGGGGATCAAATTCGGATTTTCATGTGTATTGTTTACGGGTACTGTTACCCGCACTGTGCCACTTGTTCTCGGCAGAACTGCAGCATCTTTCATTACCTCCGGTATTCATCATACGCTCTACCTCATTGGGACAATTTGACGTCTTATCCAAACATCCAAGTTTCTAAAGTTTTTCCTTTGAGACATTGCTCCGTTACGAGTGTTACTTTCAAAGCTGTTCAGCGAGCTGGAGATTTGGAGGTATCTGGGCTAGTCTAGGCACTGAGATCACACTCATCCAACAGCATCGACTTCATCCATATGGATACGGGACCTGGCTTGGACTCCCATAGTTCGGCGAGCATGGACCTGATATTCACTACAAATTTGCCGCCGCTTTGGAATCTCTGGACGCCGACGACTTCGGGTGGCTTTGCCGGAAATTGCATCTTCCTGGTAGCCCTGGCTGTCTTTGGTCGGTGCCTCGGTGCTTTGGAAGTCCCCTTGAAGCGATAAAGTGTCACCGTGGGGAAATTTCATCACTCTGCAGCCACCAATTGCTCTTATCTTCCTGAAAGCATAGGCGACGACCTTGAAATACCACTTGAGATTGTTCCAGACTTTGGACTAGATCCGAACCCGACATGTCATGTGAATTGCTTTGTATCCTCAAGGCCCTCGTCACGTTTAAGTGTTCATGAAAGTAGGGAATAGAAACAAATACATCTCCACATTCACTCTCCAGGGCTCTGACCATCATTGTTTTGATATACAACGTCACGTGGGCGGGTAGATACGCCTAGGCAGCCAAAACGGTCTCGGGTTTATTTGCATTTTCAAATATCTGACGAGACATCCTGCAGCTGTATAATTAGCCACTATGGACCAATTCGATATCCTACGTCCTGTTGGTGAGCTGAAGCCTGTCAAAACACCCGGAAAACTGTTCCGGAAATCAGCTAACAAAACCAGGTCGACTGGAACAATATTCAACATCTCGTCACCAGGTGGGGTTTTATGTGAATGTCGCTGTAGCGGCAACATACCATTTACCAGATACATACGTTCTCCCAGTGAAAGACTATGTCTATCAAGCCTGTGAAGCCGCAATCGTTGAACATCCGGCTCTATCCGCCATCGTAGCAGACGATCACACCCAAGAGCCATACTTCGTGCGTCTGCCACAGCTGGATCTTGAGCGGATCATCTCGATGCAAGATCGGAAGCCTGGTCTGTTGGCCACTGAAGCCAATGGGGAGCCCGCCCCGGACCTCGATCTACAGACGCTTCTGGCAACAGAGCACAACACGCCTTTTAAGGCACCTGATGCTTTTTGGAGACTCCGGGTTCTCCTAGATGTAGAAGATGAGTCTCAGTTTACCGTGGTGTTTGTGTTCCACCACGCCATTGGTGATGGGACTTCCGGAAAAGCATTCCATCAGACTTTCTTGCATGCCCTGGGTTCAATAGGTGACTCGGAGAAGACAAAGTCAGTCATTGATTCTCCATCAAATCCACTTCTGCCCAACATTGAGCGTATCTCATCGATGTCTCTGTCCTTCTTGTATCTCGCCAAGAAACTTTTCCAGGCGAAGGTCTACTCCCATCGCCCAGCAGGGCTATGGTCTGGCTCGAAGATCATGGCTCCCACTCAGACCCGCGTGAGACTCGTTCCCTTTTCAAAATTACTGGTCTCGGCCGTCAGAGACCTCTGTCGAGCCCATAAAACAACCATCACCGCTCTGTTGCAGACAGTCGTCGCTCGCGCACTGTTTGCCAACATCCCAGACTCATTCACTCAGCTGGTCTGTACAGGTGCACTTTCATGTCGTCGTTGGCTACCGGAAATCACAGATGAAATGATTGGCGTGTGGGTTCAGGGATTCGAGGAGTCATACAGCCGAGATGCTGTTTCGGCCCTATGGGACGAGGCTCGAAGATCTCGAAAGAAGATTGAGTCCGTGCTGAAGATGAAGGGCAAGGATGCCAGCATCAATCTCCTACAATTCGTCGATGACTATCAACAGGAATTGTGTTTGTCCAAGATTGGCAAAGAGCGGGATACCAGCTTTGAAGTCTCCAATATCGGTTTCGTCCCTCCACAGATGAGCGCAGACAAGCCTGCCATTCACGGCATGGTGTTCTCGCAGTCTGCTAGTGTCATGGGCAATGCTGTTGAGTTTTCGGCTGCTACAGGCGGTGATGGGTGTTTGGTGTTGTCCGTTTCGTGGCAGCAGGGTGTTGTGGAGCCGGATCTCGTCAATGAGGTTATTGAGTCCGTCAAACAGGACCTTTATGCTCTTGCTGAGATCTCATGAGCTATTGTATTACTATAGATCCACCAGTTGTAATGTTTAATCTCATCTTCAGATGTTATCAAGCGGTGAACGAGAGCCGAGGCGGCAGAATCGAGGGGAAATCAACAGATTCTCGATTCGATCTCATCCCTCTCCGTTCACTTTCTACTCTTACAATTATTCAAAATGGCTCGCGCTCCTTTCGTTGTCCCCGCGCTCAAGAAGCATACCGCCACCGTCATCATGGCGCACGGGCTGGGAGACAGGTAAGCGCAATTTCCAGAAGACGATAACACCGACTAACAATATTTGAACGCAGTGGACAGGGATGGTACGTCGTGACCCAGAACCGGAGACTATGAATCAATTTTAACACCGACCAGGATGGCTCTCGCCCAGAACTGGCGCCGCCGCGGCAAGTTCGAGGAAGTGGCATTCATCTTCCCCAATGCGCCCTCAATCCCTATCACAGTCGTACGTCCACATGCATATGCATCTCGCAATCTCGACAGCAGCTAACACATACAGAACTTTGGTATGAGCATGCCGGGATGGTATGACCTTGCCAAGCTAGGCCGCGACGTAAGCCCTCCACCCAGCCCTGGAACACAACTCGATCTGAACTAACGTGGTACAGCTCGACTTCGAGGAAATGGTCCGCACCCAAGATGAGCCTGGCATTCTCCGCTCACGCGAGTACTTCGATAAGCTTATTAAAGAGGAGATGGATAAGGGTATCAAGGCGTCGCGTATCATCCTGGGTGGATTCTCACAGGGTGGTGCGATGTCCGTGTTCACCGGACTCACAAGCAAGGAGAAGCTCGGTGGTGTCTTTGGACTCTCGTGCTACCTGCTGTTGAGCGACCGGGTTAAGAACTACCTGCCTGAGGAGTGGGCTAACAAGAAGACCCCGTTCTTCCTGGCTCACGGAGAGGATGATGAGGTTGTGCGCTTCGAGTATGGTCAGAAATCCTCGCAGATGCTCAAGGAGATTGGATTGGAGGATGTCAAGTTCAACAAATACGAGTATGTGAATCCGTTGTGCCTGGCTTGGTGTCTTGCTAATTGTTCTGCAGGGACCTGGGCCACTCAGCTGATCCTAAAGAGATCAACGATCTTGAGATGTTCATTGAAAAGTCTCTTTCAGAGAACGCATCTGCCGGTCTCTGACTTGGTGAAGAGGAAAAGACAGGACCGTGGGGATTCGCGTTGGTATTAGGCCTCCTGGCTCTGGTGCTTGCAATCGCCTGGTCTAGATATAAACATACACGCACCGAGAAGTCCGACTGAGGCTGTGCCAAAGTAATACATGCATTTTGCAAGATACCAATATACTATAGCTTATATCCGAGCCTCAGGCCTTGGCAATCGCCTCGTTAATCACCCGGGTCATCTCCTCGGTGTTTTTCGGGTCAAAGGCCACCATGTGCTTCATGCCATGGTCATGGAAAGAAGCCTGCGATGGTTCGCAGATTTCCAACAACTTCATGCTCTCAGGCAATACATGGTCCAACTTGCCGACAATGTTCGCAGTCGGAATCTTCAGCGGGTAGTCATCCTTTCGCACCAAACGCTCCAATCCACTGGGCTCCCAGGGTGCTGCACCGCAAATAAAGACCGCGACACGGAACAATGGTGGTTCCGCCGGGCGCGTCCTGCTGTGGTGAACTATCATGGATGCGGCAAGTCCAGCACCCTGAGAGAACCCTAGTACACCTTCAAAAGGATCACCAGTGGCCTTTTGGGCTTCAATAATTGCTCTTGTATGCTGGAATGCTTCCATCACGGTTGCTCCTGGCGATTCACCACGGGAGTAGTGGTTGAAGAAGGGGCCGTCGACAAGGCCCTCCAGTTCTGGCGGGGTTAGATTGGAGGGGTCCAAGGCTCGTAGTTAGGGGGGGTTGTGGCACACCATCTTCTACTTTCGCAGGCTGGCTGCCGTTCACATAGGTAAACCTATGGCCATCCTCGGAGAGCTTTTGGTACAGTCCTCCAGTTTGGAGTTCGAGGATCTAACCTGTGTTAGCTCGAGTCCGATAGCCCTGGGTACGAGGTACTCACATCACCGTTGGTACCGGCGCCGTGGAGACAGAGAAAATGCATTGTAGAGAAGATAACTAGGTGGGATTGCTGAGTTGGCCGGAAAACCAAGAAAGACCACTTTTCAAGGTGAAGTGGACAAATATATATTTTTCCAGCGCACGATACGTCCGATGCAGGAGTTCAGCTATGGGTTTCTGCACGGAATAGCTTGCAGCATCTTGGCCGCAGTTCACAATGGTGCTCAACTGGTGCAGGAAAATAGTCCTTAAATTTTATTTTGGTTTTTAGTAATATTGGAAATATTATCATATTTATAATAATTGATTAGTTGGCATCAGCCGAAGCCCGCGGAGTATTGGGCCCATTTATAGCATTTATAGCATTGCTGGCATAATATCCGATTCAGATAGATACCCCTAACCAGGAGCACTCTGTAGCTCACCAGAGCTAGAGGCTAGATGCTGGGCAAGTCGTACGGAGTATTAAGCATGAGGTGCTCCGTAAGCTTCCAAGCTTACTAGACCGGTTGAAAATGCACACATTTAACTACTTCTGAAATTCTTCAACCCTCACAATCCTGAAATCTGATCTATCTCCAGGCTTTCGTTATGATCTCATTAACTTTACTGAGCTATAGCGACTCCGAACTTCAACCTCGGCCGAGGCTCCATCCGATCCGACCTCAACCAACCTGAACACTCACCTGGGCATGGATTTTCGAGACATCGCAGCCGTTCGTGGCTTTGCTACCTACAGCCTCCGCCATCCCCGTGAAGCCCTCTCTAGCTTTGGTCCAACCCTCAATGAAACCACCCTCGGCGCTCTTGGGGCCTCGTTCCAGCCGGAGCGCGACATTCGCAGTCTAGAGGACAAGGTCGTCCTGGTGACAGGAGGTAAGCCTTCGCACCACATCCAGGGTAATTCCTGAGATATATGGCTAACACGACCCAGGCAATGCAGGAATAGGCAAAGAGACAATTCTCCAACTCGCAAAGCACCGCCCGTCACGCATCTACATGGCCGCCCGCACGGAGAGCAAAGCACGCGAATCAATTGCCTCCCTCCATAGCCAGCTTCCCTCCGCCGATATTCGGTTCCTCTCCCTCGATCTGTCCTCATTTAGCTCAATCCGCGCGGCCGCACAGAAATTCCAGTCCGACAGTGGCCGCCTGGACATCTTGATCCTGAATGCGGGGACAATGGGGAACCCGCCTACGACGACGGCGGAGGGCTTCGAGATCCAGCTCGGCACAAACCATATTGGACACTTCTTATTCACGAAGTTGCTTCTGCCCACCCTTTTGAAAACTGTTGATATCCAGCGCGCCAAGGATGAGAAGCCCGATGTCCGGGTGATCACAGTCGCGTCGGCCGCCCACGCCGTTGGCCCTTCCTCTTTTGAGGGATTGACATCTACTCCTTCATTACTGAATGCGAGTACCTGGACCCGTTATGGTGCCTCCAAGTCGGCGAATATCCTCTTTGCCTCCGAGCTTGCCCGTCGGTATCCGGAGCTTACGTCTGTGGCTGTTCACCCTGGTGCTGTGGATAGCGGCCTCTATGGACATACCAAGGACCTGAGCTCGATGATGAATTATTCTCTGACGGCTCTTGGATCTATGTTCTTCCGGACCGTTGCTACCGGTGCTCTCACTTCGCTCTGGGCGGCTGGCTCGCCTAAAGACCGCCTTGAGAATGGAGCTTACTATACTCCTGTTGGATATCGCAGCAATGGTACTGCCGTCGTCCAAAATGCCGAGCTTGCGAAACGGCTTTGGAACTGGACCGAAAGCCAGGTTGCGGACAAGTCCTGAGCAAGGCATGGAGTACGAGTACTCGACCCATTATTTAATATCTGACATGACTGAATGAATATATTGTTGTTTATATATCGATTTACTTGGACCATACGCTCACCACTCATCGCATTCAATGCCGGGATGCGGAGGCAAATGGCATCATGATGATTTCGATTTCGGTCATCTTGTGCCTCAACCCAGCAGTTTTTACAGAGCTCCTCTACACCCCTCCATCTCGGTGATCTAGCACCCATTCTCTATCAAACCGGAAATGGGCCGCATCGTCGTGACCGGTGGCTCCGGCAAGGCTGGTCAGTTCGTAATCGCCGAGCTCCTCAAACACGGCCATATCGTCCTCAACCTGGACCTCAGCCCCATGGACCATCCCGAAGTCTACACTCTGAGAACCGATCTTGCGGACAGCGGCCAGGTCTTCAACGCGCTATCCGGCCAATGGTCCCTTCAAGAGCCCTTCCCGGAAGGTCTCCCGCCACGCCCAGATGCCGTCGTCCACCTTGCCGGCTACGCGCGTAACATGCTTGTCCCTGACAACGAGACCTTCCGCTCCAACGTTCAGGGCACCTACAATATCATCGAAGCAGCGTGTAAATTGGGAATTCGCAAAATCGTGCTCGCGTCCAGCGTCACCGTCTACGGTGTCTCTTTTGCTCAAGGCGACGCCAATTTCCCTTCATTCCCCATCCACGAGGATCTGGACGTCAATCCGACGGATACGTATGCAATTGCGAAGCTCTGCAATGAGCGCATTGGGCGTGGGTTTGCAGAGCGTTTCAATGCGGACATCTATAGTCTGCGCATTGGTCGGGTCATCGAGCCTGAGGAGTACGATGGTGAGATCTTTTACAGCTATGTCCATGAGCCATTGTTGTGGAAGGTACATGGATGGTCGTATATTGATGCTCGGGACTTGGGGGGTATGTGTGAGGCTGCGTTGCGGAAGGATGGACTTGGGTTCCAGGTCTTCAACGCCACCAATGATCACATTACTAATTTGAGTCCTACGAGGGAATTCCTGAGCAAGCAGTTTCCGAACATTCCCATCACGAGGGATTTGGAGGAGTTTGAGGCGCCGTTCTCGAATGCGAAAATCAAGGATTTGCTTGGATTTCGAGAGCAGCATCCGTGGAAGAAATACTTTAGCAAGTGGGAGAAGAGGCAGAAACAGATGGCCGTGTAGAAATTGGACAGTATGTTGGACTTTTATACGATGGATCTATGTAATTGGTAGTTGATATAGTTGATATAGTCGGTATAGCCGGTATAGTCGAGGCATCGACCCGATTAGGGTTTAGCCGAGCATCATTCCCACAACGAAAAGGAATCAGAATGGAAAATCATCATCGGCCCAAAAGTAGAAAGAAACACCAGAAATCAATCAAGAATACTCCTCACGATGTTAGTAGATGTAAATATGAAGTTGTAAAGACAGCGTCCTTATTAGCGAACCCGATTTTGACCCCCCACACAAAACTCTCGTGCATCATCATTCCCACTACACGATCTTCCCTCTCCATCTCTCCCACCCCCCAACACTTTTTAACGGTACGCGACCTCTCGACTTAAGCCTGGAATTGCTGAAGAATTTCTCGTTCGCCTTGGAATTATTCGCAATTTCTCCGACCCTCGAACCACCGGCTAACTCCTCCCCAGCACTCCCACATTCATCATGGATCAGGCAAAGTTGGCTAAGCTCCAGGCCATGTCGGCCAATGCCCGCATTGGTATGTGATACTGGAAGAAATAAGATCGGGAGCCTATTAAACACCAATGATATCTGGATTGCTGGTCCATTTGGCCATTCGAGCAGTTGGATGTGGATTGGGATTTTGGTAGCTCTTCGTGACAATTTCCGTTCCCTCCAATCTACCCCTACCCCCTCCACTGAAATTTTAACTAACTCCGTTTCTGCAGGGTACGTATCCTCACCTCCACCCTGAGATTCTCGTCTCGTTCTGTCGGATTTCCCAAATCGCGATCGCAATATGCATTCCCGGATTCCGGATCCGCGTTGCGCCGACCATAAAACCCCTCTTTCGATATACTCATATACTAATAATTCGCAGTGGCAAGGGTACCCCCCGCCGCAAGGTCAAGAAGGTTGTCCGCAACTCCGGTGCCGATGACAAGAAGCTCCAGGCTGCTCTTAAGAAGCTGAACGTTCAGCCCCTCCAGGGTATTGAGGAGGTTAACATGTTCAAGGAGGACGGCAACGTCATCCACTTCGCCAACCCCCGTGGTGAGTAACATCTCTTGTGACCGGGACGATTCAAAAGAGACTAATTCGCGTAGTTCACGGTGCCGTTCCCTCCAACACCTTCGCCCTCTACGGTAACGGCGAGGAGAAGGAGCTCACCGAGCTCGTCCCCAACATCCTCAACCAGCTCGGCCCCGACAGCCTGGCTTCCCTCCGCAAGCTCGCTGAGAGCTACCAGAACATGCAGAAGCAGCAGGGTGATAAGAAGGACGACGAGGAGGATGATATCCCCGACCTCGTTGAGGGCGAGAACTTCGAGTCCAAGGAATAAATATTTAAAAATTCGTTCCATGATCAATGAAATTGCAGCTCGCAGAGAGCCTTTTTTTTGTTGAAACCTTACTGGGTCATATCAATGCATTCGGAACCTATTGCGCAATTGTTGCATGTCGAGTGTTTTTTTGACAGCGACTTCTTGTTTCTTCGTTTTCCTGCGGCTATCGTACAATTCCATCTGGGGACTGGATACCGTTACTATTCTAGATTGCCCCCCGTATCAAACTAATGGCTCTCTCTTTCAATTCTCCTCCTTCAACCCACACATATCAGTATGCAAGAGACAATCAAATGTGTACCAAAACCTCCAATACAAGCTTGATGTGTCCCAATCGAACAGGCCGTCCTCTCGAAGTATCGGTCCCTCGCCAACGATATCGCCCGTGAACCAACTGAGAATGGGAATCGAGCGCAAGACACGCTCTGTCATCGTAGGTTGTGGGGGAAGGGCCTCGGCAAGAGGGCGTAGTTTGGTACGGCGCACGGTGGGGATATGCGTCATGAATTCACTGTCGGGAGGCTGCTCGGTTGTGGAACCTGTTTGACGGCGATTCACTGCGCCCTGATCGGCGCTGGTGCCCGAGTTCCATGTTGAAAATGAACTGGACACACCTTGCTGGAAAGATGATGTGGCGGTTACGGTTGCAGATGTTGCGGTGGATGTGATGGTGTCTGTGTCGGCGAGGGTGGAGGAGTCGTTGGATTGACCTTCTGTTTCTGAGACGTCTGGGACGCTGGAGAGGTTGTTCATCGCAAAGGAGCGAGGCAACGTCATGCGCTCCTGCTCTCTGCTGGGATTGGACAGGAATGCAGTTGAGTGGGAGGTGGTCAACGTGCGCGCAGAGCGCTGCTGTCGAGTGTTCGCAGCGGAGTTTGCGGGGATGGGGGCATCCTCTGCCGGGCCGTGGCCATTGTAGAGCTCACAGTAGACATCATGTCCGTCGATTAACTGCGGCGAGTAGAAGCACGCGCGATCTGCCGCATCGGTCGAGTCGTAGGTGACTTTGATCCAGTGGTAGCCACCGGCGTAGCGCTTGGATTTACGGTTGGCGTCGGCGGACAGGTTTCGGATCACGACGTCGCCGCCGCTTAGTAGCTGGGTGTATTGGCTTGAGGCGTTGGGGTCGGTACGAGGGTAGTCTTCGCAGATCATGCCCTGGGAAATGCGCTCGTATTTATCGATGACTTTCCACTCGTGCTCCTTATCCCTGTATCCGTATAGTATGCACTCGGTCGCGACGAGCTCCTTCTGCTTGCGTGGGTTGTCGAGGCTGTTTGATGAAGCTGACTTGGGCAAGCCATGTGTTTTCTCATCGTCCTGCTGTTGCATTGCGAATAGTCGCGAGAACTCGGAGACATTGGCATTTTCTCGCTTGGCTGGCGTTCCAGTTCGTGTTCGTGAGCGGGCATTATCGTATCGGGCATTTCGCCTCTTGCCAAAGGGACCTGACTCTTCGGCTGGTCGTCGAGGATTGCGAGTTTCGCTGAGCGGGTGGGTTAGCATGAGCTACAAGCTGTGTAGCGATCATCGACGTACTCTTTATGGACATATCCCCAAGGAAGAAGGTTGCCCTTCTCGTCTCTGGCGCGCTCCTCTGGTGGGACAGCGTGGTACTCCATGGCAGGTGTGAAGAGAGATGAAAGGAGAATTCGAGGGACCAAAAGCTTGCGCAGATCCACAACTTTTGTGGTAAACAGTGGTTCGCCGGGATACGGTCACGTGACACTTTCACTTTCGTCTTTGTTTTTCACCTTTTTGATATTTCTACATACTTAGTGTCAAGGAGCAGAGCAGGATCAGATTCTTATAAGGCTAGGAGCAGATACAGACGGCAGACAGACAGGCAGACAGACAGACAGCAGGGTACGGAATGGAGACAGGACGTAACTCGAAGAGCTACAACAGGATCAGGAACAGTACAGTTTAAATACAGGAACAGAGGCAAACAGTCATGGCAGAATCCAGGCTGAGGAGTACTGCGGCTTCGCACCGTGACAAATTGCCTGTTTGTCTTATTTGACCAACCCGTATAACCCGTATACTCTCTCTCTCCTTTCTTTCTTTAGCTTTAGTCTCTTTAGTTGAATGGACCTTCCTTGAAGACTGCCGCATCACATTGCTACTACAATTAGATTATTAGATAAAAAAAATAAAAGATTATTCTAAGAACAATCAATCGATTAAATCCAACACTAAGATTATAAGATTTCTAACTAAACAATAAATAATAAAGAAACCAATTAAATAAACAAAGGGGAATTAGTATATATTTCTTAAAACAGATAAACTGACGGAACTCAGAAGCTGAGCTCAGATCTTGGACAGGAGTAGTATGAGAATCGGAGGGTTGGGTGCTTCTAAGTAAAGTTGGGGGATAAAGCATCCACACCCGAACCCGGGAACCCAATCCTCCCAAATTCTCTCAGTAGCTCTCTCTCCCCTTTCTTCCCCTAGCTTTAATCTCTTTAGTTGAATGGACCTTCCTTCGAAGCCCGCTGCCTCACACGTGATGCTGCGCTTGAAGATGGACTAGATCTTATGCAGGTTCATGAGGATCAGGATCCACAGTTCTTCATAAAGAATGGCGTAAAAAGAGGTATTGCTCGGCGTTTCGTTGGTGACATTAATTACTGGGTCAAACATTACAACTAGAATATGAGCACCTGTAGGATTGACGCCGAAAATGATCGCTTTTGAGGCCAGAAACGGCTGCCTTTCCACACCTAAGCTATGTCGCGCATTACATTATTCCAAGGTCCCCGGAAGCGTTGTCTGTAACATAGACACCATCCAAGAGCAATTGCCACTGCAATCGCAACACCGACCAAAGCTCCTACCAAGGCAGCATGACTTTGGTGATCAGGTCTTTCTGGTTGCTCAGAATTAGGTTTTAAAGTACTTGGTTCGTAAGGTGTATGGAGCCAAGCGTCATTGTCGTCATGTAGGTGGTGTGATCCCTAGGGATGGGTAGAGCAAAGTACCTAACCCTTCTGAAGCCGAAGGACTCTACAGCGCCTAGGTAGTTATATCAATTAAACCTAATTCAGGAATAATATGTCATCGATGATCCTCTTACAACCCTATAAATCCCCCCACACCTTGCAATTTCTTAGTGACCAAGTACCATTTGTTTCGGCAGGACATACTAAAGTAACCCACACAAAAGCTATCCTCAGGTAAGGATTACTGAACATACGAGTGAACAACAGTGATGATTGACTGGCATAAAATATATAGAGCCCACATTCACCGGCTACTTAAGTATGATTTCTAGGATGTTTGTTCGGTCTATAAGAAGTGAAAGGACTTGTTACTATTCAATATTGAAGTGTACTGGAACAGTCAGATCCACCTGGATATCACAGAAACTGAGTAAGCAATTTACGGGGATCGCTCTCATGCATGACGCCGATACGGACACGGCTTTTCCTCGGTTTCATGGAAGCCCGCTGCGTGCGGAGGTCCTCCTCTACTCTCTCGACCCTTTTCTCGTACTTCGAAACGTCTATCCCTGGCACCGTCTCGCGCAGGAACTCTGTTAGCCCGCCAACTACCTCGACAAGACTAGGGTCAAAAACGGGTATTTGTTGTTGTTGTTGCTCGTGTGCAATCTCGGCAGAGGTTGGACGAGTTCTGACAAATGAGTATTGTAGTAAGATATCATCGTCGTCACTCGAAATGCTGCCTTGTTGATTCAGAAGGAGCATCCAGCTGCCAGGGTGTATATCTCTGGCTCCGACTCTTGATTCATCACTTGCTGCGAGGTGGCTGCCAAAGAATTCAGTGGGAATGGGGCTCACAGCGAACCGTCCTGGTGATACAGATGGTGGCGACGCTATGTCGTCGTTGGTGGTGGTGAGTGACGAGGAGACTTCCCCGCATGCGAATCGCAAGATGGCCTTGTCAGAACCCGAACCCACGGAACGGAGGTATGATAGAAATCGGACGGCAAAGCGCTCGGGGTCTAGAAGGGTGTTGCCCATGTCGTAATAGTGACTGTTCTGGTGGTCTGCGTCTGCGGCATCTTCGCGCTGATGACCCACAAATGTGAGCATGTGCATCACAGGAAATATTTGGGCAACGGGGGAAGAGTGAGTGAAAATAGTAGCCGAGGGCGATGTGAATTTAGGGCTGCGCAAGGATGTCGAAAAGGCGCAAGTCGGATAGATGATTCTGTCGCGGAGCCACGCCAAGTCTGCTGATGAACCTCCTGATGACGTCCCCCCCAGTAGCAGCTGCGTGAAAAAACGAGCAGAGGCGTCATCGCTGTGCCTGTCCGGTCCTTGGACAAAACAGAGCTGTTTGAGGGTCTTGGACTGCGCCAGAGCCGCTACTAGATCACTGAGGTCTCCCTCGTCTCCCTCCACCTTGAACTTATCGACGCAGAGACTAAGCGCAGACGCGCCTCGAAGTTCTTCAGATGCAATCGCGGCAGCGATCACGGCAGGCGCGAGGTTCCTAAACGCAACCCAGTTGAGGTGCGTTTGTCCGGCGTATGCAACGCGCAGAATATGGCCCGAGGCCTCGGAGGACGGTCACAGGCTATGGGGCACCTCTTCGAGCCGCCGCCGCAGCTGCTCGCGGAACTCGGCAAGCTTTTGAAATTTGTCGATTGTCTCCTCATCGAGGTGAAGATCGGCGGGATCCTGTGTGAGAATCAGCAGATTATCGATAGCGCGGTCCATGTGCGTATTTCGCGGCGGCTCGTTTGACGTAGTCAAGCGTGAGGGTGTTGTGGTCGATGCATCTTTAGCGCTAGTGGTGGACTTTGAAGGCCAAAAGTCTTTTCCATAAGTCAGTAAATGCCGTAAGCATATGTAAAAATAGAGAAGCACGAGTGATCTACAGACAATTGGAGATGCTTGAGATGACACCTAGCGAAGATTCTCCAGCCTGATCTTCGCCTCTAGGCTGATTTTCAAGCTCCGGGGGCCAGATGTCTACCATTACCAAGTCAGCTCATGCACATCATCTTGATACTAGAGATAGTAAGGTGGCGAGGAAACAGACTTACAGTCTAAGGCTGCAGCATAAACAATCGGCGTATTCTTCAGTATCAGGAACTTGGGGTCCTCTTCCAGGTTCATGTGGTAAAAGTACTTGCGTAGCCACGGAGAAATAGCCAACGGCACTCGAGGCCGCGGGCTAGCAAGTACAGTGTCAGGCTCCTTCTCAGGCGGGGGGTCTTCAACTGGATCCCAGCCACCAGTCTCACACCAATAGGAGACTTCGGCCATATAACGCACGGGGAAACCAACGATGCCGTACTTGACGCCGCTATCAAGGTCGGAGATGTCGAGAACGACAAGGCCATACTCGAGGCAGTCAGCACGGAACAAAGTGGATAACGGCTGGAGCTGAACGTCGCCGGGGCGCGTGCTGATGCTATTAGTGGCATTAGAATCGCCATCGTTGCGCAATAATGCCAGCAAAAGGCAGGTCGTTGTAAAGGGAAACTCGCTGAGCCCATCATCATGCCATGGCAGCTCGGGCTGTATTTGCGACTGCTCTTCCTCCTGGGAGCCATCAGGTATAACGAAAGGAGGCTGCGGCCTGTCTGGAATGCTAGGCCGCTCATTACTCTCAGCCTCGTTGTCACCCTGAGACCGACCATACCAGCCCTCCGCGAGTGCCCTCTCCGCCTCAAGTGGCGCGCGGTTCGCGGGATCTGAGAATATTTTGATTAGCGCAAGGATGTCTGCCACAACATTCTCAACACGTTCCGAAGATGATACTGAGATGTCCTTATCGTTGCCCTGCCGGTAGGCCACGGCTAGAGAGCGGCTGGCTCCGTGGGGGCCGACATTGGCGACAACGGAGAAGAGGAAGGAGCGGGGACTTTTGGAGTACAGACACTCGTATCCGAACATTATATTATCTACAAGAGGGGACGATTGACATGAGCAAATGGTCCAGATAGCAAACAGCTGGGAAAGAAGGAGAGGAAAAGTGCATCAGCCTAACATTTAGCTTAGAACAGCCTCGTATAGGCGTCTGGCAAAAGACCGCTAGCCTTGGCCTAGCGGGACAAAGTGATGGGGCCAAGCGATGGCTTCTAGACCTCGCCATATTGCTTTTTTGGGTACCCATAGGGTACCCGCGAACCCGCCAAGAACCCATGACTCAGTAGCTACTGCTACTATTTATTAAATTGTATATAAAAAAACTATTCGCCAAACTAATTATTCTATACAATAATAATCAGAAAGCAATCATACTAACAAAGAACCTTAAGTACCTACTTAAGTAGGTATTATATATATACTAAGCACATCAAAATCCGATATCACTTCCAGTGCGAAGAGATCGACGCTGGAAACGTGCTTTTTGACTACGTGTCTTCTAAGGAACAAGCCGCCGACGGCCTTACTAAGCCACTTGTGAAGGTCAGCTTCGCACGGTTTGTCAGTCAACTGGATATGGAACCTTGCAAAGGGGTCTAATAAACATGGGGGGCGTTTGCGATGTCTGCCTCAGGTGCCCACTGTAGATAACCAGCCTAGCTAGCTTAGATCTTCTCTCTCCTCTTAATCCAATCAACTATCGTTCCAAGCAGTATCCTGGTCTAGTAACCCTTCCCTGCTGAAGACTCGCAGGCACATCATACCATTGATAGAAGCTATTAGAGCTACAAAGGCACGAACGGTGTCTTTTTGTCTACTTGTCTACTTGATATATCAATTGACCCACGTGGGGTAATGAATTATACTCCTTCAATGACTCTTAACTCCGAGCTCTTGTCCAAACTGTTCTTGCTCAGAAGGATACCAATAACGATGGTGGGACGTATCACGTCTTCGACTGTGTGTTCGACTGTGTGTCCGAGTGTTTCTTTGACTGCGTCTCCGCCGGTCACTTTTTGAGTGGGTTCTCTTGCGGCGGCGTCTTCTAGTACCTCGTCCGCTGCACTTTTTAGAAGATAGAATCCGACTCGGATGGAATATTAACAGTATGACCATCATGATGAACATCAGGGCACCGTCAAAAATATACAGCCAAAACTCATGGGCTTGTAGAGCGCCGTTGGTGCCTTGCAAAAATTCGACCATTCGAAATGCTGATCTCCCGAGAATGAGACCGTTGGCTACATAAAGAACGTATAGAAACCGTTGCCATGGCATAGTGCGAACTTGCCTGCCTTGAGGCGGGTTGGTAACCATTCGGAAGTGAAAAATGGCTGAAATAAGAATAAAGACCGCAAAAAAGACAATCTGAATTCCTAAGCCGGCGACGATTATCCACTTGCCTACTTTTTGGGACTTAGCTGTTTTGGCCTGGGCGAGTAGCCCACCACCTAGTGACGTTTAGAGAGAGAGGCCCACTTTGAAATGATAGGGACACACGTACCACCGGCCTGCACGAAGAAGGAGATAATATCACCAACTACAAATGTTCGGGTGATCCATCGTCCAGGGATAGGAGATCTTGAATGACCATCAGTGAACACGATGATTCGGCCGAGCGTGATGTAAATCGAGGCCGCAAAAAAAGCCGGAGCAACCAACAGTAGCAACGACTGCATAATGTAAGGGCCCGTTGCCCAATTGGGCGTCTCCTTGCTATTGATGACTCGTCCGATATACCCCACGGTCTCAACTGTGTCAGGTGAGATCTTTGTTTTTAAGCAGTGGGGATTAAGAAAACGACTTACAAATCCCCCCAATAACGAAAGGTGTGAAAAAGAAGATACGGCCGATCAGCAGGCGGATCAAATGTAAGGCTGTGACTACACCAAAGCATACTGTTGCGGCCACGGCGGCAACGAGGGAAGGATCATAATGATAGAGATTATAGGTTTCGATGGCCATTTCACCTAAGTCCGTATAAGCTCAAAGAGACAAAAGAATCAAGCGTGAAGAAAAGGGGTGAACGTTAGCTTTTAGTTATGAGTATTTCAATCTTAGCTCACGATATCGTATTCGTGGTTATGGGTCGTTTGGGCGTAGCCCGAGAACAATACTTGTACCTTGAACCTAATAAAAAGGTGACACACTTTTCACTTGAATAAATCATTTAACATTCGAGTTATCGTGGTTTAAGATCCTTTTCAATTCTATTTTTTATCTTTTTGCCCAAAGTGGAGTACTTTCGTAATCGTAAGTAGAGCCCTATAAGTAGTTGAATACGAGTACTCGTATAAGGATATGAGAATATGAGGCACTAATAATAGTGACGGTGCAGAATAGTCTATTATCACTACGAGTAGCCCATTCGTGGGTTGGGGCGGGTTGGGCTTTGCGATTTGTGGGCTGGTGGGGAGGTCTGATGGTTCATGATTGTTGCCTTGAATATGTACTTTAAAGGTCAGTATATCATTCCTCAATTGGTCATAGTACGAAGTGCTACCCATATTGTGCCGCGATGCTCCAGGTTCGTCTACGGAGTAGCTCTCTATCATTTATGTAAAACGCTAAAAGGATTCTACGCTCCAAGTTCCTTAAAGGCTCCCTTGCTCTTCTGCTTTGATCTCTGTATTCGACGCTTGACTCTGAGATGTTCTCTTCTCGTGTGATCCTTGCTACTCTCTGCGCTACAGTGGCTGCAGCTGTCACTCCACCTCACAGCTACGTTCTTCCCTCAGGTCAGGTTAACGGCACCTCTCTGATCGACTGGACTGTTGGCCAAGGGGACCGAGCCTTCGATGGACCCCACGTCAGTGTGAATAACGGCTCCGCCTACCAATGGTGATACTTTGATGCCGTGTCTTCCATTGGTGATGCCGCTCTGACTGTTCAATTCTACCCTGCCTTGACTTCGGCGGCCCATGTCATTCTGTTCAACGCTGTTTGGCCCAACGGCACGACTGTGACCCAGCTAGTTCCAACTGGGGACCTTGAACTCATGACCATTGGCGATGGGTCGCAGGGACGGGTTGGAAATGATGCCATGACTTGGTTTGGTTCCGATGACTTGACTTCTTATCACATCACAGTCAATCTCCCAGCGCCCTACAACATTGCCGGTTCAATCTCCCTCCAATCTAGAGCCCCGCCTCATGTGGCGTGCAGCCTAAAAGAGAAGGGTGCCTCATACCACCTCACCCCGACTTTGGGTTGGGCCAACGCCATTCCGGATGCGGTTGCCACGGCCAGCTTCACCATTGCAGGAACCCCTCTGACCATAACGGCAGGAAATGGCTATCATGATATGGTGGGTCTAATCTTGAATCTCGCTGCAATGTAGCAGCAGAATGGAGTATAGTCCGCTAACGATCAACAGAATTGGGGCCCCATTTCTTACAATGTTAACCTCACCGAATGGTACTGGGGCCACGCCTCAATCGGCTCCTACTCCCTCGTTTGGTTCTACCATATAGATGGCCACCAGAGAACTACCACCAGTGCTTATCTTTCCCAAGGCCAAAAGGTCCTTCGATCCAGCTGTGACCACAACAGCATAGTTGTCCGTCCGATTGGTCCTAACATTACCTTCCCGACCACGGAAAATGCAAACATAACCGGTTGGTGGATCTCGATCAATGGGGACGAAGAACATGTTACCTCTTATGAATTTGAGATCAAGAACGTACACCACGCGCAGAAGACAGGAGCATATGATCGGTGGACCGGAGCCGTGACCGGTGGACCTGTAGGAATGCAAATATCGACTGGTTCAGCAATTGCTGAGCGGATGTTTCATTCCTGATGGATAATTGACAGGTCCATGGAAACATGTAAGGCAGTTATCAGATTAAAGCGATAGAGAACCCTTTATAAACAGATTTCCTGACATATTCGCCGTTTTTGGGCGCCTCGCTATCTATAAATGAACAACACTGGGTTCTTCTAAAGCTGTGTTTTTCGATCATCATCAGTTTATCTTTCAAATTATGAATGAACTTTCATCATCGTAGTCCATCAAAGTGCTAATCATACAATCTATTGCCAACGACGCCCGACAGATACACGGCTTTGCGAGAGCATGGAATCAGCCTATGTCCTCCAACCCAAGTAAACGCAACTCGCTGATTAGGCAAGGTAAGATTTCGTGGCCTTGTTAATATGGCTCACGGAGTTCATTATTGCCTCATTTCGGGGAGGTTTCCAAGGCTTTTGGTCCCATACGGCCAACGGCGCTGATGAACGGCCAGACATACAGCACCTATCAAATACTACCGATGCAATGACTGTCGTTCCACGGGGTGGTAAACGAGTGTCCGCCGATGGCCGTTGTTGTGAGAAGGTAGCTTACTCAAACAACTCATGCCTATGCTCAGCTGAAGCTCAGTGGGCGAGGGCACTCGGATGACGATCAGTGAGTGGATCAGGGTGCGTAGATGACTATCAGGGGATGCTCAGTGAGCAAATCAGAGCGCTCAGGGCGTGTTTCACTGTACTCAGTGAGCAAAAAGCTGCAAGGCCTGGGCACTAAAGTGGAAAGGGAGGGCCAAGAAGTGGCAGCAGAAATCAAGTAGGCACAGAGTGATAAGCTTACAAGTTTGGCTTTCAATTAATCAGGCTCAGAATTATTGCCCGAATACTTGCTTAGGTAGATGATTTATTATGACCCGTCTTTGGTGGCCTACCTAGGTAGTATTCCACGATTACGGAAGACTGGTAGATTCCCGGTCATTCGAAAATTGCCATCGATTCCAGGCAATCACTACAGCACTCCAGGAATGTAGGAAGACACAACCCTTGCTATCACAATTCTTAGCTGCAATGCCCCCTATGCTGAAGCACTCATTTCCTTGGGCACCTTGGTCTTTGCCCCGCCTTTTCAAGCCCTAGTTGGCAGCATCTAGCAAGCCATTCAAGTCCTTCATCCTGAACAGCTTGGTCGGCGGCCGTTAAGACGCCGAAAGATGAGTTGAGATACACGAAATCATGTATGCGTCTATAATGCACCCGCAATTTAGTTGGCTCGCTGTATCGGCTGACATGTATACACCCGGGATATCGACAGAAGAGTTCACCTTTGTAGATGGTGTCAGTTTGGAAATCGCTACGCAATTTGAGGTCAATGTCCAGTCGGGGGAGGTGCCGAGCTATCTCCACTGTCATCTGTCGGTATGACAAAAGACCGTTATCAGACCCCCGAGGCTGATCCTCTGGTAAGGGAACCCGCAGTTTAGTTCCCCTCTTAGCCCTCTTCCTGGGTGGAAGTGAAACAAATGAGACTAACCTCATTTCCTCGATTAAATCATCCGCGGTGCCCTTGCATTTTTTCAAATGCCTATCCCGGTGGTCTTTTCGGGCGAAAGTTTTGTGGCAAACAGAACAGTCCAAATTGGCCTCTGGATCTTCATACTCCTTGTGCTTGTGGTTCTTATGTATGCATAACTCTCGAGAGCTTTTGAAGAGCATTTTACAGTCTTGGCATTGGTGCTGATAATTAGCCCTCATCTCCTTGGGCGTATTTCGAAGCTCGGTCAATGTTTTCATGCCATCGTGGCCGAACCCTAGGACGCCTTTCCAGTCCGAGATGCTGTTCATCATGTTGAAAAATAGCTTAGTCGAATCTGAGAAGCTTGAGTTCGCTTCGTTGATGGCTCGCTCGCCATTGATGAGCTGGCAAACTTGGGATATGCTGGCCTGGAAAAATAAGCGGTCGCCGCCAGGTTCTTTGTCCGCGTAAATTCGAAACGTGATTAGATCGCCCCAGCCATTGAATAGTTCATAGAAGCTGTGCTGGTTGGTGGTCAATCCGTCCCAGCCATTGGAAATCATAAGAAGTTTGCCGTCCCACTGCTTCAGTTCTGCACGTAGATTAGCAAAATATGCTCGGATCTCACCACCAGGCCGAAATGGGTCATTTGACCCATGCACGAAAGTAAGGTTCCTGATATCGCATTGTGGAAACTCAAGAGGGCCATAATGAAGCTCGTACGCTCTTCGTGTGTACTCCAAACTGATCGTAAGAAAGTTGTTTTTGAACTCTCGTTGGCCACTTGAGCTCCGGGCAAGGAAAACAACGATTGTCCTTTTCGAGGGAAATTTGCCAGCGTAGTCAAGAAAATCTTTGTAAATAGCTTTCATGGGATCTGGGTCCCTCGTTATAGGGGTTTTGTTGTCCCAGAAGTCCATGCCTGGATGAGACTTGACAGCTGCCATAAACTGTAGAAACTGAGATTTGGAGTTGACTGCATCGGCACCGCATGTCTCCTGGATCTCATTTAGAGCTTGACACCAGCAGCGAAGAAACTCGGTGGCAGTAAAGGAGGGCGTAAAGGCAATTTCAATCCAATTCTTCCATTTCTGAATTTCAAATTGCCGAGCTCTCTCGACAGTTTCCATGGTATTGTGTGTAAAGAGGGGCTCCAAGTATTAATAATAAATCTAGGTAGTATTTGAAGGAGCCAAAAAAACAAGCCACGGGATTTTATTTGGCACGGAGGTATTGTCTCCAGCTCATTTGCGAAGGTAAAAAGAACAGAATCGGATGGGCTTCATCATAGTTTACTGATGATCCGCTCCTTCAATCCATATGATCAAGTGAGGCTAGTCTGTAAAACACCTAACTAGTAATAGCATGAGATATGTGACAAATAAAATAGTGCGCAAACAAGTACACTCCAGCAGTGGCACTTGAGTACCTGTGGACTTCAGGACATGCATACACAAAAAGGGTCTCCAGAATTTAATTATAGCCAAGTATATAGCAAAGCAATCTGACGTCATGAAAAACACAACTTTGAAGCATAATTGCATGTGTATGTATAAAAAGTAATCAAGAAAGAAGTTATCAATCACTGCTAATACTAGTACCTAGGTAGTCTCTGGGTCTGACCCCCGGAAAGTCCCAATTTTGGAACTTTAAAGGTTCTCTCTCACCTGGGCAACTTGAAATACCCAAGGACGTTGATAGA